AAGGTTGCATACCTTGGAGGCCTACAGGCGATAAGGCGCATTGTGCCAATCATATTGGAGCTTATCCAACGACATGGGAACAACAACAAAAAATAATCAAAGTTGAAGTATAAAAATAAAAGGATTGATAATAAAATATCTAAAGAGAAATAGAGAAAGAGAGATAAGAGATAAGAGAGAGAAAAATAAGACTTAATCTGTGAACAACAAGCATAGCTGAGTGAAGAGAAACTTTGCAAGTTATATTTAAATAAAGAATAATATAAAGTTCTAAGCTGAAGAAAAAAAGTGAAGAGACTGGGAAAAGCTGTCTCTTATATAGGAAACAGCAAGTGAAAATAAGAAAGGTAAATAATAGAGAAGGATGCATTAGAAACACCTGGTCTTGCAATTATCTTACAGTATGCAAGACGGAATTCTGCCAAGACAGTTCCACCAAGAATGGAATTCCAACACATATTACATTCCCTGACAATAATACCAATCTAGCAATCTGTGTGGCAGCAACCACGGCAATACAAGACAGTGTGCTACAGGAGCCACATGCTAGATACACTGAAGTCCTTGATTAGCCACCCTCCAAATGACTACCACCAGGCGGCCCTGAAATGGAATTCCATGTACATGAGGGCACAGCACCTGTGGCCTAGGCAACATACTGCCTGTCATATGCAGAGATGGATAAACTAGACTGACTGTAGTGAGGAATTATGCTGGTTATAATAAATATTAATGGAAATGAGAATATGAGAAGAGCTAAAGGGCACACTATTCAGAATTCACTGTACACGCGAAATACCATAAAAATATTTTATGCGTCTGTGCAGTCACGTGACGCAGCCCCCATTTTTGATGTCACACTGACAAGTGACTGACTTACTTGCAAAGGGGTATATCCACCCATCATTTTCCCCATGGGGTGCACCAGTCCTCTTTGTCAAAAAAAAGGTTGGATCAATGCACCTGTGTGTTGGCTACCATGGCCTGAATGCAGTGATGATAAAAGATGCTTTTTCAATGCTGCATATAGACGACTTGCTTGATGACACCTACAGCACAAAATTTTTGTCGAAAATCGATTTGGCACAGGCATACCACCAGGTGTGAATTTGCAATGAAGACATTGCCAAAACTGCCTTCCACACAAAACAAGGGTCATTCAAATTCACAGTTGTACCTTTTGGACTGACAAATACCCCTTCCATTTTCCAATATGTGATAAACCATGTGCTGTGCAACCTACTTGTCTAGGTAAACAATGCATATTTTGCCAACATTTTCGTCTTTTCAAATAAATATGCCGACCATGCAAAAAATCTTGCTTCAGTGCTCGCCTACCTCAAGAAGAACAACCTGCATGCAAAACCCAAAAATGTGTGTTCTTTCAAGACATAGTCGACTTCCTTGGGTTTGTCATTTCAGACAAGGGTATTGTGACTGACCCATGCAAAACAGATGCCGTTAATGAGTGGTGCATGCCAGAGACAATTACAGACATCCATGCATTCCTTGGATTAAGTGGCTACTACTGCCAGTTTATTAAAAACTATGCTAGAATAACACTACTGCTGACTGATTTGCTATGCAATACTGACTTTTCGTCAAACGACCAGGCTAATATGGCTTTCACTGAGATGAAGCAGCAACTGTCCACAGCACCAATACTCCATCAGTATAATCCAACTTGTGAAACAAGAGTCAAGACAGATGCATCTGGCTATGCAATTGGCAGTGTCCTACACCAATGATATGACAAGGTGTGGTGCCTAGTGGTATTCTACTCAGCAAAGCTGGGGCCAGCACAGCACAACTATGCAGTCCACAAGCAAGAAGTTCTTGCAATCATTTGTGCACTGATCCTCTGGTGGCATTACCTACATGGCATTAAGTTTGAAGTGATTACAGACCACAAATCAATTGAATTCCTTAAGACGCAAAACAACATATCCCTGCACCAGGCCTGCTGGGTGGATATCTGGCAGGAATTTGACATGAAAATTATTTACCACAAGGGCACTCAAAATGCAGTTGCTGATGGCTTGTTGCACTCACTTGAATCGCAACCTGACAACATGGTATATGTAGCATCACAGTCAGGCAAGGTGCCTTACATGGCACTGATGCCACTGACAGGGCTGACTGTACCAGCTATACTGCTAAATGATTCCCCACCAAACAACATGAATAAAAACGACGATGTCACACACACATTCATACCTATAACTATGTGCATGCCCATGCTTATGCCCAATATCACGATAACCACTCCAGCTGCACAGACAACAAATCTTCCGCCAATGCCAGCTGTAGTCGACAGAGCATATTTGACTGCCAATTAGCACAGAAAACTAAACTGTGTTGAATATGTGTGCAAGTCGCTATACTACAAGAACTATCAACGTGCATGTCATGCCAAAGCCAGAACAGAAGCCAAACAAACGCAGGAGACAGTTGCTGCAGAAATGATGAGTGCAGCCATGGAGACTGATCAGCCAAAGTGTAATGCGATTTGGTCTAGCTATAATATATATTAATAGAAATGAGACTACGGAAAGAGCTGAAGAGCTCACTATTCAGAATTTGCCGTACGCGTAAAATATCATAAACATATTTTACGCGTCTGCGCTGTCACGTGACTCGGCCCCATTTCTGATGTCACACAAAGGACAACATGCACAACAATGACCTGATAGACTGATTTGACAAATTGAAACTGTGTGCACTGTTTGTGCCATGCACAACAGCCGACAACATAGAGATTCAGCTGCTACACGACAATGTGATGATGCCTTGCAAGGAGCATCCAGATGATGCCAGATTCAATGTATATTGTACAACCAAGTTTGTTGTGACATCAGAAATGGGGCTGAGTTACATGACAGCGCAGACGCATGAAATATGTTTATGATATTTCACACGTACAGCAAATTCTGGATAGTGAGTTCTTTAGCTTTTTTCGTAATCTCATCTTAATTAATATATATCATAACTAGCCAAATTTGCCTTACACTTACAGTCATAAAAAGGGCAAAATAACACCATTTATTAGTTATCTCTCTTCTCTTTTCCTAATTTTTAGATAATATAAAAGCAGTCTAGCTATTCAATTCACCCATTAACAGACAGGGTGAGCAGATAAGAAACGAGCATACGTAGGTCAGTCCTGGACCTGCCATTCATGAGATGACTGGATTCAAGTGTATATATTTATTACAAAGTTAACTAAATAATTTTCCTGCTTTCTTATGCATTTGCAAGGGATTGTTATAGACGTGTATAAACAATAACAATTCCTCACTGGGTAGTTATTGGCCATCCATAGTAATCATATCATATAATTTGCTTTTTGGCACCACAAGTTTTCTAGTAGCTGTTATGTATGCTTTTGCTTTTGCTCTGGCCACTGCTGCCCTCTTCATAGGCTCTCGGGGGTTTTCCATTACCTGCTGTTAGGTCGCCTTATATATTTCCATGCTTTGGATGATCACTATCCCTTTGCATGGTCTTTAACCTCCAGTTTAGCCGATGACCCCAGTGTAATAGGAATAATTTATCTAAACTATATTTATGATTCAAGTCCACTATAAGTGTGACATCAATTATTGCAATGTCACGTGGCAATCGCAATTGGGAATTTGCGATTGTTTGAAATTGTGATTGTTTACGATCGCGATTTCTATTTTCACGGGCGATAGTTTCAAATAGATAAGCGGAGCTCTGAAAGCTCCCTTATAGTGGATTTTAATAAAATTAGTTAGTACGAATAAGTTTTATTACAATAAGGGAGCTTAAAGAGCTCCGCTTATCTATTCAAAATTATTGACAGTGAAAGCAGAAACCACAATCGTAAACAATCACAATTTCAAATAATTGCAATTCTCACGTGATATTGTAATAATTGATGTCACGCCTAGGGATTTCTGCTCTCTGGTTCCCTTTTTTCTTGGTTGCCTGTTTCTCCATGAACATGATATGCTTGTGTTTGTTATCCTCTTCACACTCAATTGGTATCTGCATGATGACTATCATATAAATACGTTCTTGTTGGTTGAATTCATTTATATTGGTCGACAGCTATCTGTATTTGTTGAAATATAGGAATGTTCTATGAATGCGTAGATAAACTATAATGATATAAAGTATATTTAATAATAAGTGCTATGCGCTGTGAAAGGTAAAGAGTAGAAAACATATTGCTTTGGTTACTGTGTGACTTATTGTTTGTGTTGCTAAACAGCCAAGACTGGTTAATCAGTTGATCGCCATCAACCAATAGTATTCCTTTTTCTGAAGTGGGTTTTGCCGTGTGATTGGTCAGTGCTAATGGCTGAGAGGTTGGAATTATGGTTGCAATCGCTTCAGGGGTTTTGCTACACTCATCTTCTGTTAGTTTTTGCCGAGTTGGCTAGTGAAATTGCTTCTGTATAGTAGTCTATTGCTGAAATTGGTCTACACGAGGTATGCCAACTAGTGCATTTCAGAAATTAAACTCAAAAAGGGTGTGGAAACTGCAAGCCGCATAGGCTTTTCAAATCAAATCATTATATACTCATTCAACATAAACACAGTGTGATAATATTTTTGTCGCGCATTGAACAATATATACTTACGATGATTACTTCGTTTAGTTCACAGCAAAAGACAATTATTATTTAGTTCTATATAGAAGTTTTTTTTGGCTGAAAGTCATGACAGTTTATTACAAAATTTGTTATTAACTAGGTGGGGTGCGCAAAATCGCAACTAGCGCCCTTGTGTTGGGTTCCAGGGTTACCAGGGGTGGTGGGCGGTGAGATGCCGGCGCTTCTTTTTAAAGGTCATGCGCATTGTAGAGCGCAAGAACGCAAGACATTTTCAGATTGGCCGCACAGAAATGATAATTTTAGTAAATCCCATGTAAATCCCATGTAAATCATATATATTTTTGTATTAATTGCTGGTGGTTCCATTAATTTCTTGATCAATAGTATTTTATGCAACACAGAATTTGCTGAATGTGACTTAAAATTAATGCGCTCTTGGTTCTCATTAGCCGGTCATTTGTCCATTCGGCCCTTTCCTTTATACCTTTTAATCGCTTTTTTGTTTTCACTCTTATGGCCTCTTCGCTGTAAATGTCTGCTACTAAAGAATACGCCGGGTCACTAGCCGAGAACATGAGCATGGCGTTCAATCGCACAACCAGCACTTGTATCAATAGCAAAGGTATAGGGACAGGGGCAGGGGCAAATATTATAGATGCTGACCAGGTCGTTCGTGGCGAAGACAGCATGCCCGAACTCCAAGGCACGCTTGTTCTCAGCGCAGAGGAAGATAATGCATATCGGAGGTATCTGCGCAAAGCCGATTTCTACCTCGCGCTGTTTATGTGTGCTGGATACATGATGAGTTTTCTTAATCGTGTTGCGCTCACCCAAGCAAAGCCAGTGGGCGTGGCCATGGATACAAACATGTCCGATATCACTGTCCCGTTGTCGATTTTTTATCTGTCATATCTAGTCTTCCAAGTTCCAAGCAACATCGTGCTCAGACATGTGCGGCCGAGCTTGTGGCTGGCGTTCCTCGCGACTGGCTGGTCGATCACAAGCGCTTGTGGCGCGCTGGCCAAAAACAGGGGCGGGATAATCGCAGTGCGCGTATTTATCGGCGCGTTTGAAGCCGGCTTCACATCGGGTGTGATTGCTGTGTTCGCGTCGTGGTATCCGCGCAATCAGCTGGCAAAGCGGCTGGGGTGGATGTATTCGTCGGCCTCACTTGCCAGTATGTGGGCCGGGCCGGCAGCAGCAGGCTTGGGTAGCATAAAGTCGTCTGTGCTCAAGCCATACCAGATCTTGTTTATATTCTATGGTGGAATCTCGTTCTTGTGGAGCTTTGCGGCATTCTTTGTAGTCAAGGACTATCCAGACACATGCAGTTTGCTGAACAAGGACGAAAAAGCTGTTATCAACAAGATAATGGTGCAGCAAGGTACCCAAGGCAACGTTGGCGAGTTCAGCCGCGTTCAGCTTATGCGGTCACTTCTTGACTGGCGCATCTGGGCTTGGTCAATCATCGGATTTTGCGCCAACATTACCTCTTACACGGGCCCGCTGTTTGCGCCGATATTTTCAGTTGACATGGGGTTTGGGCGCGTTGCCGGCCAGGGGATGTCGGCAATTCCAAATCTTGTTTCGTTTTTGGTCGCCTTCTTTTCAGGAGATCTGATCCGTATTGCTGGGAGCACCAGCACTGCCATCATGGTCGCGCAAGTTGTCAACATTGCTGGTCTGTTGATGGCGGTCGCCACCACCCAAAGCGCAGTGCGGTTTGTTGGCTTGTGCATATTTACCGGCGCAAGTATGTTGACCACCCCAGCATTTCCCGGGTGGGCGGTTTCGAATCAGTCAGGCACAACAAGGACGGCAATAGCATCCGCCATGGTATCGTCGATTGGCGCTTTCGGTGGGTTTGCCGTCTCATACATGTATCCAGACACAACAGCACCCAGATATGTGCCCGGCCATGTGACAAACATTAGTGTGTGTGTGGCAGTGATTGCGGGCACGCTTGTTATGCGCATGTGTCTCCAGCGCTCAAACAGGCACAGGGAGCAGTCTCCAGAGGACGTGTCAAATATGTCCCCCGCCGAGCTAGCCGACCTCGGGGACAAGCACCCAGCATTTAGGTACCGCCTGTAATGTTCAAACTGCTAAAAACTTACAGCAGAGGAACGTGTCGCCAAATAATATAATTGTTACTAATAAAGATTCTAAAGGTAATAAAAATATGTTTGTGTCTGGTCCAGTTATTCCGACAAGGGCAGCGATTGCGATTGTGCGTGCCAGTGCTTCCACAAGATATCACCAGATCCGAGCGTAAAGGGGATCGATGCCCTTTGGTAGTAGTCGGGTGCGATGCATTCAATATTATCGACCACAGTGTCCAGCAAGTGCGCTCTGCCGGCCAGCATCCCCTTGCCTTCAAAGTTGACATTCGTTATGTGCACATGGAAGTGGTAGTATGACGGCTGATAGTGAATATACAGCCTGAGCTGCTCGGCCGAAACACCGTACGCCTGTGCAGCCACGATCGAGTTGTCGCGGATGTTTTTAAGAAGAGGCAAATGTTTGGCGGTCAGGTCGCGCAGCGATTTTATGTCGCGGCGGTGGACAATTGCAACCAGGTACATGTTGTCGGGATTTGTTGCGTCCCACTTCAAGTCTGGGAGAATGATAAAGCCGTTCTCGGGATCAGCGTCCTCAAACACGATGCGTTCAGACTCGACTTGCTTGGAGAGAATGTTGTACACCCACTGAAGGCGAGAGGCAGGTTGCGCGTCGATAAATGGCCTGGTGATAGTCGCGTACTTCTCAGGCGTCTCGCTAACCCATTTGCACTGCTGGCGACGGTACTTGTCAATGTGCTTTTGTGTGGCCGGGTATATTATTGCCACGCGGGTGTCGGGTTTAAATATGCTACTGTGCAGGGTACCAGTCGCCCACGAATAAATGTCGTTGTGCTCGCCTGAGTTCAGAACTGCAGAGCTCAGCAGCATGGGGTCGGTGCTGCGAATATCTTGAGACGAAAACGCCAGCCGCTCAAGAGTAACAACAGCCGCAGTCTCGCCTGGAATCGAGCCAGCATTGGCCAGTTTGTCGGGTCCAGCGATGGCTCCCAGAAGCCAGATTGTCTTTGAATTAGTATCCTCGTTTAAAACTTCTTCGAGCCGGAAGCGACGGAGCAAGCCACTGATGACCTCCTTGTTGCCAGCCGCAACCTGCGTGGGTGCTGGGGACATTGTGTATAGTGTGGGTTTTATTATTGGGAGGGAGGGCAATGCGTGTAAAGTGCGTAAAGTGTATATCGAAATTAGTACTTGACGATTTTCAGCAGTGAAAAAATAATTATTTTATACAAAGGTTGAAGCGATATGCCGAGTATGGTATACACATATACAGTGCATCGGATGTATGTAAAGAAATACGCTTTGGTTGTGGTGAGTGTGTACGCTGGAAGCCACGACGCAGGGGATAATGTAAACATGGAATACTCTTTTCATTTGCAGTACCGATCCGACTTTGATTTTTCCCGCCTGTCGAGAAGAATCTCGGTATGGCTTTTACTCGACTTTGTACTGTTTGCAGACGGAGAGTAAATGTCATTGTCGATCCCAGGGCTAGAACTAACGATGCGCTTTTTGCGAAGCGTGGCCTGACATTTGGCGGTAAACACCTGGCAGAACCCGATGGACGATGCACCGGCGTGCACCTGCAACTGGCGTCCAGTGGTTTTGTATGTCTCAACACTCAAAAAGCAATCCTCGCTGGACCCAGGCGGACGGATCGTCAGCGCGATAGCGCCGTCTCCTCTCTCTGGCAGCAGAACAGGCGTCCACATTTCGAGAGGGCCGATCGCCACAGCCTTGCATTCGACATTCCCGTGTCTGTCTGCCGAGAGATATGTGCCCGTGTACGATTTGAACGAATGCATCCTGGCCTCAGGGTCGGTCGGCTCCGTCGCCGGTACAGACTTGCGACCGACAAAGACTTGCTCGATCCTCGACGGCTCGGCCTCCATGAGCGATGTATTTTCAAGGATGAGAAAAACTGGCGGCATCGAGCCAACTTCTGAAATCGCCTGAGCCTGCGTCTCCTCTTGCGGCGGCAACGATAGAACGTAAACCAGCTCGTCCCGAAAAAAGAACGCAAGTGGTCCATCTAAATCGCTCGATGTCATCACAGGGACCCAGCCGTCGGACGTATCGCGGTCTCCGTCTGCATTGGTGTCACTGTGGTGTTGATTCTTTGGCTTTGTCTTGGACTTGTGCTTGTGTTTGGCTTTGTCGACTTTACCGCGCCGCACGGTGCATTTCTCGCCTTTGAACAAAAGCTTTTTGGCTCGCGTTTCTTGGTACTCCATAAAACTGCCGTAATGTGCTAATCTTTGGTGGTCAGTTCCAACGTGCGAATTATGACAGAAAAGCAAAATAAATTGCAAATGAGGAGAGAAAGCAAAATAAATAAAGCATGAGCCCTCATATTTTTCGCCTTTGCATTTGTTAAATAAAATTCACAAATTTTACAACCCTATTGCATTATAGATTACAAAACGCATCACATTTCTAATTTTTGAATTTGTCTCACCCTTTCCATTCCGGCGCTTTAAATTTTGACACATGGCAATTATATCCGAGGTATCTGGCGCAGCTGGAGCTGAGCTGCCAGCGGTCTGGTCCAAGGCGTGCACTGGTGCAAGCGTGCGCCTGCCGCCCACATCTGCTAACTATTTGGCAAATGTGCGCAAGTCCACAGCGCAGTACGCCAAATTGATGGAACATGCACCCCTGGTCGCCGTAAACAGGCAGAGGGCCAGGCAGTATGCTGACAGTCTTGACAGCAAAAAGTTTGACAAGTACGTCAAGCACGTCAGCAACTGGTCGCGCAGCCTGCCGCTAGTTTTCGACAATATGGCGCAGGAGCTAAACCTGATTGCGCTGCTCGACCTGCTGCAGATTGGCAGCGGCTTCCGCGGCGAGCTCCACGAGGCATCCGACAGAGGCGCGTCCGATATGGTCAACTTTGGGTGCATGTCTATGCACATATCTCAAACACAGATTGACGCCAAGGGCCTTCAGGCGCTGAGCTTGGGCGACGTTGCCCAGCACTTTGGAATACCGCTATTTGGCAAGGAACGGCCTATGATCGAAGGAAATACAGCGGTCATGGTCAGCGAGGCTAGCACGCTGCGGCCGCTGGCCGAGATAATCCTGGGAACACTGCATGACACTGGGCGTCGCTTGGAGCAGGCGGGCTTTTTGTCTCTCGCCGACTTTGTCATAAAGGTGTGCGCGGAAATGTCGACAGCTGCGCATTTGGTCGCAAAGTTAGTCACCGCATTTCCGTCGCTGCGCGATGCGACCGAAATCAACGGGGAACCGGTTTATCTGTTTAAAAAGGCTCAGCTCTTGGCGTACGACATTTACCAGCGCTTTGGCAAGACGGACCCAAAGTTTGCCTTTCCAGACATCAATGATTTGACGCTGTTTGCCGACAATGTGGTCCCTGCTATGCTACAGTACCATGGGCTTATTACGCCCAGCCATGGTATCTCGGTAAAAATTGAGAGCGGCAAGGACCTGACTCTCGAGGAAGCCACAGCGATGCGCGCCGCGTCAATAGTTGTCGCGCAAGAGGTGGTTGACTATGTCAACAATAACACGGAGTGCAAATTCATTTGCGGCGATATCCCAGTCAGCCAAGCGACGTTGGATAATTTTTGGTGGCAGGAAGGGAAAGAGCCCGAGCTGCGGGCCATCCCGCGGCTTGTGTACAAAAACACGGTTTACTTTTGAATTGGACAAACGATACGTGAACAAACATTTATATTTATATATTGACATATATTAAAAATGACAATTCCCTGTTGGTGGATCTACACTTGGCCTTCTGACTGTCTTTTCCAGACCATGGAAAATACGATATGAATGCGCTTGCCGTGATGGAAGAGGATGTCAGAGATGTGCCGGTTCTTGGTCTCGGGTACCATCAAAAGTACCACTACAAATGCACAAAAGTTTAGCGCTGCGAATGGCACAAACAGATAGTCGCCGAGCAATCTGGAAAGCGCTGGGAATAGCAAGCCGACTACAAAAATCATTGTCCAGTTCAGGGCGCTTGCAATGCCACTCAGCGTCCCCAGCGTATAGTATGGGAGCATTTCCGATGCCGTCAGCCATGGGATGGGTGCCATTCCCAGCCCATAGGTTAACTTGAAGGCAAACATGGCCAGCACTGCCAGCACCGGTACGTTGCAGGCACAGCCAATGACAATGAGCAAGCATGCCATGGCCAGTCCGCTGGTACTGATAAGCAACAGGCGCCGCCGGCCGAGTCTATCGATCAAGCTCATGCTTGACAAAACTGCAATGATACCGGTGGCAGCCAGTCCGATCGTAACCCACTGCGCAGTGTTTGGTGTTTCGCGAAGCTGGGTGGGGCTCAAACTAAACATTTTTGCCAGTATCCCAGTCGAGTAGAACACAATTCCCTTGGTTCCTGTCCATTGCTGGAACCCCATCAGGAACATGGTGCAGAACAGAAGGTGCCAGATGGTGTCTGGTGTCTGCCCCTTGAAAATGGCGACGACCCCCACGCTGGTCGGCGTGTTTGTGCCAAGAACCGAGCTAATACTCGCAACACTTGTCTTGGGCTTGCTTGGCAGCTCATTGCACTCGCTGCTCGAGTCTGGCACAAAGCTGATTTTGTCAACACAGTCGGCAATGTGTCCATTGTCAGCAGCGCTGCTAACACCAGAGGCCAAATCAAGCATAGCTTGAAACTCAATCGAGATGTCGTGGTTTGGGCGTAAAAACTGCAGCGCGCGGGCGGCCTCAGCACGCATGCCGTGCACAATCAGGAACTTTGGTGACTCGGGCATAAATGGCAGCCATGCAAGCTGAACAATAGAAATAACACCACTGAGGCCAAATAAAATACGCCAGTTTGGAACTTCCACCAGGAATACGGCGATAAGCTGTGCTAAAAAGATCCCAACTTCGACTGAGAGCTGGAGGACAGTGCCTATTAAACCACGCACCTTGACTGGAGCGCACTCGCTGTTGTATGTTGCCACCACGGTCGAAGCAACACCGCTACACTTCTTGGTTTTGGAATCATTTAAAATAGCAGAGCTTCAGTCAATAACATGCATATCGGTAGAATATGAATTTAAGAAAATAACAATGCATCCATATGCATATGCGGGGTTATGAATAGCTTCTTTGGTTATTTGCTTTTCTTCAACATACCATCCAATTCCCGAGACAAAACGCCCAACAGCCAGTTGTGCAAAAGTAGTGGATGTTCCCAGAAGCAGAGCGCCAGTGATGAAAAACACATTGTTCACTAGCAGAATGTATTTGCGACCAAATTGGTCAGCAGCTCGCCCAGCGAAGAGCGATCCCACCAGAGCACCCAGTGCAACTAGGCCAACAAACAAGCCCCTAATAAAACATCAGTGGCAATAAAGCCAGTGCAAATGCACATATATCAGCTGATTAGTAGCATTGCACAATTCAATTATGCTGTTTGACGTGCAACATATCATCTGGCAATATTGTAATTTTGCATTTGGGTTCTAACATGGCGCTTACCACATTGTGTGTCCCATTGGCAGACATGTCGGCAGTCCATTGATGAGATTCTGCGGCCCCTTTATGCAATTTCTAATGACGTCTTCCGGAATGTTGGGTTCTCCCAGGCACCAACCAAAATTCAGAGACGACAGCGCGGCAGCGGCAGAGCTTAGAATCACACCAGTGTTGAGTCCTATGTTTGTCGAATCGGGTAGATTGGTTGAACGCCGGTCAAGCTGTGGTACGCGAGATTGTAGCTCGGGCTTATGATCTACAGTGCTTATTGTGTGTGGAATTCAGAGCCATTTATGTCGATTATATTATTTTTAGGGGTCAATTGATAGAGGGTGGTTATGTGTACGGGTGTATAATTTTTAATGGCGTTGGTCATACCGTTTTCTTTGAGCGAATTTGAGGGCGCCGTCATTTAATCCTGTCTTTTTTGGCGTGTTGGTTTTTTTTTAAAAAAATATGAAGACAAGTGAAATGAGATGAAAGTAAAATACAATAGCTTTAAAAGCCATTTTACAAATAAAATTGCGGTAACAGCGGGTACAAATCATTTTATACACGATGAGGCTACAGGCGCGCGTTAAATGCCAAGTAGCATCAGGCAAGTTGGCATACCATTTTCTATTTTCTGGAGGCAGGCTTGAAGAATTATAATATAAAACAATAAAACACAATGCAGGGTGTTTGTTAGCACCAAAAAATTGCGCGTTCGTAATTAAACATCTCTGCTATAAAAACAAAATAAAAAAGAGGGAGGCATAGAATCGGGAAAGGGGGCGTCCGAGTCGTTTTCATTGTGCGAGACATTGAGAACATCAAAATTGGCGTTATTGTTAACTAGGAACAGTAAATATATCCGCGTCAATATATTTTGCACATATATCTTGTATTAAGGATACCACATTTTGGCTGCTTTCATCGGGGGTTTAGGCGTAGCAGAAGTTGCCGCCGGGTCAGTCAACCACAATTTGCAGCAGTCACAAAGGTGAATTGAACATTGGAAATGGCAAGTCGAGCGAACAACACATATACTTAGGCCAAATGTCAATGTGTGGCATAAATTCAAACTGTGCAAAACTGACTGCTCGCTCGCTAAATATCACTATGCATTGCTTTTATTGCAATTACATTATTAGTCCCAATATTTATGCAGCCGCACTGCTTCAAAAATGGTGGCCACGTTTTTTTCTTGCTTGTCTGCTATTTCGGGCAGTTTACAAACTTGTTTGATTGTTTGAGCAGTTCAACAAACTGCAGGCACATAAACAGTATTTGCGCACTGTTAAATACCAAAAATCGAAGTACAACCCCCCAAGCATCCATTTTCAAATAACCAGCATTTACATTTCTGGAGTGAGGCAATTGACTTGTCTTATTGATTGACGAATCACAGCAGGCCTAATTTTTTGGGTAATCCAGATTAATGAGCAAAATGAGTCGATTTTTATTTTTTCTTTCTTTTGAATCAGGAGCATAAAACTACATTTAACGCACCTCATTTTGCGCGCAGCATTATTCCTTCACTTGTGTTGACTTTGCGTATTTTAAGTTAGAAGTTAGATAAGCGAGGCGCCGCGCAGCCACCCAGAACAATTATACAACGCAGCGCAGCGCAGCACAGCACAGTACAGCATAACATATCATGGTGGTCACTCTGGGATACGCCGAGGCGGTGGACGAGGAGTTTGGGCGCGAGGTGTTTTCCAGCAAAATAGGAGGCAAGCCGCGGTGGCTTGACCCGACGCGGCCGTTAGCCGTCAACCGGGTGGTGTGCGACGAGTGCACAAAGCCGATGGTGCTACTCATGCAATTGTACGCGCCCGAGGACGAGCCAGCTTCTGCATTCCACCGCACGCTGTACGTCTTCATCTGCCGCAGCGGTGCATGCCACAAGGCCGGCGCCAAGCAATGCATGCGCGTGTTCCGCTCGCAGTTGGCGGAGGAGAACAGCGTGTATGAGGAGGATGCCAGCAGCAACGACGTTTCTGATAACAACGACGACGACGACGACATTACATGGGCCTTGCGGCCGCAGGTCAAGGCGGCCCCGCTGTGCGTTGTGTGCGGGCTGGCGGGCACCAAGGGATGCAGCAAGTGCCGCGCGCGGCTGTACTGCTCGCGCGACCATCAGCTTGCAGACTGGAGCGGCGGGCACCGCGAGCAGTGCGGCAGCGGCAAGACCGACAACGCAGCGCACAGGCGCAAGCTGCAGCGCATGGTCTTTCCGGAGTACGTCATTGTGTCTGAGGAGGAGCCGGCGCAGGCGCAGGCCGAGGCCGAGGCCTTTGGCGAAGACTCGGACGACGACGGCGAGGACACTGAGGGCATCACGGCCGAAGACATGGCGCTTGTGCCGGTGTCCGGCGAGCGCGCTGAGGACTCGTCCGTCGACGTCGACCGCGCGTTCCTAATGTTCCAGCGGCGCATCCAGCTGAGCCCCGACCAGGTGATCCGCTACGCGCGGTCGGCCGAGAGCCCCGGGCCGAGCGAGCCGCTGTTTGTCAGCGACGACGGACGGCCTAGCATTGGCGCCGATGCCAATGCCGACGTGCCCGCGTGCGAGAAGTGCAGTGCGGCGCGCGAGTTCGAGCTCCAGATCATGCCACAGATGCTCAATTTTTTGTCGATCGATTCGGTGGACCCGGCGTCGATCGATTGGGGGACGCTGCTGATCTACACATGCCCCAAGAGCTGCGACAGCGCGGGCTACGCAGGCGAGGTCATCTGCAGGCAGAACTTCAGCTCGCAGGGCATCGGCGAGAAGTTCATGCGCGCCATGCACGGCGACGACTCGGGGTTCACCAAGCAATTTGACTCGCTGAACATCTGAACATTTCATCTGATAATTTGACTGCCCAAGTATGCGGGCCTGTGTTGTTGGGTTTGAGTTTATACATTTTTAAGCAGATAATTAAAATTGAAGTAAGGGCATGAAATAAAATTGGAAAAGGACGGGGAAATAAGTCAAGTTGCTGCTACCCACTGGCTCAACAGCTCAATATAGTCCTGGCTCATTGGCTCTCAGGCGTGCGGTTCAAGTGGAGCGACTCCCGCGACAGCGTTGACGCGGCGGCCGCCAGCGAGGCATGCGGGGTGCCGTTGGTCTTGACCGCGGGCTTTGCGGTCGGTGGAGGGCCGGCAGCTACGTGCTGCTGCTTGGGGAGTACAATGGCTGCAGCGACGCTGTGGGAGGCCGGGACCGAGCCCGAGCCTGAAGCGGGAGCCAAGGCGCCATGCAGAGGCTGCCTTGGCTGGTGCCTCTGCTCATCTTCAGAGTCCTCCTGCATCTCGACGTCCTCAGCCTCGCTCTCGGGGCCGGCGTCGGCATCAATGTCGGCGTTGGCGTCGACGTCAGCATCAATGTCGATGGCATGGTTGCCTGCATGCGGTGCAGCGCGGCCATCGCTGCCTCTTGCAGCAGACATTGGTGCGGGTGTCGCAGTCTCCGAGGCTGGCGTCGCCGGCATGGACGTGGTGGCGGCGCTGGCGCTGGCAGATGGCGCAGGGAGCGGCACGGGTGACGCGTGGTAGCGGGGTGTGGATGTAGCCGAGGCTAAAGCCGGCTCGTCTGCGGGCTGCGAGGCGGCGGCGCGCGCCTCCCAGTCCTGGCGGTCGTTGGTCGGCAGCATCTTCCACATGCGGCCCAGCTCGCGGTTGATGGTCGCCAGGTCCCACTCGGGGTGCTCGGCCGTTACGCGCTTACGGTTCATGCGCGAGTAAAAAACGTAGGCCTTGGAGGGGCCCTTGTTTGGGTTGGGCGTGACGCCCAGGCGCGCGCCGGGCCGCGCCGACGGCGCTGCCTGTAGCACGCCAAAGTACCCACCTGGCCGCTGGTACGGCGCCGCGCGGTATGCGTCGTGATCGCGCGGGCTGCCCGACGCGGCGGCTGCGGCTGCAGCTGCGGCTGCCGACCCACTGCGCGCCAGCGACCGCTCGTCGACCTCGCGCCGCTCCATCTCGTGGTAGACCTCGCGCTCCTCGGCGTCCAGGTCCTTCCAGCGCCGGCCCAGCTCCTTGTTAACAGTCGGCAGGTCCCACGTTGGGTTGTCGCGCACCAACAGCGGCCGCTCCTTGCGACAAAACAGCACGTACGCGCGCCGCGGCGCGCTGTGGCTGGTCGCACGCAACGATGCCGACAGCGGCGTGTGCACAGGCGTGGGAGTGTGCGCGTGCGCGTGTGCAGTGCGTGCGCCATCGTAGCGTTCGCGCTCAGCCGGTGCCATGCCGTTCCAATTGACCGTCAGCCGCCGGTGGATCTCGGCCTCACTCCAGTCTGGCACCTTGGACCGAAGCAGCGGGATCTGCTCGCGCAGGAACGCGTCAAACGCATCGGCCTCTGGCTCGGGCGAGTGCGACTCCGAGTGCGAGTGCGGCTGCGAGTGCATCGGCAAGCGCGCATTGCCTTGGGCCTGGTCATGGCTCTGGTGGCGATGTGGCATCGGCAACTGTGCCTGCGGCTGCGGTTGGTAGGGCTGCTGGCTGTGGTAGTGCGGCTGGTGCTGCTGCTGCGAGTGCGCGCTGAATGGCGGCTGCCTGTGACTGGCCTGGATTGCCGCGGCGTCGCTGGGCAGCGGGTAGTCCACCAGCATCTCCAGCATGTTGGTCTCGTTGACGACCGTCTCGTGGCGCGCCAGTGCCAAGTACTTGTCCTTGAGCCCCTGCGCCGACAGCCACCAGCTGTCCCACACCGCACGCAGCACCTCGGTCTTGCTGGCGCGCTCGTGCATCGCCTGTGCCGTCTTGCCGAACACCTCGCTGGCGTACATCGCGAACGCAGGGCCCAGCTCATCGCCGTAGTCGCGCGGCGGCCGCCCGCGGCGCTTGACTGCCGGCGGCGTCGTGTGCGACGCCATCGCGTCCATCCGCCCCAACGCGTACTGGTCGTCTCCGTACGGCCTGATGCGCGGCCGCTTGCGCGATGCTGACGTCGGCTCGCTGTACTCGCCCGACACATGGCGCATTGTCGAGGACAGCGACGACATTGCGCTGTTCAGCATCTCGACAGCCTCGCCGCCATCGGGCGTGCCGGTGTCTTGGCGCGAGTCGAGTGCCATGCCTGACGCGTCGCGAGATCGCCGCAGCATGTTTGCAATCATCTTGCACTGCATCGAGATCATATCGATGCTCTTCTCAATCTACAGGCGGAATTCAAACGAGTGGAGCGTGTTGTTATTGTTAGTGGCACACATACTTAGGTTTTTTTTGGGTATGCGAGCGGAGATTTGACGCTATACAGATCCGCAAAGGCCCAATATGGCTGGCCAATCCAATCGCGCTCAAACGATCGGTTGCCACTGTAAGTGCAAGTGCAAGTGCAATTGCCTCTGCTGCCTTCAAACAGGTTGTCCGCCGCTTGGAGGGATTTCCCGAAATGGATGTGTGGTGGCGCTGCCGTTAAATGATAAATCGATGATTGGACACTGCTGTTGGGTGAGTCAGCCAAAAAAATAAGGGTATATTAGCATCCTCGCCCACCCCAGCATACGCAGAAAAACAAAGGCCGAGGAGACCGATTTGCACTTAATTTATTGTTTTTCCCAATTAGACAACGAACGGCGCCTTTGCTCGCCCGTGTCAAGCAAAAACGGAAGTCACAAAAACAGGATGGGACCGATGTGCTGGGCCAGCTGGCCACCCCTCCTGGCTGAAAAAATAAAAATAAAAAATTTGCAGCTAGATGTGCGTTACATTACAGGCCATGATGAAATAAAGAAAATACAATTTGAAATGGAACGGAAAGCCATGTATAGCACTCGGCTGTATGGCAGATAAGAGAATAATGGCATGTTGCGACGCACTCTACTGTGGTAGCAGGTGCACCACTTATTCCCACTTCTTTAAACATGGTCATATCAAGTGATTTCGCTAATAAAAAAGAGCGACGGCAGCAGGCGATGGGGCCGCGGCCAGAGGAGATTGATAAACAAAAAATATGTGGCACTTGTAGGCACAACCTGGCGATTGGATGCGCTACACAATCAATCAGACATTGGCAATTTTTGAATGTTTTTGTTTTAAGCTTACCATCTCACAGTCCTCCGAGGACAGTGTTACGAGAGACATTGCGGGTTTGGATATTGCGCTTTTTGTTGGAGCCAGCCCGGAAAGTTCGGAAGTAGTCTTTAGCGGATGCAGTCCTTTGCTTACGCTGTAATTTAGCTACAGTCAAAACAAAACAACGAAAACAAAAGAAAGCACAGTAGTGCGTGTAAAGTTAGCAAATAGCCCTTGACGCAGAGCAAATCAGGGAGCCGGGGGAGAGAGAACAGGTAAGGAGCGTGTTTTTTACATACAGTTTGCTTGTTACTGCTGGATACGTGCCTCAAGTGCGAGCGAAACGGAAGTGGGGGAGATGAGGATGTCAAACCTGATGGATGCACTTGTGAGAGTGCTTGAATTATTGTTTGGGGGATCAGGAATTAGAAAGGTATTTAAAGACAAGAGTAGTCGTTACAAAGCAGAGGATGCGTATGCCTGCAAATTAGCCCAGTTGCGTAATAAGAAATAGAGGCTTTAGCAATGTAGGAATTATAGATAACGCTAATCGCAGGACGAGGGAAAAGAAAAGAAAAAAGCACTGGTAGGCCAAATAAAAAATATTAGATGAAGAAAAAAATTTAAAAAAAAAAGAAAGATGGGGAAAACACCGAGTGGAGAGAGGCACACGGGCCCAAAGCATGTGTCAAATATATATTAACGTGTGGAATTGTAGTAGCCACTCTGGAATAAAATAATAATAATAATAATGATGATTGTGATGATGGTATTTCCCGCCAATACCAATGCCAATGCCGCTTCTCCTGCTGCACAATAGTGTGACAACCAAATAAATAAATAAAAGTTTTTTTTGGACAATTATAGATGCCACAACCGATGACAAGGGATGGGATTGGATGCCCAAATTGACCGACAACGACTGCCAATCTCAATGGCCCGATATGGACATGTCTTTGGTGATAGCCAAACAACATACACACAAAACAAGAGAGTAAAAAACAAGAGTTTCTACTACCAGCCATACCAGCTACCACACAAAAGAAAAATGTTGGTTTTGGATGTTGCCCGCATGCGCATGCGCATGCACACCCGGGTCCCTTTTGTGCAAGATGCAAGCAAAGCAAAACACGCAGCTCCACAATGCAGCGAAGCACCTTTACTTTAATCAACTTGCTTCGATAGAGTCTCTAAAGCATATGAACGATCAAACTAATGAATGAGTGATTTAATAAGAGGGAGGGAGAGGGAAAGGTAGAATAAAAACTTACATTTTGCGACAACAAAAACGTTGATTAGCTGCAAGCCAACCAAACGATTTTTCGATATCAATCCTGCGCTATATCGCGGCGTCAAAGCTAAGCTTGCTTGCTGGAATAAAAAAGTCCCTAAACTTTTTTGTGTGGTTCGTGAACGCCAAAGAGAAAAAATGAAATCTTGGCCCGCAGCAGCAGCAAAAAACAAATGAAAAAGAGAGGCGATTTATATGACGGAGATGAGTAACTAACCAACTTAATTAGTTGACTAGCTGGCTATGACTGGATAACTATCAAATGATAAAAGTAGGACTAGAGAAGGGAAAGTTGTCAAAGAAAATCCAAAACAAACGTTTTTTTGGGTCTGAGAAAATGAAATGAAGAGGGAAGAAAAGTGGCGATAGGAGTATTGGATTTGAATAACGTGAAAGAAAGAGAAAAGTGGAAGAGGAATGAGAATGAGAGAGGTGGGGGGTGATGAGTATTGCGTCGGTGTAGATTGGCGAAGATCAAAACTAAAATAATAGTGGTTCTTTTTTATTTATTTTGGGTGAGACATGTTGCCCTGTAGTTATCAGAAAGGAAAATGAGGCGAGACAAATTCCATGACAAACAACAATAATTAAAAAAGAACGCCTTTCGTTGTGTGTGTGGGCAATGGAAAAAGGGGGAGCGATAAAAAAGAGAGCAGCCTCTGATAAACAAAAAAGTTGGTTTGGCATATGTGCCACAATTAGTAAATTCAATTTACGTTGTCTAGCGGATAATAGGGTGTAGGGGTTGCTTATGTCTGGCCACCATGGTCATAAAAAAACCACATCTACACCTGCCAGCCCGCATGTCCAGAAATCGTTTATCATGACATTACTGCATGGGCGATGTAAAATATAAAAAAGGCATATTCGCATTCTGTGGCACTCTCAGCTCTAACACAGTGCCTAAAAGGTATTCAAACTGATATTGTCATTTAAACCCCCTTCCTTTACGCACAGAAGGTGCCCTGGGTTACTTTTTTAATAGTAGTGAAAGTATGGACAGAATATGTGACAATTGTCAACGACGCAACATGATAAAGGGAATGCGCCGTAATGACAAGAATAGGGAGGTGCACTTGTGTATTTGAAAAAGAAAAAGAAAAACATGTACACCAAGACAATGGTCAAATTAAACAGCCTGCTGCTGTCAATTGGGCTGGAACGGCTTGTTCGCAATCAGTAGTGGCAGTAGCACATAAAAGAAGGCGCACTTAAAATACCTGTGATTGTTGGTGTTGATGTTACTGCTCTTTCCCAACGTATGCGCTGGTGCCAATACGCATTCCCGCGCCAAACTATGAGCCCGCAGTGCGAGCACAATGGGATGCGCCCAGCAAATAAAATAATATCGGCACTTATCATGCTACAAAGTGAGAGAATCAGGTGAGCTGTGTGTGCAATATCCCGATACACGCAGCCAACTATGCGGGAAAACATCAACCCGGACACATAGAACATGGCAAATATTAAAAACAAAAACAACCAATAAGACAAAGGCCAAAAAGAAACAGTGGCACAAACAATACATATCCACAAATATAGATGCTAACCATTTGTGTAGTAACGCCGCCATTATTGTCAAATTGTTAACATTGTTTTGTTGTTGTTTCTCCTGTTGTTGCTCCTGTTGTTGTCATTTTATTTACCAGCTATAACTTCAATTAGACTGTTTTTTTTGGGGGGAGGATGGGAGAGGGTTTAGTTTTCTGACCATGTGTGCCAAGTGACTCAAATGGGTGGCTAAAAGTAGACAAGGGAGGACATGTCGAAACCATTGCCTCATTTGTCGGATTTGTAATAATTGCATACGAGTAGAGATATCTTGCCTAGAATACAAATACTTGCACATAGTGTATATTTGCGTTCACAGCAACAGCGACAGCAGGGACCGTGCCGTGTATATACCATATAAACCGTGGAATGAACTGGACAAGCAGCATGCCCACAAGCTACATTTTTATGTTAGCGTTTCCATATGCAGCTAGCATGAGAATGTATGTGTTATTGATAGGATAATCCGGATATGCCAATTCGAAAACGTTCACATCTTAATTAGCCAGTCTAGAACACCATGTCACTCTTGCACATAAAACGAGACGTCTTTTTTATAGCTGCTGACGACTCGTGCAAACAATGCACACATAGACAATATATAAGGCATTGTGTACTGAGGCGGATTGGAAGGCAATATTGCTTTGGGATTGGCTTGAGAATGGGATGCAGCGCTGCTGAAGAAAAACAATGGCCATAGTATTCTGCCAGTGTTACTTATTTTTGGACCATCTTTAGCTTATTTAAGGGCACGTTATTCGTGTATTTACAGCCTTCTACGTACATAACAATGTATTCGAGATTGTGTTGTGCTGCTAGGCCTTCGCAACTTGGCCATTATATTTGCAAATGTTTGGTTTGGATGCACAAGTGAGTTGCGGGCGGTATGTGGATTTGTTTTACAATTACCAAGTAAAAAATATTTGTCGCACATCAGCGCTAATGCTGTGATTTATGACAGCCACACGAGCCCCGTTTTGATCTTGCAATGGATCCTTGCTGATGGTGTAGTGTCGATGCTTGTGATGTGGTATGACGTGGAGCTGTTTTGCTGCTGACCATGAAATAATCTCGATCTGCTGCATCCAGCCGATCCACATCGAGTCGGCTTACTTGCCGAGTCGAGCTGACAAATAAAGCAATTTTTTTTTTTGACATGGTGCAATCTTTGAAAAAATTTTCACTCTGCCAACAACCCTGTCTTTTATCGCTTTCGACTATCTTTCTTTCGTTCTTCTGTTTGTTTCTAGTATATCTTTTTCCACTGTTTTTTTGTTTTTTTTGCTTGATGACTATGTGTAAGTGTACATAAACGCGCGCTGTTGCCATAGTGGTAAGGTAAGGTACGCTTTAAACATTAAATTTGCTTATTTGTGCGTAGAACAAGGCGGGTGGTGTGGTTAATGACGCTAACTCCAGACGGGCGGACATAAATGATTAACACGAGGTGTCTTCGGATGCCACAAAGTGGCCGTCCTTTTCCTTGTGAGATGGTCTGGACTGCGTGTTTATTCGCATGTTGAATGTCTGTTTAATTCTGAAACCAACTTTTTATTGCCTTTATTATTTGTTATTCAAATTTCAGTGCGCATGATACCGCGAATTTTTCTATATACACATTTATTTACTAAACTCGCGTGTTTTTCTTTTGATGCATAATAGTGTAGCTGTTGGTATTTTGGCGTCTAGCAAGCAGCTTTAAGGAGTTATTCAAGACGCGTCAGAAATGCTTTTTTCCCCTTTAAATTAGTTTGTACACACTACTTATTTTTATTTTCTGTAAATATAAAGTTTATTATATTAAAGTAAATGTAAGCTGATTGTTTGTCTGGCCATGCTCCTAGTTTGGAATAGTTTATAACTGAATCTACAGACAAGCTATTTGGCATAAGGAGTTTTTAAAAAAAAAAGAGTACGTGACTAGCGCGTATATTTTTTTAACACATGCATTATATATTTAGACTACGCCTTTTTATTATTTTACACGTTGCGCGCAGGCATCGATTGTAATCGATTGCATTGCAGCCGTGCGCTAGTCACGACTGCGCGTGAGATGCGAAAGTCATACCGTCTTGTGTACATTTAGCTTTATTGTTGGCCAACTTTGATGAGAAACATGCTGGGCATAGTCAATCGAGTATGTGAAAAGTCCGGCCGCAGGTTTGGCTGTCACAAGGTAGGTTGGCGGAGAGATGTTCGCGTAGTGCAAAACATTAAAGGTTCCATAAATATTTTAATTTATGTGTATTCCTCCTTGTTCACACGCAGCGGATGCAATTGCCATTGGCACTGCCGTTGTACATTTATTTACAGAGCTTAAAGCTTTGAACTCTGAGCACTAGTCATCAAGCATCGGATCGTTCGGGGGAACTGAATAGTGCGCTGGGTAAGAAAGTAGCGCGCAAAAAAACTACAAAGTATAAAAAACAAAGACAATTTGTGCGCAGGTTTAATTTTCATAGACAATGTCATACAGCAAGCGGTAGAGAAGCGTGAGAATCTAGAACCCAGCTCGGCACAACTACGGAGGCTTTAGGAACAACACCTGGGCATAGAGAAGGATGAACGAGATGCTTTGCATATTGCGTGCTGTTGATTGGGGGTGATGGTCGGCGGCGTTGGGTTGGGTTGAGCTGTAAAATTATATTCAGAAATCGGGCAGTCAATTGTCACAGGAAAAAAATGCAACGGCAGCGGCAGCGGCGGCAGCAGGAGTGGGAGCAGGAGCATGGATGCACGATGCTGCCTATTTATTTCCCTCTTTTTTGTAACGGAGGTGCATAGCGAGGCCGAAATACCAAATGCGCGGCTGCCCAACGGAAATAAGGCCACTTTAACACTGCGATTGCAGGTGGAGAGAGGCGGTGTTAAGTGCACTCTAAAAGTATGTTTTTCTTTGTTTTTTTTTCCTTCACATTTTTGGCAATTATCAGAGGTTCAACATGAGTATTTCTTTTCTTCTTTGCATTTATATACTTTTAAGTTTTCCAAAAAAAATAATACACAAACAAATAAACAAACAAAAAGACTCTCGCTCACCCACCATATTTTATTTCTTTGGGTTGTGCTGGATATTGCATTGATACCATTGACATATACTTTGTGGTTAAATATTTCTTCATTTGCAACCAGATATTCCTTAACTTTTCGATATTTTCTCACACTCGTACTTTAAGCGCTCGGTTGGGCTCTTTCATTTTTAATAGTTCATATTTCTGCATTACACTCCAAAAGTTTTTTATTATATTTTTTATTTCGCCTCACCTCACCCGAGCCAAACACTTGTTATAGTTGCTATTGTTACTATCGTTTTTCCGGGGTTGGCCATACAAGGCAGCAGGGAATTGCTTATCGCCTCAATCCGTGGGATTATTCGTTTTAGTATCAACAGGTCTGTATTTGGGTGTAGACATTTGACTTATCGCCCGTTTCCTCAGGTTCTTTGTGCAGTCGGGAGTGCGGCATTTTTAAATTTCTACTTTTATCCTTCTAATCAGCAGCGGTTTTGCGCAACAAGGCAGGGAATATATTCCTGGTTTGGCTAAACAAGGCAAGTCACCACAATTGGGTATTTAGAAATCCATTTTTCCTCATCCAAGAATCAGTGTGGTAACAATGACTGTAGGGACAATGGTACCAGCAGTAAATGGCTCGCGGCTTATTGTTGGAAAACGAGATTAACGCAGCCGCCGATTTTCACCTTTCGAGAGCGATTTTTTTTTCCCACGGCTTGTTTTTTTTTCTTTTTCAGCTCCAACTTGCATGTTGGCCACAATTCGCTCCCTCCCTGAGCTCGTGTGCTGCAACATGCAAGTCCCAATTGCAATGTATTATCCCACACGCATTGACTAATTTGTGCTTTTGTTTCACCATTCGCAACTTTATTTGTTTGTGAACGTAGCGTATTTATGCGTTGACCAGAGCAGAGAATAATGCGCTGCGATGTTCTGCTTTGTCGTGTTTCCCCCTTTCTTTTTCATGCCTTGCTGCTAAGCAGATGGCTGATGGCATGTGACAAGTCAGTCTTGTTCAAAATTCTCCCTGCTCGAAAAAAGAAAAATTATTGCGGCTATTGGAAAATCACTAGTCAGTTTACAAGTCCACCAATCCTTTGGGGAGAAAAACATTTATGCATACTTATTTTTATTTTTTATTTTTATTCCGTTTTTTTTTCCTTTCCAATTTGCTTTTTAGAGTTTGTTTCTAAATTTTAGACCTTTTTGTGCATATTCTTATATTCTTATACTCTTGTATTCTAACGTTAGACACAGGCGCAGCTTTTTTGTGACAACCAACTCGGCATTAATATTCGTTGGGCCACACAGGTCAATACAGCTCGATACAGTTCAATACAGTCCAATACAGTCCAATACAATTCAGTTCACGCCACACCACACAGTGCAATACATACATCATCGGGGGCACAATGGAGCGACACCCATCCTCTCGCAAGCCTGTGCGGCGCACGGCAGGGCACGTTGCGGACAGCACAGCAGACATTAAAGAGTCCGGCTGCATAGCCGACAGTGGTGTGCATAGCAGAGTCCCTACGACAGTAGGCATACATTATAGCCACGGGATTGGTCACGAGCAAGTGTACCGACAAGGGTATGCGCCCGGATGCAGCGCAGTAGGATTCAGAGCAGAAGACGGCAGGGGCGAGTACCGGCAGCAATGGCAAGGAGCTGCGAGCAGACACACCCCACTGAATCCCATGCACTACACTTTGCCAGTAGCACACAACAGCAGTATGGGCGGTTTCAGCAATGAGCGCGGTAGCAGCACACACGGGAGTTATTCGCATAGCGGCAGCACCAGGGGGACAATGGCCAGCGAGGGTGGCAACAAACATAGTGTTATGGCAGTGCATACGGGGTACCCACAGATCGAGGATCGCCCAGGGCGGGTGCACCGCTACATATCCGGCGGGCAGCAGGGCGACGGGGCAGCGTCAACAACAGATGTGATGGCGCCGCCAGTGCTGCCGCCGCTGGAGAGCCTGCAGTCAGGAGATGAAATACCATTCTGGCGGCCTCCGGCCGTGCTGCAGCGCGAGCCACACTACCACCGCCCAGGTTCCGGTGGTGGGCTGTCCGGGTCTCTGGGCAGCTACCAGCTGCAGAGCCAGCCGGTTTCTGGGCATGCGGCCAAGGTGTATCAGCAGCAGCGCAACTATAGCTCGAGCCAGAGCACTGCCAGTGCCAGTGCCAGTGCCAGCGCCAGTGCCAGTGCCAGTGCGACATGCGGCAGGCCGATGCTGTCATCGGCGCTACTGGCGATCAGCAACACGCACTACCAGCATAGCAACCAGTCGAGCCAGCGGCGCGGCAGGCATACGCTGGCGTCGATATGCTCTCCGGTGAGCGGGGAGGAGGATGGCGGCATCAGCATTGGCAGCGCCAGCACCAGCACCAGCACCAGCGCCAGCACCAGAAGCATGGGCAGCAGCCCGGTGGCGGCTGCGGCGCTGGGAACCGACGACGAGAGCAGGGGCACGCTGCGGCTACCGCCCATTGAGCCAATGTCGATCGCATGCCTGGTGTCGGCGCGGGCCGGCGGCGTGCAGCTGCCAAGCTTCGCGAGCCTGGCGTGCAAGCGCGCGGCCGAGTGCGACGCAGAGGAGGACGCGGCGCGGTCGCTGCACAAGATGGCGCGCACCGACAGCCAGGCCGACCAGGCCGACCAGGCCGACACGATCATCACGTACAGCAGCGTGCGCGAGGAGCCGGGGCTGTGCGGCGGCAACCAGGTGGTCATCACGTGCTACCACGCGGCCGTGGCGCAAAAGTCGTACGGCGGCGAGAAGCGGTTCCTGTGCCCGCCGCCCGCCGTGCTGATGTGCGGCGAGGGCAGCAGTGCGCGGGCTGCGCACGGCGCGGCCATGCTCCTGTCGGTGGTGCGCGAGGGCGGCTGCGACGGGCTGCCGTCGTCCAGCGCGCACGGGCCGCTGGAGTGCCAGACGTCGTTCAACGAGCGCAACGTGGCGCTGTTCAAGAGCCTGCACGTGACGGGCATGCAGAAGGCCAAGAGCTTCCGGCTGCGGCTGGACCTTGTGGCCGGCGGCGCGGCGCACGCGTCGCTGGAGTCAGGCGCCGTGGCCATCATCTCCAAGCCGAGCAAGAAGACGGCCAAGGCGCGCAACCAGTCGACGTGCATCCGCAGCGGCGCGCTGGTTGCGCTGTTCAACCGCATCAACTCACAGACGTTCCGCACAAAGTACCTGAACGTCGACCACACGACGGATCGGTGGGTGGCGCAAAGCCAGAACTGGTCGCCGTTCCACGTCGAGGTTGTGGGCGCAGCGCCCGGCACGCCGCTGTACTACGGTGCCGAGATCGTGCTGGTCGAGTCGCACCGCAGCTTCCGGTCGCCGCCGATGATCATCCGCAAGGTCGAGCGCGGGCGGCTGGTGGCTGGCGCCAGCTCGCCGGTCAGCCAGATGCAGAAGGTGGCGCTGCAGCTCAAGGGCAGCCGCCCGCCGCACTTCCTGATGGCCGACGCGGGCCACTACGTGGCGGCGGGCGGCGGCGACCCATCGGCGCCCGCGGCTGCGCGCTTCGACGACGCCGACGGCTCGCCCGAGCTGACCTTCGAGCCCGCCGAGCCCAGCCGGCTCGCGCGCACGCGGCTGCGCGATGCGCCGTCGGCGGCGCAGGAAGGCAGCAGCGCCGAGCTGGACGACGCGTTCTGCTGGACGATCGTCGGCATCGCAGCCTTCACGCATGCGTTCTCGGCGCCGCGCGGCCAGGCAGTGGGCGCGCTGGTGCGCGTGTCGGCCGTGGCCCACGACGCCGCCAGGCGCACCCTGCGCATTGTGGCGCCGGGCGCAGAGCCGGGCGCGGGCGTCTTCATTGCGCAGCTGCCGGACGACGCGGCGCCGGGGGCACTGGCCATCCGGCGCAGCGACGGTGCGCTCGTGCACACAGGCTGGGCAATGCGGCACGGGGCGGCTGGCCAGCTGGAGCTCGCGGCGTGCAGCCTGGACATCTGACGGGCGGCCCGGCCTGGACATCTGATCGCGCGTAATCCTGCGATCACACGCCTAATCAGCACAGCTTTTTTCTTTATTTTTTCCCTTGCCCGCGAGCGATCGTGGGCAGGCCGTGTCAATATTAACAAAGCAGCTTGACCACAGGGCAGGGCTTCTCAAAGCACCTCTCTTCCCAACCCCTCCTATTGCAACAGCCCTTTTCTTTCCTCACAGCCTAACCTCTCACAATGTTCACAGAAATCCTCGCGGTCGGCACGCCCGGCGGCGTCCACGTCTTCGATCTGCGGCGCGGCACGCGGCTGGCCGGCGCAACGAACGGTGGCGGCAGCAGCAGCAGCGTCGGCGCGGCCAGGCACCAGGGCTTCGCGATAACCGACACGTGGGTGGCGGCCGTCAACGCCGCCAAGCCCGTCTGCGCTGTGCACATGCTCAACCGCGGCGACACCGCGCCGCGCCTCACATTCCCGCTGCCTGAGGAGATCACGTGCGTGCTGGCGCTAGACGGTGGCCGGCTGCTGGCGGCCGGCGCGCAGTCGGGGCGCGTGCTGGTGTGGGCGCCGGCGTCGGGGCGGCTGCTGCGCGCGTGGGACGCGCACTACGGCGCGGTGACAGCGCTGGCCAGCAGCGGCGGCGTGCTGGTGACGGGCGGCGCCGACGCGGCCGTGCACGTGTGGGCGCTGGCGCAGGCGCTGGATGCCGCGTCCGACTTGCCGCCAAGCCCGCTGGCCACCATGGCCGAGCACACGCTTCCGATCACGGCGCTGCATGTCGGCGCCGCGCCGCTGCTGGCCGGCCGCGCGCGCGTGTACAGCGCCAGCGGCGACCACACCGTCAAGCAGTGGCGCGTCAGCGTGGCGCGGCCCGAGGACGGCACCTCGGGGCTCGCGGCGCGCGCCGAGGTGCTGGCCACGCTGCTGTACCCGGCGGCCGTGCGCGACGTGGCTGTCGACGCGCCCGAGACGCGCGTGTTCGCGGCCACGGCCGCCGGCCTGTTTATGACGCCGCTCTACGCTGCCGCGCCGCTGGCTGCGCGCGGCGGCGTGGCCGACGCTGTTGTGGGCGACGGCCACGTGGCCTTCCCAGCCGCTGAGGCCGACATTGTGGCCATCACGCTGAGCCTCGACGCGACGCTGCTGGTGTCGGCCGCAGCCGGTGCGGCCGTGCGCGTGTGGGACACGGCCAGCCGCCAGTGCCTGCGCACGCTGGCCGACAAGACGCTGGCCGCCGGCGCGTCACAGCTGGTGGTGCGCCTGGCGCCGCTGCAGCTCGGGGGGCCGCGCGCCGCCGCGTCGGCTGGGCTGCAGCGCCCGCCTGTGCTGGCCGAGGCCGTCGTTGCGCCCAAGCTCAGCGCCATCAGCTTTGTGCCGCTGCAGCGCATTGCAGGCGCTGGCACTGGCGCCTCGGCGACAGCATTTGAGGCGCCCGTGCGTGTGCGCCTGGCCGACACAACCGCCGCTGCCGCGCACTTTGACCGCAGCCTGGCGCCGGCGCTGCCCTACAGCGACGCTGCCCTCGGCTCCGAAGCCGCGCTGCTGGCCGCCCTTCGCCCAGCCAACGGCTCGTCCGAGCAGCGCGTTGCCGACCTCCTGGCCCAGGTCGAACGCCTGCAGCGCCACTACGCGCGCACGCGCTGCCTCAACGACGAGCTGTACCAGGGCGCCGTGTCTGAATGGCTGTCAACGCGGCAGCAGCGGAAGCCCTGACTGAGCCCATTACAATCCAAAGCAATGCCGCCCTCGCCCCCCCCCCCAAACCACCACTTTAAAATCAACGGTGACGGCGGGCGCACGGGGGCCTGCTGCTATTTTCTTTTTGTTCTTTTTTGTTTCTTTAATTCAGCTTTTTCAATTTCAAGTCCATCTCCGAATTCGCCTCCGTTGACACCAACCACCAATGTCGCAGACCACATCCGCACAATTCACCGTCGGCAAGCTCGACGCTGGCATGGTACGTACGCCGCCAAGCTCCTCCAGCTCGCACTGGATTCCACACTCGCGCTGAATTCCACACGCCTCTAACCCAACCAATTCCTCCTTCCATTTCCCCTCACCTAGGCTCTGCTCCTCACCGAGGACTACCAGCTCATAGAGTTCCCTTCCGTACTCCTCCCCAGGGGCGTCGTGCTCGGCTCCGTTGTCAACATCGATGTTTGCCGCGACCGCGAAACTGAGAAGCGCCAGCGCAACGACTTCCGCGACCTGCAGGACGAGATACTCAAAGCCTTTGGGTCTAATACGCCAAAGCCCCCGCATATCCGCATTGGCCACACCACGCAGACGTGGGCCGTCATCGAGTGGGACCCGCTGGACCTTGCCTCCGCTGAGCTGCGCTCGCTGCACCTCTACCGCGACGACCAGCGCATGATGCAACCCATGCCTCAGACGCTCGAGCTGGCCAACTCTGTCGCCGCTGTCAAGTCCACTGGGCTCGACGTTGACCACAGCTACGACTTTAAGATCGAGATGCGCACCTCCGCCGGTACCTTCTTCTCAAACACAATAACAGTCAAAACCCATGCTCTTGACAACCTCAGCGGCATCCGCGTCTGCTTCGGCGACTGTGACTCGCAGGACGAAATCGACAGCCTTAAAGAAACCCTTGCCCGCATCGGCGCCTCATACACCGATACTGTCTCTCTCGACATCACACACCTTGTGGCCCGCTACAAGACCGGCCCCGCCTACGAAGCCGCACTGCGCTACAACATCCCCATCGTAAAGCCCGACTGGATACTCGCATGTGAGGCCAATGCCAAGTTGCAGCCCGCGATCAAGTTTTCGCTCGAATGACCATGATGACGACAGCGGCGGTAGTAGTAGTAGTTCATTTTAATATATCTAAACTGCATATTAATCTTGCATTGTGGAAAAAAAGAAATTATTATGATGAAATGGAAAAATGGGAGAAAGGTATCACATATCCAGCATATCCCGAGGCTCTCAGCCTTAGCCCCTGGTGGTCGAACCAGGTCTAGCAGCAGCATCAGATGGGCCGCCGGCCCCGGATTTGCTCCAGTCCATGCCCATCACCGCATCACCGTCGTTGTCGTTGACATTGATGTTGTCGCCGTGAGGCATGCTGTTGGTAAGCCCGGTTGGCAGCGACCAGTCAAAGCACCAGTCCATCGGCTGCGCACCAGAGCCAAACCTTGCACCGCTGTTATTGTTGTTGTTGTTGTTGTTGTTGTTGGCACCAACGCCAATATTAGCTCCGGCGTTGATGATGCTATTGCCGATGCCCTGCGTCAGAAGGAATGTGCTAGGATCGAATCCTGTCGATGGATCCATGGACATTGGCGTTGTGATGGGCGCAGTCGCCGCACTCGACGCTGCTGATACACTGTTGTGCATGGCTGCCGCCGCTATATTGCCATTTCCATTGCCATTGCCACCATTCATTGCGTTGAATATAGCCATGACAATGTCTGCATTGCTCATGCCACCATTATTCTCGCCGGCGGTATTGGCCATGCCGCTCACACTCGGGTCAACATGCATTCCATTAGGCCCGCCACTGTTTATGACGCTGGCCATAGTTACATTTGAAAGCGGCGACGGCGGCACCATCGGCATCCCGTACAACTCATTAAGGCCACGGTGCCCACCAAACACATCGCCACTGGCAAACACGTTGTTCATTGCCAGTGCCAGCTCTGCATCTGACTCGCGCCGCTCAGGCAGCCTGCTTCCCTGAACTGGTGCCGCGCCGTTCAACATGAATGCATGGTGGTTGCCACCACTTGAGAGTGAGTCCCGCGACGCACGCCGCAGATTCTGCGCATACCAGTACGGCGATGGGCTCATTTGTGGGCTGTTCACCCGCGAGCCTCCCACCGCCGGCGTCCCCTGGTATGGCGCAACGGGGTACGGCGCTGCCCGCCGAAGATGGTTGCATGACGTGCGCTGCCGCAGAGGCAGCGGTGCAGCCGACTGTGGCAGCTGTGGCGGCGATGTGTTGGTCGTTGCCCCCATTCCGGCAGACGTTGTCGGTGTGCTGCTGCCGCCCGAGTGCTGCTGGTGGCTCTGGTAATTGCTTTTCTCATCATCGTCCTCCTGATCGGACGCCTCGTTCGGCCCTGGGCTATCGCCGTCGATCGTTCTGCAAAGGCTGCTGCTCGGGTTGACCTTGCATGCACCACTGCCATTGATGCTTGCTGCAGACCGGATAAACGGAAGTGAAGCCGACCGCTGCGTCTTTAGGGGCAGTTGCCCCACACTACCAGCCATCGCCGCTGCCAGGTTATTGTTGAATGCAGATGCCGCCGCTGCTGCCGCCAACGCTGCAGGGTGCCCGCTGTCGTGGAACGCAAACACCGAGTGTCTGGTCGCCGCCAGCGCGGGGGGCATTACGTTCATGGGAGGGTGGTTGATGTTCGTCCCTGTCATTGATGTGGGTGTTGGTGTCAGCGTTCCGATGGTCGACGATGTCGCTGCAGAGATCGGTATGTACATGTTGAATGCCGGCAGCGCCCCAGCAACCATTGCCGCTGATCCGCCGGCAGAGCTTTGGTGGGACGGGCTTGTAATGCCGCTGTGGTCATCGCCCATATCGCCGCCGGATACAGCCGTTTCAGCACTCACGATTTGGTCGCTGGTGTTGCCGCGGTTGACCGAATGGAGGCGCACAGCCTCGCTGCACGGCAGCCATGTGTTGTGCGGGATTCCTGTTATCGCGCTGTACGGGTCATCCATGTTGCCCAGCCACAAAGACATCAGCGGATCTGCCGCTATCTTTAGCCGCGAGCATGTCGCCAAAAGTATGCGCAACTGACAAAACAGCGTTACAAACGACCCCGATACAGTATGTACATACGTGTTTGATGCACTGAGGTTTTCTGAGAAATCGCCAATCTTCACCCACTCACCGCCCTCGCTCTGGAAGTAGTAGGAAGGCAGGTCATACACATGGATTGACAGCTCACCCTTGGCCTGCGGGTTTTTTAGCGCGCAGTTCAGCAGCGACATGGCAGCCTGGGGGTTGATCACTGTCTCGCTGATCGTATCCACCAACTGCACTGCTGGATCGGGTGACTCGCGGAACTTTATCCGCGAAATTGCGCTGTAAGGCAAAACCATCTTGTACCGTACGTTGCAGCTGCTGATGATCCACTGGAACTCACCCACGAGCGAATCAAGCTCAGCTGGACGATGATTGCCTGGGCGCTGAACCGGCTTAAGCGGCGGAGGCTCCACGCATGCCAGGCATGTGAGCTCGGTGTCGGACATCGGCACCCGGTGCCAGCTGCCCACCGTGAGTCGGGTTGCATCAAGAACCATGAATGAGGCAATTTCGGGAATAAGCGATGAATATCCCATCCCCGGCCGCCCACCCATGGCCATCGACATTCCGCTGCTACTTCCTAATTGAGGAGCCTGTCCAGGGTGCATACTGCTGTGGTGGGCAACAAGCGCCAATGGCGCCGGCCGCCGCAATGAACCGGCCATTCGCGAGCCAGAAACTGGGGTTGCATGCCCGCTGCTTTCTCCAGCGACGGCAGCAGCGGCAGCAGAAGCCTCCATCACATTATTAAAGTTACCGCTGCTATCGCTGCCCGTGGTGGCAATTCCAGCCGAAAACCCAGGAACGGACATGCCCATATTTAGCATGAGTTGTGAAGACGATGCTCCACTGCTGACGCAGCGCAGGGTGTCGCTGGAAATAGTGGCTGGAGCATGTGATGCGGCAGTGGTCGTGACAGCAGTCATACATGTATCTGTGGCTGCGCCTGCCGCGGCCGCCACCGGTGTTGTGACGGGCGAAACGGCGCTGGATACAGATGTGGCAGTAGCGTCGGAGGCCATAGTCACAGGTTCGGGCCCAGTCGGGGACGCGACAGCAGTCATTCCTGACATTTCAGACTCGCGCCTACTATCGCCAATATTGGCGGCGTACATCAACGCAGCCGCAACAGAGGACGCCGTAGTTGTAGTAGCACCCGCAGAGCCAGTAGCGGCAGAGGCCGCAGAGCCATTGCTCGCGCTATAGCCTTCCATTTTCCCCGCAGGCGCCGCCATATACAGCGCGTCGCTTGAGAACTGCCCCGCACCGCCCATCGGCAGACCGTTGAATTGGCCATTAGACATGAGTGCACCCGGCGAAGCCAAGCCGGGTGCATTGGCGAATAGGAAGTATTGGCTCGGCGATGAAGACGAGTTGGGATCCTGCTGGGCCATATCTGCGCTCCAGTTCATCCACGGATTGCCGCCAGCATTGATAGAAGCGGCGGCGGCAAATGCCATATGATTGTCAATTAGCGACGAGTGCTGTTGCTGACTTTGATGCTGGGATTGCATCGCCGAAGGGTAGCCAATTCCCGAGGGTCCAGCGCCAAAGCTCATGGCAGCAGGACTAGCGCCAAACCCGCTGTTTCCATTAGCTGGTGTTGTTGATCCAGGATCAGCACTCCCCCCGCCAGCTATGAATGACGATGCCATTGCCATGGAGTAAAAGTCGGGGCTAGTATTCGCATACGCCAACGGATCAATAATCATCGACGGGTGGTGCTGCAACGCGCGTGGATTTCTCTGCTGCGTCTTCTCCTTGGCCCTCCGGTTTTGGAACCACACCTGAACCTGGCGCGGTGCCATCCCTAGCCGCGTCGCCAGATCCTCGCGAAGCCTACTGGCGGGTGAGCGGTTAACTAGAAATACAGACTCCAAAACTGACACTTGCTCGGAAGTTGCACGTGCGCGCTTGCGATGAGATGCCTTTGAGCTTGATTTTCCGGACAAGCTGGCGGAGCCAAACGATGCGGAGGAATCCTTAGAACTCGCATTGTCTGCGGCATTTGGCATGGGCGATTGTTGGCCGATACCCAAAACATCAGATATTCTCGGCTGCGCGCTGCAGTTCGAATTTGTGTTTGTTGTCGTTGGCATTGTCGAGCCTAGCATCAAGTCCATAGAAAACGAAGCTGCGATATCAGATGAAGTTGGAAATATAGGGCTATGGTGTGTAATCGGAAGGGATGCAGAGAACTCATCGGTAAAAATAGACGATTCAAATAGCATTGTCAATGTTAGTATTCTGAAATAGATGGCGTGTGTATGTTTGCGTGTTGCTGTCAAGTACAAAAAGGGAGGGATTGTCCAAAAGAAAGTTGAATATCGGGCAGCGTGTGGCCGAGATTAAAGGTATATAAGACAATACCGGCACCAGACTTTTGCCACATAGCGAATTATGAAGCATTTGAAAAGAGGGGACCAGTGTAACCAAAGTTCCTTTCTTCGGGCTTGCAGACATGCAGCCACGATGTATGGGGTAAAAGTGAGGGGGCAGTAAATAGGAAGCAAAGGCAGCAAGAACAGAATAGAGTGCGTTTGTGTGTCTCCTCTTATTTGGCCTATTATTTGTTAACGACTACTGGCAAAGCTTCTGGCATGCCAGAAAAAGTTTTGAAAAGTGCGATGCGCCTTGCATCAAAAGGCAGTAGTTTATTCCACCATGTTGCAAGCGTTACCTGTATCTGTAGCTTTCCCAGTCGCGTATGCAGATAGACAGTGCGAAAAATACGCAAAACAGGGTATGTATGTGAGGAGCGAGTTACTTTTTGATGCAGCCGCTAGAAAGCAGCAGGCAGCAGCAGTTTAGTTGAACAGAGATCCTGGCGAGCAAGTGAATGTGATGGTGGTTGTGGTGTAATGCGGGAAATAGGCTACCAGCGGTCTGGACGATAATACAAAAAATGGGAGTGATTACAAATAGGACCAGAAAGTGGGATGGAAAAATAAAGTGGCGAATAATACGCAATAAAGCCAGACAGGGAGCATAAAAGGTGAAGAAATCGTTCATTCGCCCTGGAAGAGAAAAAATGCCATTTTGAAAAGGCGCTTTCGAAGCGGAAGTAGGCACCCCTTATTTTAGTCAACTCAAAAAGTAGCAAGCAAAACGCAAAGCGGAGCAGCGCAGAGCAACCAAATAAAAGAAACAAAAAAGGAAGGTGCAAAGATGCTCATTTTTTTTCATTCATTTTTGTAAATTTTTTTTGCGGCTACCGCAATACTCATGGCCGGTTATTTGGGGGAGGGGGGATGCACTGTGATCGGAAAGCAGGGAGGGCTCGGGTCTTCACTTTTCCCACTCATTCATTGGCATTCCTATTTGCTGGGACGCAAGGCGCGCTGCATGTGCACTTTGCGCATCACGCAGAGTCGCAAGAGGCTGTGAATGGTGAGCCACATCAATTGCAGCAGCGGCAGCATCGTTATGCGCAACCTTTAGGTGTGGAATGGTCGTGCGACATGCAGGGCTCAAAGTGCAACAAGCATATTATTTGTAAACTTACCAGTAATGACGGAAAGGAGGTCGATGGGCGACGAGCTTTGACGCAAACGAGAGTGCAAGAATTATCCAATCTTTTCCGAGGTAAACGGTGTGCAGGGGTAAAGTAGTCCAAAGCTAAGAGTAACCTGGGTCTGTCCTCTAAATCAAACTGCTATTGTGTTGTATATAAGGAAAAAATGACAATGCTACTTTTTTAACATACAAATTGTATAATTTTTAGAACTACTCGACGAAAAAAACACAATGATCGCGCTTTTCGCTTAAAGTTGATAAAGAAAAGACTAATTTGACTCTGGCGCAGACAATGATTTCTGTAGTCTTAAAAGAGCAATTGTAATTCAACAAGCGATAGTGCAAGCAGAAAGCAACGAGTTATTTGATGAATATGAAAATAGCATTGCATAAATCTATCAAAAAAGATATGGGCATTGCACAATGCTACATAGGTTGTCGGATGGCAACTGTTGCTATTACTGACATAATGTGTATAGCAAAAAACGGCGTAGAAGGGGCCGGTTTTGGAATGTTCAGAATAGGCCCCGTTGCGAGTGCAAGTTGGTCATGTGTAGATGGCCAAGTCAGAAAATAGCCCAAATCAAAAGCGAAAATGACAGGAATTACAATGTGTAAGCAAATGGACATTGTCTTTGGCCATCAAATGCAACAAAGGTAAAGCTGAATTGTTTTTTGTTGTAGATTATAGAGTGCTCTGAAGCTGCTAGGCAATAAAAAAGCCAAGTTTTAGAAAAGGGGATATTTATGTACATGTATTGGGCATAGCAGAGCGGGGGCGACAAAGTATGCGCACTGGCAAGACACGGTGGCTTGCATCATTTATCGGCACCTTCTCAGAGAAAGTTGTGGCCCGTTATTCACAAATGACAAGACAAACGCAAAATCTAACCAGCCAGCCAGCAATATGTCAGATGGCACGGTGGCAATTCAATTCAAATTAAACAGAATAACGTTACATATACAAAAAAGCACCACCTGTATGTCTGATATACAATATTATGTGTAAGCGGTGATGAAAGGGAATGTCTGAGGCCATTGAGATTCAGTGATGACTTACATTGAATGATCAACAAGCAAGAGGTGAAGCGCGTCTCGATTTAGTAGCAATACAGCGAAGAATAAAAGAGAAGCGAGATATTTGAATAAAACACTCGATTGCCTGGATGAAGGTGCTGAATAGTGGACTTTCTCGGCGTATGGACGTAAACGTTAGTGCTTTGATATTGAAAGAGCTATAAAGTTAAGAAGTTAAAAATGTTTGAGATTAATTAGTACAAAGGGGGTAAAATCATGCATTTTCATCCCAATTGGGCGACATGGGTGCTTGCTGTTTATCAAAATAAAAAACAGGGTCGCTACAAAGCATTGGGCAATACTGATGCATGGTTGCAGATGGCTTGGACCGAATGGGAAAGCAAACTACAGGATGCCAACAAAAGCACACGAAGCAAAGCAAATCAAAACACGAAGCCGCCGTTTGTCTGTTCTCCATTGTGCTCAGGAACAATCAGAGCTGTCCGCAGCAAGTGTAAACAGCAGGGTGATGTGCAGGGCGACATGGCAACACAATTGCGCCAGTGTTAGAAATATAAACACGCAGTTTATTGTTATCTGTGATAATAATAATCAACAGCACGACACTGCATTGTACGGCCGTACAGCTGGCCAACAGCAAACAGAAAAGTAACAAAAGAAAGACAAACGTTGACATGTCAAAGTATCGATACAAAAATATTTTGGTAACCACGACTAAGGCGCGGTGTGCGTATGTTTTCCTTTGGGGGGTTTTTTGACATCGATCAATTGGGTCACAACACACTGCGCATTTTTTTGAGAAGCCACCAGTGAAAATAGATAACACGGAAAAAGGCACGGCTGAACGCCACCATTATTGAACAAAAAAGACGAATCAAAATCAAAAAGGCATTCAAGCGTTTAACAGACAAAATAAAATAAAAAAAGGAAAATAGTGAGCATTATATGCATATAAGTACGCTATACTGTACCTGGTAGTTATGCTGGTGTGTTTGATATGAGTACTCTCCAAGAGGATTGCGTCGTGCGTTATATAGTCGGAAAATAGGCGTTTAATTAAGAGATGGGGTGGATCGTTTGTAAAGTAGTAAGATAATATACGTGACTGAGGGTGCTGCTATAAATTGTAAATGTATATAAAACACAAAGTTATGAGTAGACTGATGAGCAAATTGACGACAAATGCGACTAAACTTTCAAAGGTTCATAATAGACCATGGACTATTCGAAAGTGCAGATATGTTGAGGAAAAAAGAGATGTGTCAAATATATAAAAATGCAGGGGGGGTGGTTGGTATGTCAGAATACCAAGCAAAAAAGGCTAGTATGAAGAAGTTGAAGTAATGCAAAATAATCTGTAGAGAAAAGAGAAGAGATGTGTGCTGACAAAAAAGTAAATGGATGAATGTATAATATAATTGAAGAAAACATAAAAAGGATAGCAACAAGCATTGAAATGTACTGGTTAGAATCGGTGTGCAACGCGGTGCCAAAAGAGACCATTGGCAAACATAAATGAGGCTTCAAAGGTTTGATGCGGCTTAGTTCAAACAAGCAGGGTAGAGCAGCTTTTAAGAAGAAAATGAAAACAGTGTTTTGTGCAAAGCATTGAAACAATAGAGCATATTTGGCGTGTGTTTTAGCACAACACCGCAAAGGCTGAATGATCTGGGTTGGCCCCCCTTTGACGAATAAAGGTGCACAATAGAGGGGCCCAAACCGACTCGAGGTAGACCGCCAGATGTGGCTTTTTGAGTAGCGCCCAATCTGCAGCACCCTGCCTTGTTGGAGTAGTACGTGCATAGCGAATTTCCAAAACGTACGAAACACGCCAGCACTTTTTAGTCTGGCTTCAATGAGGCTCAGCCATTGGAAAGGCCCTTTTTCCTCGCAATTCTGAGAAAACAACTAACAAATAAGACCTTGTGGGTTTATACGCCACCATAGTCTACAAGCATACCTTTGGCTATAGCGATATTGTTTTGTAATTGGGGGCACTCAGTGTCACAATCGTGCATGTATCTGTTGAATAGAGGAATGTATGTGTAGGTGTGGATGTGTGTTCGTAAGCGAGGCAGTGGCGGCGATAGAAATATATGTGGGTAAAAAATATTATGTTCAAATGTTTTAATGAGGATACTAGCAACAAGTGTAGACAGAAAAGGCGTTGCAAAGTGCAGATAAATGAAAGAAAAAGGGAGACAGCAGAAATAAATGTTTTTTGGTTTGCGAAAATTCGTATTTCATTGCCAAAAAAATATCTTCCTCCAGGCTACCACCACACGCCCGATGGCAATCCTTTTTTTAGTGCGATTGCCCAACGTGGAAGCGCGACCAGGGGCATGAAAACAGCGAAGTCTTTCAGTAAAATGCACTTGGCCTTGGGATTCGGCCGTTTTCAAATAAGGATTGCACAAAATAAAAACTAAACTAAAACAAAACATTAAATTCGCCCTGGCTGTGCTTAAACTGTACACTGTAGTGGTATCAACAACCACATTCGGGCCTCTTTTTTGCATTTTTCGCGACAAGCACGGAAGGCAGATGCAGCGAGTTGCGTTAGTGTTTTGGCACACGGCCTTTCGCCTACACTATTTTCTACACACCAGGATATATTGGCCTGGGTTATATGCAGATATGATCTGCCATCTCCCAATCTTCCGCACCGCACGGCGCCGCTCCCTCGCTCATAATTTGCAACAGGAACGGGGAGGCAGGCGGGCAATCCTTCTTGGGATAATGCAGCGGAGCAACTCCCCTGTGGCCAGCATAAGCTTTCCGGACGCGGCGTCCCTATTGTTTTGGCTGCTCTCGCTGCACAGTTAGCCAATGCCAATGTCGATGCCAATGCCTGTGCAGATTACCTTTGCTGATAATTTGAACCCGGGCCATCTTTCGAGCAGGGTATTAGAAGCGCAGTGCGTAGTGTTGCAGCAGCTGCCATGCCTGTTGCGGAGTTTTAATAGCAGTTATATGCCAGTGCAACCTGTCACCCAAAGCCACAAAAAACCCTACGGTCACGTGTATAAGAAGGCTGGAAACAGTGGGAGGCAGACTTATATCCAGGCTCAAGGGAGACCACAAGCCAAACGGGTGTGGTCTCCCCAGGCATGTATTATTCGCAGAATGCAAACTTGGGTTGTCCCGCGCACTCAATGAGCTGCGCACTGGTGACCGGCGTGCAGTTGCCATATATTGGCGGCCGTCTGCCCTGGATCAACAATATCATTATCATCATTGGCAGCAGGAGCAGCTCACTCGCTCGCTCGCTGCCCAACAAGAAGAATATATGGCCTGAAAGCTGAGAAAAATTTAAGCAACACAAAAAACAACGAAAACAAACAAACAAACGTCCTTCATTATTCTCTACGCGGAAATGCAATCCGATGGTCCGAAATCCAGTTTTCAGTAGGAATCAAGCGGATTCCGCTTAGAGATTGACGATCTTGCCGCGATATTGTTCAATATTGTCGTAGGTGAGAACGACAAGGTCCCGCTTGGAAAGAGGCTTCTTCGTCAGTGGGCAGATGTTGCGCTGGCTGCCCTCGGGCGGGAACATCAGGCAGCGCACCCAGCTGTCGTATCCCATTACGTGCCCGTACGGCGATATAGCTGGCTTCATCACAGACTCAAGTGTAATGGGGTCGATCAAATCAGGCAGCGGGTTGCTCGGGTCGACTTCATCTTCAGACTCGTCACTATCCAGCCCAAATCCGTCGCTGCCGCTCTCTGCACCCGCCCTCGCATCGTGGCTGGCGGCATGAACACTTGCATCGGCCGCCCCAGCAGGGTCGCTAAGATTTTCACCAGCAATCCTGCCTCGGCTGCGGCCCCGAGCAGGCGCTTCGATCGCGCTGCTGTTGCCACTGTCGGTGTTGGCATTGCCGCTGGCATTGCGCGCCCTCACTCCGTAGCGGCGCTTGGAGACCGATGAACCCTGGTACTCGCCGTCGCTGGTATCATTTCCGTTTTCGCCATCATCGCTCAACTCGACCTCGTTGGCCCGGATGACATCTTCGTCTGACGAGTTGTCGCCAAAGCGCCCGCGGCGTTTGCGTTTGCGCACGCTCGTTGCGGCCTTGGTTGACTTGCGAGTCGATGCGGCGGACGCTGTGCTAGCGCCAGCGGGCGTTGCCTCAAGCGTAGGCTTGGCAGAAATGTCTGCTGAGTCCGCATTGGCGTCGGCAGAATCGGTGGTGGCAGCAATGTCAGCTGCTGCGGGGGACTTGTTAGCAGAGCCCCGGCCGCCTTTCGCGCTTGAGGCGGCAGACTGGTCGGCCTCTTCGTCGTCCTCCTCGCTGTCGCTGTACCCGTACTTTTCCCGTGACATGCGCACATGGGGCTTGTTGTGCTTGCGGAACACACGCATGGCAGTGCCGTCGGGATTCTTCTTCTTTGTTGTAAAAAGAAAGTGTGCCTTGCCCTTCTCGTCAAGGACGTAGTTGGGGTCGTGGATCAGCCTGTTTTCCACTAGGTAGCGGTAGTAGTTGGAGCACTGGTAGCCGACTCGCCCGGGAATAGTTGTGCTGAAAATACCCCACTGGCCGTTGGCTCCGATCTCCTTCAGGCGCGCGTGAAACAACTTTTGCTCCTCGGCTGTCCACTGGCCGGTGCGCTGCTCCTCACCGGGCGCATTGAAGCGGTAGTAGTACGTGTTGGGCTTAGTCTTAATGGCCTTGAACGCCTTGATGCGCGCCTCGGACCAGCCCTTCATGGCCTTACTCAGGTCGATTCCCGAGCCATTCCTGGTTGCCGCTGCGCGCTGGAGTTGTGCCAGGGCATCGTCCAAGGGCAGGCGCCCAACAGTGCGGTACTTGTCGCGCGCGTCACTGGTGGTCGTCTTTTTCTGAACGCGGATACGCTTCTTAAGCATCTCCTCGTACTTGACGCGCTGCACGTCAGTCATTTGCGGCGTGTCAGTCAGCGGCGTGTGCCTCAAGGCAATACTTTTTCGCAGCTTCAGCAGATAACCGGGCGTCGAAAACTGGTAGATCGTCTCGTCCACGTCGTTTTTGCCCTCTTTCAGTGCTTCGCGAATCTCCTCGTCATCTAGGTAGCCATACATCTTGCGTATGCGCTTCGCGTTGTGCGCAAATTCGCGTCTCTCAAACTCGGCAAACTGCCTTTGCTGCAATGCAACGCGCTGGTTGATGATTGACATCTCCTCCTCAGTGACCTCATCCTCGAAGATGCGTTCTTTGCGCACGCGCTTGATCGCGTCGCTCTGCTCGATAAGTGATTTGACGTGGTCGCTGCTCTCGCGATCAAGCTGCACAAACTGCGAGTCATCCCACTCGTCATCGCCACGCGCCTTGGCCTCCTCGCGTGCGCGCGTGCGCTCGGCCAATTTGCTGCGCAGCACATCACGGATGCTCACGCAGTCGGCTCTATCTGTACTGGGTCCTGTGGTTGCTCCTTTGGCCAAAATGAGTAACGCATTCCGGGGCTGCTGAACGCTGGGCGCCGTGAAGAATTGTGACTGAGGCCGGGCCTCAACCACTGGCTTTTTCCCCGACATGAGCGATTTCAACAGTAGCGAGTGTGGCAGGTATATTCAGCAATAAAGTGAAGAATGAAAAGAACGGTGTGCAGAGCACAGCTGCAATTTACTTTTGGTGGAATAAAGTAAAAAAGTATTAACAAAAGAAAGACAGAAATTCAGTTGATTAGGAAAATAAAGGAAGAAAAATGCGCCCTGGCATAGAAAAATATTTTACGCGTTTTTGTAATGGAAACGCGCAAAGCGTGATCGCGACAAAAATGCAATACGAAAAGAGAAAAGAAAATCATTTTGGCGCGTCGACTCAATTTTTTTTGGCCGGTGTGCTGGCCACCAGTTTAAATGCCTGAGTCTGCATCTGACAAGCTGTCCGCGCTGCTGGCGCTGGACTCTTGCGGTGTGGATATCATGGCTGCAACTTGCAGTGTTATATTGGCACAAGCCAGTTGATCTGAAGTCGGCGCAGCCTGTCGGGCTGCGCCAGCAAGGGTGTGCGAAACGCCGATGGTCTCGCGGATTCTGTGTTCCTTTACTATGTGCGCCACATGTGTGCTGTTTCTAAACAGCGAGTGAACCAGCGGTTCGTCAATGTCGTCTGAATCGCCAACTCCATCCAAACATGCAGAGTCAAAGGACTCGTTGAGGATGCTTTTGATGGTGTTGCTGCTATACGTAGACCGCGAGCTGGCAAATTGGGGCAGTTTGTTGTGATGCTGCGCACTGCCATACATAATATTATTCTGGTTTTGGTAAACTGGGCGTGGTGTAACCAAGCCCGAGACGCTGTTTGCTAGGGACGTTTGCATTGGCGTCAATTGTGGCAATTCGCGCACATCACTCTCTGTTTTAGTTGTAACGCATTGCCATATTATCTGCTTGACCCTGCTGCCTGCGCTATTGAAACAATTGTCGTTTAAAGTCTGTGATCCAGCACTATGCTTTATGATATTTTGGCCCAGTGCAGTGACAGTTGCGGCTGTAGATGACGGCATATCACCAAAAGAAGAATACTTATCAGATGACGGCGATTTCTTGAGCTCAGTATCGGCAATTGTCGCAATGTCTTGCGAATAGCGCTGCTTGTCTTGAGCGTACATCTCGCGGTAATATTGTCGTGAGCTGTGGTCCAAAATCGACCATATTCTGCCAAGCTCCTTGTTGACTTGCTCCTTTGTGTACTCTGGATGTGCCTCAACAACAAGTTTGCGTGCGTCGCGGCAAAAAAAATTAAAATCGGACAGTGGGCGCTTAGTAGCAGATGCAGCGGGCTTTTGGCGCGCCGACTTTACGGACGAGTGGCATTTTTTGACGGGTGCCTGTTGGTGCTCGTGTTTTATCTTTTGCTCTTGCCTCTTCTCTTGCTCTTGGGTGTGCTTGTCTGGAAGTGTCAGATACTTTTGAGGCGGTTCGGTAGTAAACTTCAAATGCATATGCGGATTAAACTTTGGCATGGTGGTCATTGCGTTGCTGTTGCCATTGGTGTACGGCAAACTATGACACAAAAGCTTGGATAGACAGTGCAGTCCACCGGATGCTTTCTGCCTCAGAATATCCTCATTGATGCTATGCTCGGCGCACAATCTTTCCATTTCATATGCAGTTGACTGAACATCGGCCAAAAGCTGCTTATAATTTTGGAAATGACATCCGACACCCGATATTAGTTTGGATATAGTATCGGCTTCATGGGCCATGGCACATGCAGATGATTTAAAATGCGTTGCTAGTGAATGAAACTTAGTGTGAGGTGTTGTACGTTTGTCGTTGGTAGAGCTGGGCGCTGCACTCAGCAAGATACTAGTGTTTTCACTCACAGCAGGCTTTTCATACGGTGGCAATGTGTTTGGTATATTGCCTGCTGCACTTATATATTCATAGCGTGGGCGTTTAGCCTTTTCAGAGTGAATTGAATTAAGCATGTGCGACTAGCAAAGGATGGTTGTGGAATAGTGCTAATAAAATGTAAAAAGGATATATTCATGCAACAATATAGACTACGAGTCTTCAGAAACAAGATAGTTGAGACTACAAAACTGGTATAATTAGAATACTTTATGCCAAATAATGTGTAATATAAAGGCTTTTGCGCTTTTACAAGGAATAACAAGAAACAGCTTAAATATGAGGGCGACATTAGTATTATCAATTATACAGAGCAGGCCAATTTACACTTTTTAATAACGTTTGCCACTTACAATGCGGCCATTCTGCTCAATACGCGCCCACATATTGCATTTTCCACAAATGCATTTAAACTATGCACCATTTTTCCTCGGATATATTCCAACAATTTGTTAATTTGTTATTCAGTGTGCAGGCTGGCAACGAGGATGGCATTTAAAACAATGCATGTGGAAGCGAATTGAAGTAGCCACCAAACGCACCGAGGCTAAGATGGCACGAGCAGAAAACACAATCAAGTCGACTAGCCACAATACCACACCTAATTGGAAAAACAACAGGCATTCAATAGTACATTGTATTTGCTCACAAGTCTAGCAATATCGCACGAGGTAGTGTGGCAGCATCGTATGGCCATTGCTCGCATCCACGCATCTTGGAATAAAGTTTACCTTTGAAAGCAGACAGTGGTGGTTACAGCTGGCCAATCTGCACCACACAAGACACATTCGACAACTGGCAAAATATATTAAACCGAGTATACTTGCGTGCATGCGCAATGAAGATGCGTGGATATACGATGGCGCACACTCGGGCATGCATGGCATAACGAGTTTAGCCATGTTTTTTATTTTACTACAATATTTGGCAGGCCAGAGGGGAGGAAGGCAGACGATGTGTATGGATGCAGAGGTTGCAGGTGGCTCATCCAGCACCCCTTTTAAACTTTTGGTGGCCCATTCGTCAAAGCCGGATTAAACCCATGTGCTGACTGGCATTGAGTGGTCCGATTTAGCAGGCGAGGTTGTGCACAGCCAGAGCAAAAAAAGGATAAGAGTACCCTTTCCTTTGAGAAGGTACCCTTTGAAAAGCCGCCACGCGTGTGCTTGTGCTTGTGCTGCTACTGCCAAAATAAATGGACAAAAGGGAAAGTATGGTGAGAAAAATTATGCTGGCAGAGTTCCGCCAGCCACGTCGGATTGCCAATTGGCAGAAAATTGATTGGAAAATTTTAGAAATGGCCTGCTTTATTGGTTGGGAGGAAAATCTCTCGATTTCCAAGCCTTGACACATTGCATTGGGCCAGCGTCGAATCAAATTTCTCAACAGAAATAAAAACATTTCCCAATTCCACTCACATCTCGCGTTTTGCGTTTGACTAGGCGGCTGGCCGAGCGACTGGCTAGGCGACTGGGCAGTCTGGCCTGGCCTGGCCGGGCTGGGCCTGATGTGGCGGGGAGACAGTAGCTCTTTCCCCTGCTTTTTCCTATTACCCATCCAGTTCTCTAGTTTCTGCCCTCCATTAACGCGGCGAGGTCCCGCATCCGCAAACTTTTTTTTTCCTCGTCTCACCCCACCCATTCCCGTTAATTTTCTGCTATCGAAAATCCGACTGGCGAGAGTACCCCTGGTGTGGCCAGTCCATTTTCCATACAACTTTCACCCCCTTTTCACCCTTTTTCTTCATTTTTTAGTACTTTTATTCTATTCTATTTTTTTAGTCCGTTTAACATTCATTACTCAAAATAAACATGGTCAGAAAAACTAAGGCCCAAAGCAACCCGGTCCATAACAACGACCACTTATTAAGCCCAGAGGACGCCAACGAGGTAAGAAACGGCATGCTCGATCTCAGCGGCAGGGCATCCAGCCACAAATAAAAACGGCCTTTTAAAAATAATCAGGCCGTTTTGCCAAAGCTACGAGATGGCACGGCTCGGCTATGCGAAATGGGCCTGTCAAAGGGTGGTATTTTGTTTTTGGGCACAAAAGACGCGTGTAATCTCTCGCCTACAACGCCAGGTTGCTATATCACTGTGCTAACTTTGTATTCCCAAACACGCGTCTGCCCAAACTTTATGCGTTCTATTGTAGCTGGCTGATACCTACAGCAAGCTGTCGGTTCTGTACGCGCGCATTGCAAAGGCAAGCGCCGCTGCTCGAGTTAAAACCGAACGCGAGGCCGAGGCTGCCAAACAGCGCGACCCCAACATGCCCAAGAAGCCCATGACATCGTACTTGCTTTTCAGCAACGAAATGCGCCAGAAGATCAGGGAAGAAAACCCGAATGCATCATCGCAGGAAACGGTTGTTAAACTCGGCGAGGAGTGGTCGAAGCTTTCCAGCGAAGAACGCGAGAAGTACACGAACAAGTCTCAGGAGCTGAGGAAGTTGTACGCCGCTAAGATGGTCGACTACATGTCTGACAAGGCTGTTCCCAAGAGCTCTGTTGACTCTAATAACGCCAAATCCGACTCGGGCTCTGAAGCTGACTCTGACTCCGTCTCCGTCTCTGAGCCTGACTCTGACAGTGACAACGAGGTGTCGCCTGCCGTGGCCACCCCGGTCAAGGCAGCTGCAACCAAGGCAGCGCCACCCAAGCCAGCTGCAACCAAGGCAGCGCCACCCAAGGCAGCTGCAACCAAGGCGGCTTCAGCCAAGGCAGCTGCAGCTAATGCATCCCCCGCTAAGGAAATCCCCGCTGTGGCCGCCGCCGCTGAGGAGACGCCAGCAAAGGATACACTGGCCAAGGCCAAGCCTAAGAACAAGGCCAAGGCCAAGGCTGCTCCTGCGCCTGCTCCTGCTGTTGCTGCTCCTGCCATTGTTGCTGTCACGCCCAAGAAGTCCAAGAAGAAGGCCAAGTCCACCGAAGCCTCGCAGGCGTCCGCTGCCTCCACTGAAGTCGCTGTGCCTGTTGTTGCTGTTGCCCCTGTTGTCGCTGCCGCCGACACCGTTCCCGCTCCCACGCCCAAGAAGTCCAAGAAGAAGGCCAAGCGCGACTCTGCCGCCAACGGCACGGAGATGACGCCCAACAAGAAGACCAAAAAGTCCGATTAAACAAACTTTCAATAATACCACCATTCTACAGACAAGGCCAAGCGCGAGCTTATCCTGTGTATGTATGTGTGTACTTTCTGTAGTGTCATTTTTGCTTTTCTCTCTCGACTATTTAGCTTTGCTCGGAATTTAATCATTACCAGCTAGCTTGTTTTCGTTGGAAGTCATTAACAAATGCGCCTTTCGCAATTGGCATTTTGAAGTAAAAAATGTTTAACAGAATGAGCATGTGTGATCTCTCCCACAACTCTACTCGGCAACTGCATAGCTGGTTGCGATCAACCCAGCTGTCAAAATTCTGGGTGCTGTGTGCGCTTGGCTTTATACCCTCTATCTTCTATCTTTTTTGTACAGATTCAGACGCTTTATTGCTACAGCTCTGAGACTATCTCGATCAGGTATATAGGCTCAGCGGTTCAGATACGACTTTTTTTTTTTTAAAAAAAATGGCATCGTTAGAAGCTCTGCCGCAAAATCTGTTCAACCAGATCGCCATCGAGTTGGAGGCAGCCGATCTGACCACCCTTGCTCTCGCGAGCCGCAGGCTTCATAGATTGGCCAGCTGCGACGAGCTGTGGATCGAAAAGATCTCTGCCGACTTTGGCAACCGCACGACTGTCATTGATCTGCTGGCTGATGCCGGCGTCAATATCACCGAGCTCGTGACTAACAACCCCAAGATCACGCCCTGGCAGCTACCAAAGGACTGTCAGCAGGCCGACGACAGCGACAGCGAAATGGATGAATCCGAATCCGAATCCGAATCCGACTCATACTCCTACACAGGCAGCGGGCTGCGCTGCTACCGCGATCGCTTTATCAAGGTGTTCCCGACGTCCAGCGACGAGCTGGTCAACAACACGAAGCGTGCAGAGGCAATCCTCGACGAGACCAAGCAGCTTCTGCGTGCAGGGCCTGATGCCGGCATCGAGATGTTTGCCGAGGCCGCATACCGCTTAATGCTTGTGCAAGAATACTTCCCCAACTCGGCCGAGTGCTACTATCTGTGGGCGCTGATCTGCTTCATGCTCAACGACTTCAAGCCTTCGCTCAGCCTTCTCGAGATTGGCCACATCATAAACAGCGACTTTGCGCCCATCAAGGAGCTCACCGCAGAAGTGCGCTCTATTATGGATGGCGCGTATGGATCTGGTAGCGACGCCCCATTGCTCAATGCGTCTGGCTCCGGCCCGAGCCCACAGCTGGCAAAGGTCCTCGCCATTATGTTCCAGCGTCTCGACTCTGATCGTGACGGCGTGCTGAGCGCGTCCGAGCTGTCAAACATGGTCAAGATTACCAACGGCCAGTCGCCCTCAGCTGCCACGATTTCCCAGATCGTCCGAGCCTTTGGCGGCCAGGTCCAAACAAAGAGCGGCCGGAAAATCGCAGGCTGGGACCTCAACTCACTCATAAACTTTTACGTTGCTCAGACCTTGGACGATCCCCAGGAAACTCGCGGCGACCTTTCCAAGTTTGGATTCAACCCGCGGACACTGAAAGCAGAGTGACGTATCGTCACAAATGTCAGCATCATTTCAATAGTTTACAACAAAATACGTCAATTAAACCAATTTTTAAAATAACATTTAGTTCGCCAAATGCCTTGCCATCAGTCATCTGCCGCTCAGCCTGGCAAGCAGCTGCTCGCGCTCAGACAAAGCGCGGGCGTCTTCCTCATACACGATGGTTGTCCTTTGCGCGGTCAGCGTGTTTGCGTTTGCTCGTGGCGCTTTCAACCTGGCGCTCGCGACGTTCTGGCCTTGCGGAAACGCATCCATGTCTTGCGCCCTCCCCCACAGCCCGTCGTTGACTCCCGCCTCATGTGCAGAATTGGGGCGAGCCAAGCCAGGGGTCACCGGGAAGCCCATGTCGACGGCAGGTCCCAAGAAATGCTGTGTCTCGTTCAGCATTCCCGTGCTTGGCATGCTGTCGAGGCTCTTGTCGCCACTGAGCTGAAAATCCTGCGAGTACAGCCGCATCTGGTTGCCAGAGCCAAAGCCAGCACTGACCGGCGGATCCACATTGAGCCACCACTTGCTTGGTGTCTGCATGCCGCTTTGCCGGCTCGTATCGTTAAAACTGACTTCTGAATCCAGGGATGCGGGAGTGCCACTGCTGGTGGCGCTGCTGTTCCTCCCTCCCGAATTGCCAGTTACCGGCGCGTTGGCCGATGCTTGATCTTGCTGCCGCCCTAAAATTCGTTGAGGCTGCGCACTCACGTTGAAGCGAACTGAGCCTGGTCTAGCAGCAGTGTCGATTTCAGCTGCACTGGGCTTTGAACCTTCGGGTGCTGTGGCGGCTGCCTGGCGATACCTGCGGCCCGCGCGTGACGCCTTTTGCACAAACAAACTGTCAATGGCGGTGGATGCACCCGTACTCGCCCTCAAGCCACCAGTCAAGCCTGATAATGGTGTGGCAGACAACGAGATGGCATTTCCAGCTCCAATTGAGCTGGACAAAGGCAGTGGGATTTTGACAGACGGAACCTTGGAGGCACCAGAAGTTGTACTGGAAAACGTTGGTGTCTGTAGGGGTCTTGCAGGCGGCGTGGCAACTAGCTTGAGGCGACGCTCGGGTTTGAAATTAAAGGGAAACTCTGCCTCGGGAACGCGCGTCATTGTGTCACGACATGCGTACAGCCACCACGGCGACACAACTGCAATTTTGTTTTCAAGTGCTGTCCGGTAGTCCTTCAGGATTTCCCTCTCTCGCGACGACTGGTGCACAAGATGCGTGACTTGGTTAGCGTCGAACCGATTTAAAACTCTGCAACCCAGCTGCAGCGCTAGCGGTGTGATCTCCCCGAGCCGGTGGTGTAGGCGGGTGGTCATGGAAACAACCACGCCCTTTAGCACTCGGGAGGCACCGCCAGGGCTCGCATTGACACCCATCTCAGCATCAGCATCAGCATCAGCGCCAGCACTTGCATCACTACTAAGGAAATTGTCGCTGACCAACTGCTCCCCTCCAGACATTAGCATGTGTGAATCGTGGGTGGGCGACATTTGCGTAGAATCATCATCATAATCGTCAGAAGCACTCGCATTGGGCTGCTTGAGCTTGCTGCTGTTGATTCCCAGGGCCCGCTGTAGGTTCCTCTCCAGTGCCACGTCCATCGGGGTGCGCCCGGGCGTGCCAGCGCCCAGATTCCGGACTGATCTTGTTACAGGAGTGACTATATTTCGAACTCCAACGAAAAGCTCTGGCTGCTTGCCGCGATATCCCTTGGATACGGGAGTCTGTGCATACGTATTTTCTGGCAAAACACACACCCCTTTAATTGGCATCTTGGATCGAGCGTTGAGCGCAAGATCGTAAAGCCACGCTGATTCTACGACCGCAATTCCCCACTTGACTGCGCGGTCATACTTTGGTCCCTTGAACGGCGGGCGGCAGATCAGATGTGTGGTCTTGCGCGAGAACTTTTCGCTGTAAGGAATTGCCAGTGCCCTTGCAAGCTTTCCAATGTGGTCTCGCTCAATAGTCTCGTAGCCGCTGATGCTCAGGTTAATCTTCTCAGCATCCTCAATCCGGGTGCTCCAAAGCGGCCTGAATAGTACGTGCTGGCCTTTGCTAAGCCCTGGATATGCCGACGACACCGCTTGAGACGCAATGGCGTTGTAGTCAGGTAGCCGCTTGTTATCCTCTAAGCACTGCTCAACCCAGCATTCGGTGACAATATGCATCGAACTGTAAACAGCAGCAACATCCTCACACCATGGAAGCTCGTCCATCCCAGACAGCTGTATGGTTATGTAAACGTCAGCCACAGTTCTCCCGTCAATCAGCCCGGCTGCTGCGGTTAGGGCTCGACGAAGAATGGCCTCCGATTCCAGAATAACACCGCTATTCTGAGGGCTATCGGTAGAGACAGGGAGCAGGGCCTCAAGGTCAACGCACTTGCCGCCGTTTTGCCCAACCACCATCTTGAGCATATCGACGGCTGTGGACGACAGTCCCAGCGGTAAAAACACGCACTTTGCAAAAATACTGTCCTCCGCATCATCGGCGGCAGCACTGACATTGTCACTGCCATGGTCGTTCGAGTCTACCTCAATGACTTGAATCTCGCGCGACACCGTCGCCTGATTGCGGCCGGACTTTGACCCGATCAACGTGCTGTACCGGGACTGTGCAGAAAAATCCGCCAATTTTGCCGATTGCTTGGTCTGGGGAGAAGATTTCTGCGGCGGCACGCCCGGGTTTTGCTCGAATACCTTTACAGCCCCAAGTGCATTGGGACTGATGGTCTGTCTCTTGATCCCGCATACAAGTGGCTCCCACGGCTCTTTCCGCTTCATGGCCTTGCTCGCTGTATGCTCGTCATCAGAACCGATACTGCGGTGCCCAAATGGCACAGCGTCGTCCATAAACGGATCAGGCTCGCTGTCGCTGATCCAACCGCCATCAAACACCTTGCCTACCAGAGACTTTGAAGCAGAAGCACGCTTAGAATTGTCTGCTGAGCCGACTGACAGAAGAGTGCGCGAGTTTGCACAGTACCGGGGATGCGGTGGCGGCAACTTCGCGTCGACATGGGCACCAATGGTAGAGGTGGGCCTGGTCCTAGTCATATACGAAGTCCCGCTGCTGGCTTTGGTGCGCGTTTCTGGATCTGAATCGGTACGGCGCTCGAGGAAAATCGCTGCGCTTTGTGGCCAGGGAACTTGAAAAGATTGCTCGCTGACACGCCGCTTTTCCTGCCAGCATGCTCGCAGCCAGCCGTACTTAACGATAACCAGTCGGTCCGATTGTAAAACTGAAGATGTCGCGGAGTACGGGCGTTCAGTGTTGCCTGGTTCGTCCGGCGAGGACCCCCGCTCCATCAGCTGCAGAATGGCAATGTCCCAGTCACAAAGCTTTCCAGAGTCGTCAGCAACAAAGTGCGTGCATTTCAGTAATCCCGAGTCGTGTGTGCCGCGGGCCTTTGAATGACGTGTATTCCCGTTCGCCGCGTCATCCAAAATACACACGCCTCCGGTGGCAGCGATCCGCGCGTACCAGTCCTTTCGACGCGCAGAGCCCAGCGAGGCCTCCGAGAGTGCGATTCGGCAGGTATCAAAAAGCATGGCCATGTCAGGGGATTGCTGGGGCAGTGGCGGAGACCGAGCTGTCGCACTTCTGCCAGCTGTGGCTTGATTCTGGTTAGTCGTACCAGTGTCGTCGACAAAGCCTTCAAAGTCGTCCAACATCGAATCAGCTGCCCGAAACTGTATGTCCACAAAATCGCTGCTGACCGAGCCGGCCGCCGTGTTGTTGCGGCTGAGGGTGCGCGAGCTAGCACGCTCCCTATCAAAGTAAGACGTGAGGTCCATGCTTTCTGCTGTCCTGGACTGCGGTATAACCGTGCCCACAGACGCGGCAGAGCCATTCCTTGAAAATAGTTGGTCGTGCTGCTGCGCCGAAACACTCGTCCTGCTGAACGAGCTTTCGGGGGCGTAGTCCAGGCTGGGCAGTATGCTTGCATTTGGCTGCTGGGCGGCAGCGCTGCGGGCCACTTCTATTGAATACTCAGACTCCTTCTGCCGAAATCCCGAATTGACGCAATCCAAAATCCAATCAAGTGAGACCACGTACAGCCCCCAATGCTTGGCAAACTTGAACTTTTCGCCTGACGGGGTCTGAACTATGAGGTGCGTGCAGTCGTGGGTCAGCTCGCGGTGATAGGTGCCGCCGCCGCTGAGAAAGGTTGGGGAATCCGACGCACCTGCTTCGCCAGCGCGGGTGCTCGTGCTGCCGCCCGGAAACAGGATGCTTTCGCCAGACGCTGTATGTGTTTGTGTGACAAACTTGCTGATCTCGTCGCGCACTTCGGCGTTGAACCCGGTCGTGCACACGCGACAGCCAGAAAATGGCGCTATTCTATTGCGCCGAGTGATTAGCCGCACAGCCGACCTATCGCTATCAGAGCCCCCATTGCCGCCAGGCTCATTTGGATGGCGCATTGCTGCCAGCCTGCTTCTGGCCTCCACTTCGCAATCGCCGACAAAGTTGAGCGACACGACGGGGATCCCCACTTTGGCGGCGATCTGGTACTTGTTTGACATTTTGCTGCTCTTCGCGACCAAGTGCGTGACGACTGTAGTGAGGCTGTGGCTGATTGTTCCGCCAAGCTGCTCAATTCTGTGGTGGAGTTCTTCCTACCTGACCCAAGTGGTATCGATGAGCGGTACGGCAACACCGTGTGTGACATACTCATATTAGCAAAGCAATTGCTGGCAAAAGGTGCAGCGACCAACTCGTTGATTCCAATACACTGAATAAAAACGTGTTATTGTTTTAATATCAAGTTACCGCGTACCTTTTCTTCGGCATAAACACCACTGCAGGATATACAACATCCCCTGAGCAGCTTGTGTGTTGGGATCATTTTGTGCGCGCCAGCAGTAGATAGAGAGCCCTCAAGCGATCGGGTGAAAGGCAATATAAAAAGGTACAAGAAAAGGAGCGCCAGTAAATTGTACAGTCAATCGCGGACGGGAATGCTCGAAATTCAAGTGGAGAAAAACAATATAAAAAATTGGAAGCAACCAAGATACAGACAAATAAAAAACAGCCAACTAAACCAAATAACCCCCAATAAGCTGCTGAACACAAGTTATTATTTTGCTGGCTGCGCAAAAAAATATTTTTTTGGGCAAGTGCGCAACACGCGTGCGTGCGCGTAAAATGGGCAAGCCGTCAGCTCAAGCGCAAAACACGCGTTTGCGTGCCTGTCTTTCGAACCTGATCACCATTTAAGCCGAATAAAAGTCGCCTGTCCGCAATACAACAGCAGTCAATGGGAATAAATAAACATGGACATCACATCAACATCCAATTAATAGTAGACAAAAGCAAGAAAAACTACTTAAGCCTCAACGGGAGTAGCAGGAGCGGCAGCGGGGGCAGCGACAGCCGGGCGAGCAGGGCGAGGGCGCTGGTCACGACGACGGAAGTCGCGGCGAGGACGGCCGGCGCGGACGGGGGCGGTGACGGAGATGCCCGAAAGCTTCTCGAAGTTGAGGGACTTGAGCATGCTCTCAGTGTCGGGGCAAACCTCGATGGACGAGGTGTCAAGGGCGGAGAATTCAGGGACGTAGTTGTCCTTGCGCTCGCGCTCCTCCTCCTGCAGCTTGAAGGAAATGCCGGGAACAGGGCCCTTCTGGATACGCTTCATCAGATGGGTGGTGAAGCCGGCGATCTTGTTGCGCAGACGCTTGGTGGCGATAATGGCAACATCGTCGCAGAGGCGCTTGTTGGTGTTGAAGTCGAGAGTAAGGACTGGGTAGTACTTCTCGATCAGAACGCGCGAGGCCTTCTTAACGGTCTTAGTGCGAACGCGACCCTAGATGGTACAATGCAACAACAGAAAACCAACGTACACAAATACAGCACAGCACAGCGCAACACGGTTGCAACGCAGATAAAAAATACACAGTAAGATATAACCCGCCGTGTCAATGTGAGCAGTTCGTTGTCGAGTTTCAAAAAAACACCGCCGAGCAGGAGTTGCGCCATACAGATAAAGTGTACAAGAGTTCAAAGTTCAGACATTCGAAATTAGTAAGTTTGTTGATATTTCTGTCGCAATCAAGGATTCCATTTGTCACGATTGTACTGGTCGGTGACAACACCAATAAAAAACGCAGCGCAAAAACTGAAATTGACTGACTATGAGCTGATTCAAGACTGGTGCGCAGGAGCTTTGGAAAGCCCCCAACAAGGACCGCTCCCAACCGCGGATCAAGACCCAAATTGTCAGCCGCAACAACAATATAGAAATACTGAGTTCAAACGGTTGGACACATTTATGTCTAAATCCGTGAATTCGAATCAAAAGTTGTTTTTTCGTGGTTCTGCCGATGTATGTGCAATCCGAATTTCTTTCGAATTTCGTTTGAAAATAACGCCTGCAAAATACAAAAACGGTGTGTTCTCTGCCGCCCCCAAGCAGCATCCATTGTCGTATGTATCCAAAAGCAATGGATTCATGGCCTGCCTCTGCCTGAACCTCAAAATATCCCGCGCATCCATCACTCATAGTCATAGTCGAATCCATCGCTGTAACGGTCTCACGTCCGGGCGTGTATGTATGCTTAAAATCATTTAATTACGCACCATTTTGAATATATATCAGAATTTTGCTGATGGTGGAAAGAGTGAGACCAAGAACTGGTTGAGGCAACTAGACATTTTGACACCACTACACGGCGTTGCAGTCAGCGGCTAAGTACAATTTCAATGCTATTTTAAGTGCGTGTCATCAAGCTTATTGGGATTGATAAATGCAAAGCACAATGAATCGGCTCATACAGAGTCGAGCCGAGCTTTGATTTACGTTGCGCCACCCATGAGCTACGCATTTATTTTGGTGTGTGCTTTCATTTTTGTTCTCAGCATCTTGCTCCCTAATTTTGTACTTTTGCTTCTTGTCTTTGCTCACTCGCTAGCTCTGTTATTATTCTATTTTATACTTTTTGTTGCGGAATCGCAAGTAGTACATTAATACCGCCATTTCCACCACCAGCAGCAACAACAGCAGCATCATCATCAGCACCAAAAGCAGCCTTTTCAGATTTAGTTAATACATTGTAGAGAATGCGCATCAGTATCGCCAAGCGCTCAGCGTCAAGCGCCAAAGATGCCTCGAGCAAGGTGGCGTCGCCATCATCTTCTTCAGGCGCCAGTTCGCGCTATCCGTTTACTGTCGAGGTTTCTGACAACGCAACCGTCGACGATCTCAAGGCGGCTATCGCCAGCAATGTCAAGTCGATGTACCCCGACCGCCAGCGCCTGACGTTTGGTGACAAAAAGACAGTGCTCGAGTCGGGCGACTCACTGTCCAAGTACGGTGTGAGAAACGATGACACGGTGTTCATCAAGGACCTCGGTCCTCAGATTGGCTGGCAGACGGTGTTCTACATTGAGTATCTGGGCCCCATCATCTTCCACTACATTGTGTACAACTTCCCGCGCATCTTTTACGGCATGAGCTTTGAGCACAGCGAAATCCAGCGGTAAGTGTCTTTTTCTGCCAATTTCATATTGGCCTAATGTGTCTACGGCTAAGACATACTGCGTCGCTACTGGTAACTGACTTTTTACCTGCAACGAACTTTTATTTTTTGCTGTAGCCGCGTGTATCTGCTGGTCATGGCGCACTTTGTCAAGCGCGAGCTGGAGACGGCGTTTGTTCACCGGTTCAGCCATGGAACCATGCCGCTGATGAACGTGTTCAAGAACTCATTCCACTATCACATGCTGTCGGGGCTCAACCTGGCTTACTGGGTGTACGCACCGGCCTCAGGGCAAGGCACGGCGCTTGCAGCTAAGCTCGGCAACCCGCTGCTAATGGCCATCTTCACGGGTGTTTTCCTGTTTGCAGAGCTATCGAACCTGTCGACGCACATCACGCTGCGCAACCTGCGCCCGCCAGGCACGCGGGTGCGCAGAATCCCCCATGGCTACGGCTTCGACATAGTGAGCTGCCCCAATTACCTGTTCGAGTCGCTGGCCTGGGTTGCCATTGCTGCCATGACGCGCAACTTGGCCGCCGTGCTGTTCCTGATCGTGTCATCCGGCCAGATGTACGTGTGGGCTATCAAGAAGCACAAGCAGTACCGCCGTGAGTTCCCCGACTACCCCAAGTCGCGCAAGGCGATGATCCCACTTATCGTCTAGAAGAAGGAAATGCGAGCTTTGGCCAAGTCTCTCTTGCACCTCTATTTTCAATTCAATGACAATGCTTAAACGTCGAGAAACCTGGCTCCCCCTTGGCCAAACTCAAATTCAAATCAAAACCGAATTGTTCCTTGATGAAAAGAAATCAAGTGCGGATCAACAATGAGAAATTTTGCTCCAGCTTTTTTTCCTCAAAGTTTCAGCTGTTGCACTGTCTGTGCGCCCGCAGCCCTCTGCTGATGATGACAAAACCCAAACAATGGAACACCGGCCATCGCTGGTCCCCTCTCCTGGTGCCATGATGACCTTTCCCCAAGAAAAAATTACAGGCGAGCTCGCCCCACTTTCTTGAAATTTTCTTTCTCTTCTGCTTATTTTTTTTCCAAACCCAACCCAAACCATTTTTTTCACTTTACACATATTTTTTCAGTGTCGCTCGAGTAGACTACGTGCTTTAGATTTCAACAGAACGAAACTTTTTTATTATAAAAAACATTTATTCATTCTATTGTCTTTCCATTTAGCTATCTTATTCATTCACCTCTCTTTATTTATCTTGAGACTGCAGAACAGGCTCTTTAGTTTTTTGTCTGCGCAAAAATACACACATTATTATTATAAACAGTGTCTTTGCTGTTCCTTTATTGTCTTTTGGTCTATCTGGACGACTCGGAGTAAACAACACTAGTAATTTCGCACAGGCAATCGTGGTAGATTGCAAAACTCCACACCCACGCCTTTTTGTAATTTCGGAGCACACAAAATCCCCCTTAAACTAGGACCAACAGATATACGGACAGTCGGCGACAAATGGAACAAATTGAAGAAGCCGTTCTCTGCGCACTCAACCCCAGCAGCGATCAGGCCGTAAAAGCTCAGGTAAGACATTTTCTGAGAGCAGCTCGCTCTATCCATCTCTTTCTGTCGAAAACAAACAGCGCCCTTTATTTTGCGGTATGCGACATCCACTATTCACAGGATATAATATGAATGGCCACAAGCTGCGGCTAAGAGGGGTGAGGTGACTTGTATGCGATGGCAAAAGCGAATGCGAATGCGGCTGCGGCTGCGGCTGCGACGACAAAGAAAAAATGACATGTTTCATAACACTGCGACTGCAACTGCAGCGAAAGTGAGAGCAACTGCGAACAGCCGGCCAGTCAGTTAGAGCTTCGTGATTGGTATTTTGCTCATGCAAACATTGGGACTAAACACTTGTGTATGATTTTTTTGTTTCGAGTAGGCTACGCAGTACTGCGAAAGCGTTAAGGCGTCGGCAGATGGATGGCAGGTCTGCTTGGAGCTGTTCACAAAAGTGCCTGAGCGAGCACCCTCGGCGCGCCTGTTTGCGCTGCAGGTCATCGATGCGATGATCATGGGCGCTGGCATCCGTGGAAACGAAAATGGTGCACCAGAGAGACTCGCTGCGACTCGCAAGACTCTACTGGAGTTTGTCTCGACACAGTATGCTGGCCAGAAGTATCAGACCGAGCTCCCCTTCCTCAAAAACACACTGGCCCACACAATCACGCTGCTGGCCCTTGCATCATATCCGACGCAGTGGCCAACCTTTGTCAGAGACATGATCTCGCTGGCTGGACTGCCAGACGCCACCGGGCCCTTGACCGAGGACAGTGCGAAGGACGTCAACACAGCTACAGTCAACCCATTCCTGGTCGACTTTCTCATCAAGGTGCTCGCGTCGCTGGACGAAGAGATGGTCAACCCGGCGGTTCCGCGCGGTTCAGATGAAGTGGCGCGCAACACAGACATTAAAGACGCCATGCGCGTTGAAGACGTCGACCGGATGGCCCACGCCTGGTACAGCATCCTTGCGCACATGTCTGCCACACGCCCGAACTTGGCTGAGGGCGCGCTGCGATTGATGGGCGTGTACGTGTCCTGGATCGACATCAACCTCATTGTCAACCAGCCGTTCATGCAGATCCTGTTCGGCCTGCTCAAAGCGCCCGCGCTGCGCTGCCAGGCCTGCCACTGCCTGACAAACATTGTCGGCAAGGGCATGCGTCCAATGGACAAGCTGTTCCTGCTGCAGTTTGTCAGCGTTATCGACATCATGAAGCAGCTGGACATTGACGACATCGAGTTTGCAGAAAAGGTGGGCCATTTGGCCAATGTCGCCGGTGTCGAGCTCAACACCATCTGGGTTGACAAGGAGTCGACCACCCCGGAGGCGCGCTCTACAGCCTACGCGATGCTCGAGCAGCTGATGCCGCTGCTGCTCAATTTTCTGTCGCACGAGTACGACGAGGTATCCTCGGCGGTGTTCCCGGCCATCAGCGAGATCCTGGGCGTCTTCAAAAAGATGCAGCGTGATGGCACTGCGCTGAGCGCGTCGCAGCTGGGCTTTCTGTCGCGCCTGCTTCCTGTCCTTGTCGACAAGCTCAAGTATAGCGAAGAATACTCGTGGCCATCGTCCTCCAACTCGGGTGCCAGCGACGGCGACGCCTCTTTGGACGAGGACGACGAGGAGGCTGTATTTGCCGAGCTGCGTCGCAGCCTGCGCGTGTTTATCGACGCTATCGGTCACATTGCACCCAGCCTCTACGACAGCGTGATCCTGACCGCAGCGCAGGACATATTCAAGCAGTGCGGGCAGTATGGCGTCAGCGCCGACCGGGCTGCTGACGAGGGCGGCCCTGGCCGCGGGCAGCTCGGATGGGTGCGCGCCGAGCTGGGTGTGTACCTGACGCAGGCTTATGGCGAGCGGCTGAGCAGCAGCAAGGGTCTGCGCTTCGGTGCAATCAAGCAGGCCGGTCAGTCCAACGGTTCGAACTCGAGCGGCACCCCCATCAACACGGCTTCGATCGATGCGCTCTCCGACCTGATGACGATGATGATCCAGTCAGGAATTGTGAACTGCACCCACCGGGCAATCGCGCCGATGTACTTTGAGAACTTTGTGCGCTTTAACGGATACTTTGATATTCGGCGAGAGGCGGTCACACCAGTGTTTACCTCGTTCATCGGCGCCTCGGGCATCCGCCACCCCAACAGCGCCGTCCGCCCGCGTATCTGGTACTTCCTCCACCGGTTCATCAAGCAGCTGCACCAGCCGCTGCTGGCCCAGTACTCAAGCGACTTTATTCGCGCTGTGGGTGACCTGCTCGAGATCCGCGCAGACAAATCCAAACTGAGCAGCCTGTCGGCAGCTGGCGGCGGCTTCGGCTTGTTCGACTCGCAGCTCTACCTGTTTGAGTCATGCGGAATCATGCTCGCACCGGCGGAGCTAGACGATGATACGCGCATGTCGCTGTTGCAGCACCTATTTAACCCACTGTTTACGAGCGCCCAGCGCCTGATGAACCAAAAGTCCACCGAGCAGATCCTACAGGAGCCACGCTCGCTGCTGCAGATCCACCACTACTTAACAGCGATTGGCTCAATTATCAAAGGCTTCCCCGACGCGCGCGTCGACGCCAAGGGCACGTCAGCCAGCTCGCCGCACCAGCTGTCGCCCAGCACGGCGCAGGTGTTCCTCAAGGCCGCAGACATGTGCATTGCCATCCTCGAGGCACTCCAGGCCAGCCAGCTGATCCGCGAGGCTGCACGCTTCACGCTGTCGCGCATGCTGAGCGTACTCGGTGCCGAGGCGCTTCCCTACATGCCGCGGCTTATCGACGGGCTTGTAAGCAGCTGCGCTGTCGAGGAGCTGTCGGACCTTCTGTCCTTCCTTGGCCTGGTTGTTTTCAAGTTTAAGCCCGACGTTGCGCCCACAGCAAGCGAGCTGCTGCTTCCTGTAATTTCAAAGGTGTACGGGTTCCTCGACCAGGTCGCCCAGGATGGCACCACCGGCACCGACGAGGCCTTGCTGCTGCAGGATCTCCGCAAGGCGTATCTGACATGGATCGGCGCCATCTTCAACTCGGACCTGGACAGCATATTTTTGACGCCGCAGAACGCCCCACACCTGGCGACCATCCTCCGCCCAATTGCCTCGCAACTGGCTGTGGACTCTTCCAGCCCGCAGTGCCAGCGCCTAGCCTTTAACGTTCTGTTCAAGGCCATTCAGGCGTGGATGGTTGACCCCATGGGCTGGCACACGCTGGCCACGATGACTCCGTCGGCAATTGCGACTTTGAATAGCAAGACTGCAAGCGGGCAGAACGCTGGCAAGACCACTCTTCGACAGGTTGCGGCGCAGACACTGGGGCTCAGGCTGGACAGTGCCAGCGCCAATGAGGCGCGTAATCAGCTCCAGGAGCTGATCACCAAGACCGTAGTCCCCGCGTGCTTCGAGACACCCACGCAACCGGACTTCCGCATGGCCGACGCACAGGCATCGCTGGTGGTCGCGGAGATCGCCGGCGTGCTGCAGATGCTGCTGATGGCCGGTGTTCCTGAGATCTCTGACGGTGACGGCAGCTTCATGGCAACGATGCCAGCTCCGCAGATCCTCGCGCCACCCACTGGAGGCGACCTGAATCGGAATCAGTTCGCTTCGTATCTGGCAACTGGCTTGTTGCCAAACCTTGGATGCCCCGCAGCCATGGCCACGGAGTTTGTCCAGGCGCTGGCCTCACTGGACCAGAAGCAGTTCAAAAAGTACCTTGTCGCCTTCCTCACCAGCAGTGGCAGCGCTCAGTGAGCAAGAGCGGCAAGAGCGGCTAGATCAACAATCAGCAGAGCCATGTTTGCGTCTTCGAGAGTTTTATTTGTTGTGGTGTTGTTATTTGAGAATTTTGGACCACAAAACTCGCTTGATACTTGTTTGGTCAAACGCCTCATATAGTTTGGTTGGTATTAAAAAATAAACAGAGAAAATTAACATGATGAAAAATGGAAGAATCATGCGCTGGAGTGGGTGTCATGTCATTTATCCTTTCGGGAGCTATAGATACAACAAAGTTACTAGTCATTTTAAGCTGCGCCTCTGGTGTGTTATAAGTTAGTTCAGAAAATGTAACTGTAAAATACCTACATTAAAAATAGTTAACAACACTAATTCAGCTATTCAAACAATATACTTCTCAAAGTTTAAAAATCCAAATAAAAAGCACTCGACTAGTGTTGTAAATAGTTGGCTTACAATTGTATTACTAAATTGACGTTTTGCAGTTCGCTCAGAAAACATTATTCATAACCACACGATTTATTTATGACACCAGAAAACCCATAAAACAAGGTGCGATATTTTACAGAATTCGAAGCGATTGCTCAAGGACAAGACTGATGTCCCAGTCAAGAGAAAATCCGATCCAAAGACGGGTGCAGCATCCAAGTGAAACAAGACTGGATAATTTTTTATTATCTTTTTCTTCATATTATGACGGCCACTAATACCTGACATCTCAATCCTCATTGGGTAAAACCAATGACAGCAGGTGGGGAACTAGGGCCTTTGACCAAAACTTTCTAATAATAATAAATTTTATTATTATTTTCTCAATTGTCGCTTTAATACAATCTATACACAATTTAAATCGGTTATCTCCATTTTTTTGTATGCATGCTGGGCCGCATTAGATGCCAGCCTTGTGAGAGCAGGGCATAAACAGCAGGCACGGGCCCATGGGAAGCTGAGATGCAAATCGCGATGCAAAGGGGCGTCGTTTCTGAATTGGCACAGTACCGACCAGAGCCGAGCCGAGCCCAAGACCCGTTTGTGTGCTGTGCTGCGCATCCCCCGTATATTTGAGAGTGAGAGAAAAGGGCGAGTTTTTGGGCAACAGAAAAACAATGCCAGTGGCTACAATGTTTGACTTTTTTTGTTGTGCTCATTTTTTGTTTGTCTGTTCGTTCGTTGGCTCGTCTGCCTCCTTTCTCTTCACTCCTTTTTAACTATATTTTCGTGCTTTTGAATTTACAATTCTCTCACTTTATTTTCTTTCTCTTTCGCCTTTCCCTCACTATTCGCAATTTCGTTCGAAGTGGTTTTTGTTCGCTCAGAGGAAAGGTAATTTTGTTTGCGCTGCTCCGATTGCCGATGGCTGGAATGAAAATTGTTTTTATTATTGTAGTGCATAGCATTCTGTTAAAACTGCACTTTGTGCGAATGCACGAAAAAAGTTTTTGTTATTGCCTTCCATCCCTTTTCATCCAACTTTGGACATCGCTGACGTCGATAGTGCCAAGTCTCACGCTTCCTGCCACTGGATAGCCGCAGTCTTAGTAGTAGTAGTAGTGGCAGTGGAAGCAGCAAGAAAACTGGTACAAAGAAGTGCGCCCGTCTCTGAGCACCGCATCTATTCATTTAAAGGGTTTTATTCAGCTTCCCCCACGGTGCATACTATTCCGAAGGGGAGGATAATTTCCTTTTTATTCTTTGCACCCTTTTTTCTTTCAAGTTTTCCCTTCGACATATTTCCAAAGCATCTTGGCACGCAGTTTTACAAAACACTCGAGCCCCTGCTTCTCTTCTGCCACATGCGCACATATAAAAATTATAAGCACTTAGAACTAACACTTACCCACACCCTTATTCACACCTTTTTTCTACCCCTGTAGTTTTATTTTATTTTCCACATCTACATCAACATCAACATCAACAAAAGCTCGTACCTTAGAAAGCGACGTTTAAAAAATAAGCCAAAAATAGCACACTTGCATTACTAGCTACCACCTGCATTCACACTACTACCAACACCACCCACAATTTACAACGACAAAATTTGCGCAAATGTCCTTCAATTCGCAAAACAACTTGAATGCTGGCCGCAGCCACGAGGGCCATCGGAGCCAGGTTACTCCCATCCCTATCAATGTCTCGGGTTCACAGCGCAGCGGCAGCAGCAACAGCTTCAAAAATGATGACCGCAACCACCAGTATCAGGGCGGGTCTAGCATTGGAGGGGGCTCGTTCATGGGCGACACATCGGGCATCAACGCACCACCCAACTCGTTTGCCGTCCCGTCGTCGATGGCCAGCCATGTTATTCCCAACAACATTAACATCAATATGAGCAACAGTAGCCGCATCCCGATAGGAGCAGGTGTTTCCGCGTCGTACAGATACTCGCAGGGCACCAATGCTCCGCCGAACTCGCTGGCTGTGCCATCCTCAATGGCCGGCCAGATCATTCCGAGTGGCATGAGCATTGATGACAGCAACGGCGGTTGCCTGCCGATCGGGGCGGACATCTCCGGGTCGTACAAGTTCTCTCAGGGTATCAACGCGCCGCCAAACTCGTACGCGGTGCCGTCATCGTTGGCGAGCCAGATGATTCCGAACAGTGCCAGCCTCACTGCGCGGCTTGGTGGCGGCTTCAACCCACCACCCAACACGCCAGCGCAGGTCAGCAAGCTGCATCAGATAATGGGAGGTATTGATGGTGGCCTGGGTACCCACCACAGCCAGGAGTATGGCATTGGCCAGGTTCCTTCTGGCTCGTTCATTGACCGGAGAATCCACGCCTTTGAGCGGGTGGGAGAGGCCGACGAGGATGATATGGATCAGGACATGGACAACCACAGCCCCAACAGCATCAGCCCTGGGTCCTTCCACCACTCTGGCAGCCACCACATGTCGAACAAGGGTCCTGACGACATATTCGAGATGGAGCAGTAGCCGATGTGTTTCTGGGTTTTTCCTATTTCCTATTTTGTCGGCTGCGCTTGACCTCCCCTGCCCTTGCCCTGCTCGTGTACACATGGTACTCTAATTTCTGAAATTTAGCACCCTATGTTTTTTATTTTTATCTTGGTATTCCAGACGCTCTTTTTAGTTTTAAAGGAATCGGATTGTTTTTTATTTCTCAGCTGGGGTGGCTAGCCGACTGGGCTGGCCGCTCTGTTCCTACCCTGCTGCGATGAGCGAGCTCCACAGCCTTTGGCATTGACTGAGTCAATGGGTGGCAAGCGAGAAGCAAGAAGCGAAGTTTATTGATAATGTACGCTATCGGCACATCTTCCACCTACTGCCATATATGCGTGCGATACGAGTGAGCGAGCGAGCGCAAAATGCATTGATGGAAAAGTGCAAATTTCTTATTCTGGTCGATAGATGCGCAGATTCGCAATTTAAACACAACGACGCATCATTCATGCGGCTAGTCATCTCCCCCTTTTTTCATTATTTCTCGTTCATTTTTTAATGATCCCCAGCTGCTCCACTTCGCGTTCACTCATAAAAGCCACCGATATTGACTTCTGACTTTTTCCCCTGTCGCTCTATCTCTTTTGAATATTTTTCGTTTTCTGACTTTATTTTTGTTCATATTGAATTCGAGTTTTTCACCCTTCAGTTGTTTTAGACGTCAACCGACAAAAAAAAATTTTTAGCGAACAACTCAGCTTTTCTTTGAGTTTCATTGATGATGGTTGTTCGTCAGAGACAGTCAAACAGAAAGGTCAGCCAGCTGCTGACACCAGTTGATGACAAGGTCTCTGTCGCCACAGATGGAAACGCTGCCGCAGAAGTTGTTAGCAGCGGTCACGGTCACGATGACAGCCTTGAAAAGGCTCTGACCGGGCGCACTCCCGACGGAAAAGGTACAAAATATGTTTACAACATCCACGTGAATAATTTGTCGCCATACATCCTTGTAATTGCTAACATATTTTGGCCAGCGCTCCTCAATACGCCCTACTATTTTGTCACATTATAGCGTTCGCGGTTCCCAAGACGCGCGACATGCTGCAATCGCTATTCAATCCATTCACGCCCAAGACGACGTTTGACATGGCCACGTTGCTTATGCTTAGCACGCACATGGTGATCGCAGCTGTATTCCCGATGGCTGTCAAGCGCTGGATCCTCATGCTAGCATTTGCCTTCTGGCGTCTGTGCTATAACGGCGGCCTTGGCTGGATCCTCAAGTGGCAGAGCAACCACCATGGGCTGGTTGCCATGTTCAAGCGCAATGGATGGCTGGATCCCGCTCGCGGTGGCAAAATTTATGTTTGGCTCAAGGGCGAGCTTGAGGCCAAAATGGGCCCTGACTACTCATTTGAGGTAAGCGATAAGAGGCAGCAAATGCGTCCACCTGAACCTGAGCTTGAGCATCATTGGTTATAAAATGTTGGCATATTTAGATCGACATTATGATATGTTTTGTGGTAATCCCTTTCACATGCCAGCTGCAGCCTGATTTCTGAGCACTATCTTTGGTTAATGTAAACCGTGGGTGTTTTAGCGTGTTAACTTACATGTGTGCGCTTGCGGTTGGCTGAGTGAACGAGAAAATGTATAAGTGAATGGCTGATTGACTGTGAATTATGAGTTGTGAATTGTATCTGACCCACTTGCTAACGCTAAACGCTGAACCTGAACCTGCCATTGCACCCTGTAGAATGTTCCCATCGAGTTCAATGTGTGGCTGCTTTATCGCCAGCTTGTTGATCTGATCCTGCTCAACGACTTTGCCGCGTATTTCTTCCTGTGCAGCTGCTACCTCGGATCGGCCAACGACTCTGAACCTTGGCACATGTATTTGAGAATTGCCGGCGGTGTCATCCTACTGGTATTCAACCTGTGGGTCAAGGTCGACGCTCACCGCGTGGTCAAGGACTACGCGTGGTACTGGGGAGACTTCTTCTTCCTGGTTGAGCAGTCGCTGACATTTGACGGCGTGTTCGAGATGGCGCCTCACCCGATGTACTCTATCGGCTATGCGGGATACTACGGTGGCTCAATGATCACCGGCAGCTACACCATTTTCTACGCCAGTCTGGCCGCACACATGCTGCAGTTCCTGTTCCTGTCGTTCGTCGAGAACCCGCACATTGAGAAGACGTATGAGCGCCCGCCGCTGGCCGTGCAGGTCATCCAAAGGTCGCGCAACCGCCGCCTGTCGTCAATTAACTCGGACGTCGAAGATATTGTTGGTGACATCAGTAACCCGGAGTCGGCGTCGGCATTGGTGTCTGCCGCTGCTGCGGCTCGCAACTCGATCCGCGAGCGTCCGGCCAGCCTGTGGCATCCCGACCTGATCGTGTTTAAAAATTTTGATCTGTTCCGTGCCTCGGACATTCTGATTCTGCTTCTGCTGTTCTACTCCATTGCCATTCCGCTCGGCTTTATGTGGGTGACAGGCAACAGGCAGCTGGTGCTGACTTATTCGATTTTCCAGTGTATCGGCTGGATTCTGTTCCGCACCCTGGCTCTGGGCTTCCTGCTCAAGAAGCAGAGCACGAGCCAGCTGATTACCCGCTGGTACATCAAGCACGGTGGCAACGGGGAGGAGGCATTCTCTAGCTGGCGCGCGATCTACAACACAGTATCGATTATGACCTATGGCTCATTCGGGCTGGTTGGTCTGACCGCTTACCACTGGGGCAGCGCTGCCTATGGCGACCTCGTTCTGTTCCACACACTGGGACTGCTTATGATTGGCTTCCATGTGTGGAGCTCGCGCTCTGTGTATGAGGTTCTCGGCGACTTTGGGTGGTTTTATGGCGACTTTTTTGCGCGCGATCCGTCGATGCTGTCGCTTGCCCCAGCAGACATGAAGCTGTACTACACTGGCATCTACCGCTACCTAAACGATCCCGAAAAGGTCATCGGCCAGGCAGCATTCTACGGATTGGCGCTCATCTCGCGTAGCTGGGCTGTGTTCGCGTTGGCCCTGCTTCTCCAGACCTGCAGCTTCCTGTTCAATGCATATGTTGAGACGCCGCACATGAAAAAGATTTATGGTGCCCAGGTGCGCCGCGACTCTGGAATTGTGCGCACTGTCAAGAAGGCTGTCAACAAGGGCATTGGTCAGTCAGTATTTGGGGACGAGCAAAACAAAGCGGAGGACGGTGACAGCGAGCATCTTCTGTCTGTCGGCTACAACCTTGAGGGTCCCAGCATGGTCAACATCCTGACCAGCACGACCAAGCCTGTGAGAGACATGTTTTTGGAGACCAAGGGCTTACTGTCGACGACTACCGCGCGCCTGGCTGAGAGGACGCTACCATCGGAACTGTCTAAAATCGACCACTTGAATATGTATGGCATCAAACTGCTTCCAGGCGCAGCGTGGCGGGCATCAGGCAAGCCAGCGGCAGTTAAGAATGCGAAATTCTCGTACTACTTGGGTGAGTCCATCCGCATCTCCTGGCAAGCGCCGATTAGCCACTCGCGCCGCGACTGGGTTGGCGTTTATCCTGTCACAGCCAATTTTTCCTCGCAGATCACCACCGCCAGCTCCAAGGGATGCTACGTGTACACTCACCCCGACGAGAACCTGCTGGCCGAAATGGTTGTGGGCGACAGCGTGTTTGCCGGGTTTATCAAGGGCGTTTCCAGCTCAAAGGAGCGCGGCAGCGGCGGCATAGGTGACCTTTCATTGCTTAATGGCAACAACACTTCTCGGAGAAACGGGTCACGGAAGCGCGCTACGGCTGATATTGTGCACGGCGAGGCAATTTTTAGCAGCTCTGCGCTGCCATTCAAAGTAGGCACCTATGAGATGCGGCTGCACCATGGCGGCACGCACGCGGTGCTGGCCCAATCCAAGCCCTTTGAAATTTCTGTTTGCGAGATAAAGGACATTGTCCGGGTTTTGGGCGAGCATGACGAAGACGATACCCCTGGTGCAAACAGTGACTCGCTTCCTGCAGACACGAACACGAACATGGATGCAGACAACATCGACTATCTGTCGCAGGCATTATTGAATATCGTCAACAAGGCATTTGCAGTCACTGACTCGCACACTGTGACTGCTCCCAAGGACTCGCCTGCGGCAATGGCTGCGGGCGGGGGCCATATCGGTGCTGAGGGCGATGTCGTTGTGCAGACGGATGTTGTCGAGCCTCTTGAGTCTGTTGACGACGCGTTTTCGGTTGACGGCGTGTTGGACGAGAAGCAGGCCAAGCGCCTGGGCTACGCCATCAAGGAGTACCTCGGGGTCGAGTTTGCCCCCGATGTGCTCATCCACGCGGCAAAGCACGGCGCGACTGTGCACGATGTGGCTAAGCGCGTTGTTGAGGCGCGCAAGGCGCTTTCCGCCTATTCATCGGTCAATTTCTGAGCGGCATTTGTTGTGATAAAAAAATTGACCGCAACCTTAATGAACCACAAAGAACCAATTCAAGTTTTTTTTGCCAGAATTTTTCGGGTTTATTCTTTTTTATAGCCATTGCTTTGCGACTGCTTCTTTGCAAATGTTTTTCCAATGGTGTTAAATTGATATCAAAAGTTGCTGTAAATGCGTGTTGAGAATAATTGAATAAAAATAATAATTAAAAAAGAAAGAAAAAACAAGCAAGAGTGCCAAACAGAGAATTGCGTGCAAAGATACACCAGTTATCTAAACATCCAATCTTATCGGCATCATAATTAGAAGGCAAACGCAGCAACAAGGAGGCCAGCAACGGCGCCAATAACAGCCTTGGTCGAGACGAGAGCGCTTTTCGGCGCCGAGGATGAGGACGACGACTTGGATTCGTCCTTGGCGTCATCAGTCTTGGAGTCAAGACCAGCATCCTCAGACTCCTTGTCGTCGGCGCTATCTGACTCGGCAGCGTCGGCGTCAGCGGAAAGCTTGACATCGAAGCACACGTAGTATTGCTCAGTTTCGTCATGGTCAGTGCCGTTGTAGATAGCCTGGACAACGATGCTCTGTCCGTTCTTGAGACCAGCCTTGGCAAAGTCCAGAGGAGTCGTGTAGGTGTTAGGGGCGGGAATGGAAACATCGGTAATAGGATGAGCGATAGAGTCATTAGTCACGGTGATGTCGGTAAAGTAGTTGAAGATGAGGTTTCCGGTACCGTGGCTAGGACGCAAAACAAAATTGTTGAGAGTGTCGACAGAGAAGGTGGTGACATTGCGGGTCAGCGCATTGCTACCGCCGCAGGGCTTGTTGAGCTGGTCACCAACGATGCCTGAGCGAGGAGGGGGGCTGATGATACCCATGTGCGCCCAGGCGCACTGCAGAAGCGCAGCGGTGGCGATAGCGGTAGCGAAGATCTTGACCATATTTTACAGGCTTGAAGCTAAATTAAAAAAGAGGTGACTGGTGAGAACAAGAAAAGAAGAAAAGATAAGGGAAGAGAAGAGTGCTGTTTGTAAGATAATAAAAGTGAGTTTTCAGAGGACGAGGAGCGGGTGGGTATTTAAAGGATTCTGGATGAGCAGAGCGGGAACAATGTAATAACAGAAAAGAAGGATGGAGGAAAAAAAATAGAATGGCCGTGGAAGAAAAATGCACGCAGGCCAGCTGATTCGGTTTAAAACGGGCAAGCAGGGAATCTTCTTTTGGAGGGTTTTTTTGCGACAATTGTAGAATGGACGTGGGTTTCCTTTTGTGGATTTACAGATATACAGCGACCAGCAGACAACACAGGAATGCATAGGTGCCGTGCGAGTGCTGAAACACGTCAAAGCGTGTGGCACTGCAAAGCAATTTTTTAATGTTTCCTTAAATTTACATCGCGCATGAATGACCACGCTCAGCAACCATGATTGGGCACAAGGCAGCCCAGAAAGGCTCGTTTTGTGATGTATTATTTTGGCAAAGTACTGAAGTACTGAGCATACACTGCGTGCTTATTTTTACAATCGCAGATACCAGCTACAATTGCAAAGCTTTCAAGCAATGCTCTCAATATGCATGGCAATGATGGATTAAAATTAGTACTGACCGGCGTGCGCCTGCAGACACAGTGCCCTTTTTTACATACCGTACGGTGCGAGTTGTGCCTGGGCAGAAACCCAGCTTTTTTTTGCCAGACCGACAGGATGGTTCCTGTGACTGTGGCTGATCGCATTAATCAATACATACTTGATCACGATCGTGGATCAAGAGACAGTCTGGCGGGGGCGCAAACAAAACAAAACAAGCGCACATGTGGCGACTGCATCGGCACTTCAAAACCTCATGTTTGCCATTTTTATATTGCTTGCTCTGTTTATTGTTTTTTCAAATATTTCTTTTTCATTTCCTTTTATTACATTCAATTTCAATTTCACCCTCGCGAATTCCATCTACATACTCTAATCCACATAGTTATAAAATGCCGAGCGATGTAAGAACACATTCTTTAGCCGTTGCCGCCGCTACGCGGGAGGAAATTCGGGCTCATCTGACCAATAAATAATAAACAAATACACACGCAAGGCGCATTTGGTTTTTTTACGTGCCATTTGGCCCTGGTTACTGCAAAGAGACTTGTCATTTTATTAACTGCTTAGTGCACACCCTATTTCCTTTTTACGTCTTTTTTTACCATTTTGTATTGTTTAGACACCCACCCAGGAGCAGCTGAACGAGTTTAAGGAGGCATTTGGTCTGTTTGACCGCACTGGTGGCGGCACGATCCCCCCGTCGTCGCTCGGCACTCTTCTGCGCGCGCTCGGACAGAACCCGACCGAGGCCGACGTGCACGACCTCACTGGTGACATTGATCCCTCGGATGAATCGAACGGAATCGACTTCAAGTCATTTGTTGAAATTGTCATGCGCCCCGGAGGCTTCAACTCTGCCAACTCGGAGGCCTCGTTTAATGAGTTTGTCCAGGCGTTCCAGGTTTTTGACCGCGAGGGCAATGGCTTTATCTCGGCCGGTGAGCTGAGATACGTGCTGACCAGCCTCGGCGAGGCCCTGTCGGACGCTGAGGTTGACGAGCTGCTGAAGGGCGTGCCCATGGACAAGCACGGGAACATCAACTACGAGGAGTTTGTTCGGACTCTGACGAGCAACTAGGGCCTATAAGTCTGTTACTCTTTTCTCTACTTTTAAATGCCGGGCGGCTTTGGTCCGGCTAGGTTTTTTATTACAAAATTTTCTTTCTGTCTCAACGGCATTTTACTTTATATATTTTTCGATATAGAACCAAAGGCCAAAAAAACACATGCTAGAGCCCGCTGTCAAATGCGCGGCTTTAGCAAATAGCTCAGGTTCCTTTTTGACGGCTTGACAGGCTCAGCCTTGGGTGGCTGCGGCTTGTCGGGTGCGGTCTCCTTCTTCTGTGACGTCTGCCAAGCAGTTCCCATCCATGCGCGGTCCCAGGCCTCGTTGAGCCTCCACTCTTCCAAGATCAGCGCGCCATGCTCATTCCAACTCTTGGCCAGTCCCGACGGCGACGAGCGCAACGGGGTGGTATTTCCGACTACTTTTACGGATCCTGCCACGCTCAGCGGCACCTGATGGTCTTGAAGCTCCATATCGGCGGCGTATGTCGACCTTTGCAAGTACGCAAGAGCGTCCATCGTTTCCAAGGTCCCGGCAGTATATGGGCCCTGCTGCCTCGTCGGCTGCCATACTGCAGCCGCCCCCTGGTCTGCTTCCGTGGCGCTCATGCTTGTTGGCAGTGTGCGCGACAGAAGTTCAATGACATCCTGCCCATCCAAGTTCTGCGCAAGTTGTACTTGGTGCGATTCAGTCTGGGATTTGCGTGCTGCCTGGCGGAATGCAGATACAGTGCTGCTGGTCCCAGATACCACAGGCAACTGGACTGAGCTCGTGTGTGTGTGTGTGGCAGGCCTGGCCTGGCTGCTTTCAGCCATCCATTCTTGTGACATTGATGAAGTTTCCCCCTGAAGTCCCGATTTGGACTCTGCGAGAATACTGGGGTCGAACGCAAACGGCCCGTGGGCCCCGCTGCACACGATGCTGGTGGCCAGTCGATTGGCCGATCCGGCAACGCGGTCTAGCATTGCAGACCCTTTGTTCTGCCGTGTCGTCTGTGAACTAGCATCGCCCAATGCGGTGCTGTCGCTCCTGCTATTGTCTGGCCCCTTGTCCTTTGCACCTGCATTGGCCGGCTGTTGCTGTTGCTGTTGCTGTTGCTGTTGCTGGCCGCTATCCATATTTGAACGCAGGATGTCTAGCGATATATGGTACACCGCGTTAATGTTGGATGAATGGAAGTATATAATACTATAAATAGGAAAATTGCTTTTAAGGCTTTTGTATAATACAAAGGAGAGTGAGAAGTGGTAGTTACAGAGCAATACAAGCCCGCTTGACAACCATGGCGCACTTGCGAACTTTTCACCACAAAAGAACAGCAGGAAAGGGCCAAGGATTGGGTCATGCAAAACGGTATTCACGTGGAAAAAACACTGTCGTCGTCACCATCCTTTTTTTATGGATTTTTTCTTAAGCCTAGACTCTCGAGTCCACTTTTCAAAAGGGCTTTTTCATTTGCAATAAAATCTTGATACAGAAAAATCAAGTAGCTTGCAGAGACAAAATTGTATTTGTATTGTTTCTTTTATACTCCACTGTCCTGCTATTCACGCATCCACATTCGCATCCACACACGCACACACACGCGCTCGGCGATGAAGCAATACGTACGCCTGTGGCTCTTACTGCTTGGCGTGCAACTGGTGGCGATATATCTCCTATACAGAGCGCTCGGGAGCTCGTGGGGACAGACACTGCGCTCTTCAGCATTCAACTGGCTCAGCGAGCAAAACATGTACCCGTGCTCGTTCAGAAAGCTACCGGCCATCTTTGAGCACGGAGACGGCCACTACTATATCGTGTGGGAGACAACGTGCCCCTCGGGAGCGCCGCTGCTAAAGTGGTGGACAAGCAACAGCTTCGGCAGCTCTGTGTCCGCGCAAAACACCGTTGAGCCGTGGTACAGGCGGATTGACCGCGATCACCATCGGTATACGGCTATATTTGGCCCTGTGGCAGGCAACACGCCGGTCGTCCACTATAAAATCAGCAACTACAAGTTTTCGACAAGGCAGTTTACCATAAAGCGGCCGGGCCCGACCGAGCTGCATCGCTTGCTGGTGATTGCAGACAATCAGAACAACCCGGGGAACTTTAGAAAGGTGCTGTCGAGCATCCAGAAATACTACGGCAAGGACAAAAAGCCGGACAGCATCTTGCACGTGGGCGACAGCGTACAGAACGTCTATAAGCTGTCAGACTGGCAGAATCAGTTCTTTTCACCGATGGAGGATGGCGGCGGCTACCACCACAGCTCGCCCCTCATTTTCGTTCCTGGAAACCACGACCACGAGAAGAGTCGCAAGCGGGACAACAAAAATATGTATATGGACATGTACCACGGCATCCTGGACACCGACGGTTTGAGCAAAAAGGCCGTGGACGACGGCACGTACCACCAATTCCATCACAGTGTGTCGATTGGCAGCGCGCGCATAATCGTACTGGACGCAGAGTGCCCGTCCAAGGAGCAGTCCGAGTTCCTTCAGCGCGAGCTAGAGTCGGCAGCCTTCCAGAGCGCGCGCTTCCGCATAGTAACCGTGCACATACCGCCATACATTGAGTTCTGGGATCCGTATACGTGGAACCAAAAGGGCGAGAAGCATTGGGGCGAGCATATAAGGGTGGAGTACGACCCGCTGTTCCGCAAGCACGGTGTCGACCTCGTCATATCCGGGCATCAGCACAATTACCAGCGCTCGACTGTGCAACGCAATTTGGAAAATGCCACTTTGGCGGACTCGATCACGTATGCGATTGTTGGCGGCGCGGGCGGGACCCTGGATTTGCAGCGCGTCGAGGACTGGAACATGTACAACGTGACCTATCTGAAGCATCACTATGTATCACTAGACATTGAGGAGCGGCGGCTGCAGTGGTCCGCACGCAATGTCGACGGTACTGTGTTTGATCACTTTGTTATCGAGCGTTGATGAAAGATTAAAATAATGTTCCTTCATAAGAGCTGATTTTATGACAATTTTTTGTCAATGTGCTTTGTGGGCTTTGGAATCAAATCAAATGACAACCCCCTTTTCTGTACAATGTGATTTTTTTACATGATGCGTTGTTTATCTTCTATAGCGTGTTTAAGGCAATAATGCTGCGCTTTGCGTGGGCGCGAGTTGAGCGCACGAGGAGGGACCCAAATAAAACACAAACAATCGACCTGTGAATGCAACTAGACAGCACAACACCTTTCATTATTCATTTTTCATAACTGTATTTTATATTTTTCACTTGCATTTGCATTATTATATATTTTCCATTACTTTACGCACAACCTTGTTTGCAACTACCAGCATGGGTGGCCACATAATCGACATTGAGCTTATCAGAGCGACAGACAACGAGAAGAAGGCGACGAGACTTGGCTTGAAAACACTGGCCAATATTTGCCTGGTAGTGATACTGTTATATGGCGGCCTGTTCTACTATGTCCATTTGCCAAAGCTCAAAAGTATTCTCCACACGGGACTGGATCCACCCTCAAGGTGCTGGTACATCGAGGTGCCAACAGAAGCACCCATCTCTTCCACCCTGGTAACTATTAATTGGACGACCTCGTGTCCCCTAAAGCATGCCATTGTCTCGTACACCGACGACACCAGAGACCGTGACGTGAGGCCAAGCTTGCTTAAAAAATTCTCGTTGGCTGCACTTGTGGACACCGACCAGTCGGACAGCTGGTACCACTACCAGACGACAATATATGCAAAGGAGGGCACACATGCCATATATAGCGTGCACACCGGAGAGCGGGTTCTGGACATGCTGCCAACAATAGACTTTTATACCGCTTGAGAAATGGCAAGTTAAAAATACAAAAAATATATAATTAATTTTATCAAACTAACAAGCCTCCCGTACTTGCAATTTTTCGTAACCTGATGCGCGCCAATTCAACTGTGTTTTCAGAATTAAAGAATATAAATATAAATAACGATGTTACTGCGAGAATCGCGCATCCAGGTGCATGAGGGCAGCTTCATCGAAGAAAGTGGCAACAAAAAAAGAGCCAAACCGATTGTTACGGCTCAGACCGCATAAATAAACGCCCACTGTAGAGCCGAGTCGAGTAATTGTCCATCGAGCCGGAAATAATCACAGTTTGGGGTTTTAGCCAGCAAAATGGCTGCTTTCAGGTTGGCTGGGAAACTCAAGCTTGACAAAATGAACAACATTTACTGTAAGTTTGAAGGCTCACTCTTTTTTTCCTCGTATCAACCCCTATATACAACAGGACTCAATCTGTGAGTGTCATAATTCAGCAGCCAAAACGAAACAAAACAGAGTGCAGTGTGTGGAGATACAGCAGCAGCAACAGCAGCAGTGTTGCATTGGATGCGGCATTAGTGGACCTGGTATAATGGATTCGCGGGCGAGGGCTGTAGAGACATATCAGCTGTATCCATCACGGAATTTGCTATTTTGATGGATACGCGAAGAAAGGCATGCCGAGTGAGGACAATTCGACATTTGTGGAAAATCGTTAAAAATTTGAATTTGAATCGGGAAATTCACAAATGTGCGTTTTTTTATTTGGGCTCCTCGTGCTGAACAGCGTGAGCACGACTATTTTGTGGTTGCTTTGACCTTAAAGAAAGAGGGCTTGGCATCAGCGATTCAAAGGCGCAAAGAGGGGAACTATGCATGTGTTTGGAAGGTGTTTTATTACCTTTTTGGTATTTGTGTGCAAGCAGGCTTATATGACACCTGATTAAGGGCCAGTGCTGCGCACAACCTGCCATGCGGTAGAAAAGACCAACAACACATGCTTTTTCTTTCTTTTTTGTTACTTTGTACTTTAGGAAGTACGTCCTTGAATCGCCGATTGCCATTGGAATTTAAAGCTGGCACGCTGCTTTTCTTTGATTGCGAGGTTGACGTACGCCGCTCAAGCAATTGCTTTGTCTGGCTGGAGGCTCCAGAAGCTACAACTCGAACGCGTTTACTTTCTCGGTATTGATAATCAGACAATTTTTGGACACAGCCCTTGGGAATAACAATCTGTAACATTTACATGTTCAGTGTTATTTTTAACAGCTAGCCGCGACCATGAGACACAATTCCACTGCACTCTGCACATCACTTTGGACAAACGGCAACTAAATGCTGCATCTTTAGGCTTAATGCTGTGGAAGAGACAACGTTCCACCATAACTGTTCCGTGCACTAAACTACATTTTCATGCTTTGATTTTCTGCTTTGTCTCAACTAGGAAATGTCGAAAGGAAAGACCGGCAACAAGCGTTCTGCCCTCGCTGAGGTTGTGACCCGTGAGTACACTATCCACCTCCACAAGAGAGTGTTCGGTGCCTCGTTCAAGAAGCGCACTCCCCGTGCCATCAAGGCTGTCCGTGAGTTTGCTCAGAAGGAGATGGGCACCAAGGATGTCCGCATCGACGCCCAGCTTAACAAGGCTCTGTGGGCCCGTGGTATCAAGGCTGTTCCCCACCGCCTCCGCGTCCGTCTGGCCCGCCGCCGTAACGACGAGGAGAGCGCCGCTGAGAAGCTTTACACCCTTGTCACCTTTGTTGCTGTCCCCAACTTCAAGGGTCTGCAGACTCAGACCGTCGACGAGTAAAGATGCTTTTTTATTCAATGGATTTAGGACTTGGCAATAAAAAATTGTTTTCGCCACATGTATCGCATATACAAACTGTATTTACAATTGAGAAAACCCCTTGATGGCTGAGCTTTAATGTGGATGTTGGATATTCGAATTGCCAATTATATTGCAGGTGGGTGCTATTGAAAATATACATGTGCCATTCACCCAGTCAAAGGCTTCCGCCGGACCACCTCCTCATAAAATTCTGACAACAGTTCCCTTTGCTTGGAATTCAAGCTGTACGAACTCATGTATCCAGACAAGTCAAGCACTTTGATAGAATACACCTGCGCTAGCGGCTCCACCAGTGCTACCACGCTGGCGCTCAGAGTCCAGTCCATAGCGACAGGTCCGCCGAGAATCAAAGCAATCGGAACATTTTGCAAATTATCCGCGCCCCTTGCCTCCTCCAACCACTCAGCCGCTCGCAAAAAGGTCTTTGGCACCGCGCAGTTGCACACCATGAACAAAGCATCAAGGCCTATGGAATACAACATCTGCCGCGACCGAGGGTGTCTGGTTTCGCTCGGTATAACAAGAAACTCCACCCAGATGTCCTCCCCCGTTAGTCTGTCGCCTCTGGGACGCTCAAAGTTAAACACATCTAACGTGGGGCCGGCCAGGGCACTGGTTGTCCCTGGTGCGGTGACCTCTGGATGACATATGCGGTGAACAAGCTCTGACTTGCCGACGCCCAGCTCTCCGAGCACACCGATTCGAATTGTAGGATTGTTCATTGGTGTTAATTTGAAATTCGCAAGTTCAAAATGTAAAAAAAAAATTAAAAATAGGGTAAGTTAAAACGTCATGGTGCAAATAAAGCTGTTTTTTTAAAGTGGCGGTGGCTCAAAAAAACGATATTGCCAATTTTTTTAATGCAATGTACACACAACTAATTATAATTTTTGTAAAATATTAATAATTTAAATTACTAGTAGTCAACAGAAGCTGATTAGCTTCGGCAAATCATAGTTAGCAATCTCTGATAGTATAGTGGCGAGTACGCCAGTCTGTCACATTGGCGACCCGGGTTCAATTCCCGGTCAGAGAGCTTACTTTTTATACCATTATTTTGTTTAAATAGCTTGCTTTTTATTTTTGCTTAAAGACGTGGTATTATTTTTTATTCCGTTAAATGTCGTGCTAAAAAATTGTAATGTTCAAGAGACGCGACACCCACTGTGCAATCAGGTCGGCAAGCTCCTCCAAGATGACGACGATCTGGCTGTGATACGGCCAGATGGAGACTGCAACGCTGAACACTGTGGCCGATAGGAGTGCCACTGTCAAATAGTACCGCAGCGGGCTACCAGTGCAACCCTGGCAGCGCGCCGTTGGCGGTGCCAAGCTGGGAATCAGCAGCGTGGTCTCTGTAGGGTACTGGGACTCGATGTCTCGCAAGTGCTCTATTTCAGTGTGGTATGTCTGCACTGGATGCAATGGCTGGACACTCATGCGGCAAACATACGCTTTGCAGCAGTAGTCAACCATCCAGTAAGGCAGATAATCCGTCCTATCGGTGCACAGCGTGGCAATCCCATGAACGTACATGTCAAAATCCAGAACGGGGTGCACCAGAGAGCTGTCGAAAAACAGGTGTGCCAGCCAGTCAGGCATCTGCTGCGCAGTGCTCGAGTCTATGTGCACCTCGATAATGTCAAACGGTACATTTTCGCTAAATATATCCGTGTGCGCGCCAGTATTGGCTGCGTCGAGCGTCGTCTCCAACCATTGCATGCTCGTGCCGGCGTCACTGTGCGCCAAGCGCACATTTGTGCGCAGTACGATGCGAATATGGGGGTCTTCTAGATCCCAGTACTCTGTGCGCTGCTCTGAGACCATCAAGATGGGCTTGAGGTCTTCCAGGATAATGTGTTTTTGCATTTTCTGGACCCTCTGTAATTGCTCACGCCTCTGTACGGCGTGCTCGGCCTCATCATCTGATGGTAATTCTGGGTTGTGTTGGTAATATTTGGGCGCCATGAGCGGCAGCTTGCTAAGGTTGAGTTCACTGTGCAAGAATGGCAGCACGTAACGGGGCTCCAAATCAACCTGCAGCTTCTCATGGGCGGCAGCGAACCACGGGCCATGGTGCACATCATGACACATGTGTACTGTTGATTCAAATGCTGGACGGTGCTCTTTATCAGCATGCCACCACAGCGACAGCGAGTCCCTGCTCGGTGCCTCGGCCGGCATGCCAGCATGATATTTTGGCATTGCATCGCCATCAAGATACACTGTGAGCACGCAGCTTTCTGATCCTGCTCTCGCTGACCGGACAGAACAAAAAGACCCAGCTGGCGACACGCTGCTGTTGTTCGACGGCACGTGTGTTTGCGGTGGCGACTGCAGCATGAGCTGCACGAGCTGCCTCTGATCCTGCTCCTGCTCTTGCTTTTGGCCCATGCCCTGTTGTGACCGCACATGTACCGTATTGTCTGAGTTGTGGCCTGCGTCCTGCATTTTAATTTCCGGGTCGCTCGCAACGGACAGTTTTGTGCGCAGAATCCTGCGAACCTTTGCAGACACTGCAGGATCGACCCATCCGCGCCAATGATTCAGACCCGGGAACACAGGTAATGACCCAATTCCAGCAGCGCCGTTTATGAAAGCACCCTGGGTTTGCGCGTACAGTTGCGACACGCGGAACAGCTGCTGGGTATCCAATAATGACTCGCTAAACAATGAAGACGAGGACAAGCGCTCGAGAACATCGATGTGATGCCAATGGCAGTGTGCCTGGAGACGGGACAGCTGTCGCCAGAACCCATTGAAGTTTGACCGCCGAAACCGCGCCAAAGCCAAAAGCTGGCCCATGGTGGCACCCAGGGCTTCCTCTGTCTGGCTCAGACCGACCAGCTGCTCGCCGTCGTCCAGCATGGATATCTTCTGCAAAACCGTTTCGCTTGTGCGTATCCCGTACTCGAGCTCGCTGCTCTTCAGATGCAAGAATGAGCTGACCTACATCAAATAAGACATGGCTTAGTATGCGGAATTAAAAAAGACGGGTGAAAAGGGCGGAGATTACAAATAGATTGGCCCTGTCCTGTGTGTGAAAGGAGCGTGTCACAGGGATTCAGTGCCGCTGCAATAATCAATTATTCGCTTCTAAAAATACATTATAGGCGCACCTTTTCGAGTTCTTGCTGGAATGCCAGCACCATGTTTTCGCATTCGATGCAGGCTGCCGATGTTTGGCAAATGCTGGTCTCACAGCATGCACAGTGGATATTGACCGGAAAGGCAGTTAGTCGCTGGTAGTCGATGTTATAGTAAGCCCATTCGGCGAACACGGGCTCGGGTATCCTGTAAGAGTCGGCGGCCGCGCTCATGATTGTAATGCAGTAATAAATAAGTGTGTGTGTTTGCTCGTGATAAATAGACAGAGCCTGCGGTCGAAAACAGTGCCAAGAAGCGTGTTTGGAGAGATAAAGAGACAGAAGGATGGGGGAGGCGGCGGTTGGCGCCAAGATTTGCGAGGTGTATATCTATATCTACGTGAGTTACGGAAAAAAACAAAAAAAACGGGGGTATAATGTCAGTTATAGCTTGGTTATATGCAAAATAAATAAATAAATGGGTTTGGCGTAAAATAAAGTGCAAAAGCTAAAGAGAAGAATGATAACGTTCAGATCCATTTTTTGGTGCTTAAGAGGCAAAGTAAAAAAATGTGAATCGCGGGTATTTTGGAGCAAATATATAGTCTTGCGGCCATTGTCCGCCTCCGTGATGTTTATCCTTGCAGATTCCTAAAGCGGAATAAAAAACTAATGAATAAATGAGCCATGCGTTTATCGACCAGGAACTGGATCTGCTTGGCGCGCTTGATTGGGAGCACATACTGTGGAGCATATTGTGAAGCACATCGCGCTATGCACTTCCATCTGCGAATTAGTGGCAGGGCTATTATAATAGGAGGGAAGGACGAGTTTTACTAATGTATATGAATATTATCAAAATACTTGCAGCATTTAATTGTGTATCTGAGTGTGAATACGCGAACCTACTGTTAATATGATTTATACGCTTGATATAATATCCGGCTGCGGCCGAGTGAGTTGCTAATGAATTTATATATTTGAGGGAAAATGGCACAATTGAGAGAGACAGCGAGCCGGCGACAAAGGTTTGGCACCGGGCATTTCATCCCGAATGGATAAAGCGCAGGTAAAAGTTAACCAAGATAGCGCTGATCAGCACAACAACCAGCACCGTAGGGCCCTTGCGATCATCGTACGGACCGGAATCGCGCTGGCGAATAAGCTCAGCTCTCCACTGGAACAGCATCAGGGCGTAGACCATGACGCCCATGGCGACCACGGTAAACAAGCCGCCGGCAATCTTCCCCGTGCGGTCGCCAAAGTTTAAAAGCCCAAGGGCAAGGGATCCCAGGACGATGGCAAAATTGAGCCATGACAAAAAGGTGCGTTCATTGGCGAAAAACACCTTGGGCTCGACTCGCACTGGCACAGCAATGCGTTTGTTTGGCCCGTCGTGGCGCGCAGTGAACGGGACGCTGCCGTAGGTCTGGTTCTGATTACTGCCGCTGGCGAACGATGCGTAGTTATCGTGATTGCTGTGGCCCTGAACGGCAATGACACTGGCATCGGTGTTCATAGACATGGTTTTTTATGTGTAGTAAGATGGTGTTTGATGCGATATAATACAGTGTAATAATAAATAAGAGAGAAAGAGAGTTGATGGACAAGAAATGCGGCTTCAAAATGGATGAGAGGGTTGTATTATGATTTTGATTATTTCTTTCCCACTTTTTATAGAGTACTCGTTGGCTGTGGTCAACGAGGAGGGTGGCTGGATGAGCTCTCTCCCCCCTCCCCCAGGATGGGGGGATTAGCAGGCATGAGGCATAAAAAAGCGATCGAGTGAAAGGGGGGAGGGCAGAGCGGGGGGTGGTTACGCACCGGTCTCCCTATACCTTTTTCTTAGCATGGATCGCCTATACCGCCGGCTTCAAATGCCTAAGACAGCACGGCTGCGCTTTTATTTGTTTACTTGCGTGGTATCGCCATGATAGAGTAGCGCTCCGCAACGATGCCATAACCCAATTCAAGGCCTCAATTGCTCCCAAATCATTTTATATACAAGTTGGCCAAGGTATGATATGCAAAAACAAAAAATTGTAAATTAATAAAGACAAGCGTGGCTAATAAAAAAAGAGGGCTGAGAACCCAGCATTATCCGCTGCCTTCAAATATAATGTTGCCACCAAAGTCAGCCAACAAAACTTTGTGCCTCTTTCCCATTTGTAAAATGATGTCTGCGTTCTCAGACCTCAATGGGTCCTCTCGCCCCACGCCATGGTAACTGCCAACAGCTTATCGAGGGGCGGAATATACGTCTTCTTGTGAAAGGTCAAACCAAAGTTAATGGCCGTGGCAAATATAAAGAACACGACGACGACAACCGGCACAAAGCGATCGTCCCAGGTACCAGTCTCTCCGCGGCGCAGTCTCTCCGCCCGATTCCAAAACATAACGTATGCGTAGACAATCAAGCCCAGGGCGCCAGTCTCGAATATAAAGGCTGAGATGCGCACGCGGATGCCGCTGCCGCCAAAGTTCAGCAGCGCCAGGCCGAGGCCACCCATCGTCACGGCTAGCTGCAGCCACTTGATGAATGTGCGCTCGTTGGCAAAGTTATTCTTGGGTCGCAATAGTTTAAAGTCGATGGCTGGCTGTGAAGGCATTTCTGTGGTAATGTGAAGCGGTGGGTTTGCGAAATTTGAATTTAAAAAAGTAAACCAATTGGGTAAAGGCGAGAAATAAAGAAAGTTTAAGGGAAAATAAAATATAAAATTAAAGAGTTGCGTTGTTCACACTCACAACTTGTGTTTTTCCAACCCCTCCCTTTTTTTTCTTTCCTCGCGCCCCTCCTCCGACTTTGGCATTCGCGACAATCATCAGCTCTGATCAGAATGCCAGAGCTTGTCCGCAACTTTTCCGGGTCTGGGCAAAAAAAATCACTTGAGTTGTGGCTAGCCAAGCACAAGTCGTCAAGCAGGCGCAGGTGAGGGTGTGTCCGTTTGCGACAGTCTTTTTTTTTTTTTTGACAACCCGTGGATCCTTCTTTTCGCTCAACCAAAACTCCATTAAACAAATAAATTTGGGTAATTTTCTGCCCTTTTCAAATCAATCGGAGAAAAAATAAAACTTTTGTGCTGCGATTGGCAAGCTGCATGGGGTCCAGACCCAAACAGAAGTGCATTTGGCTGAGATCGACTGCATTTGGGAGCCAGTGATTTGGAAAAACAGCTGCCTCGTGGTCTGAGTCGTAGGGTGCCGGGATGCCGCTATTAATAGCGCAAGACTTCTGCACAGAACAGAACAGAACAAATCAGAACATTGTTGGCACAGTTGCAGGTTGCAAATTGCAAATTGAAGATTTCTCTTCATTTACTTTGAGTGTGTCGCTCTAGCCGACATACTCATTGCTGCGGATGTCTGTATTTCCCACGTCCAAACCAAATCCACATAATTTTTTTACAATCCCCTCCAAAATCCGCATCCCCTTTAGCTGCCATTTGCGCCTCAGGTTTTTCTAGAATAAAACAAATAAACAAACAAACAAACAAACAAAATTTTCTGCTACTGCTGCAGCAATTTTACATGATTGCTCCCTCCCCACCAACTTGTCGGTGCCAGTCAGTGGTAATGGTAATGCTTATTAACAACACCCCCCTCCCCCCCCCACCTTCGGCCAGCCAACAGAAAACATGCCAAATTATGCAAGTTGGCACTGTCATTGTGCTAGTGACGTAATATACAAGCCATTCGAATATTGTTTGTGAAGCAGATAGCAGAGCCTCCCTTGGCCGCTTTGTGGAAATTATAAAATAAATTTGCGTGGGACAACCAGCTTTAATCTAGGACAGTAACTGCGTGGGAGACTATCCATCGCAAGTTGAATCGTTCAGATTGCAACGATCCATCCTATCTGAGCTACTCTTAATCGCAACGTTGGGTTTAGTTTTTATTTGCTGGCCTTTTTCATCTCTCCCTCCCTCCCCCCACACGCACACATCTCTTTCTTTCTCTCCCCCCATCTGCTTAGTATTTTTTATATTTTGCTGTGCTCTGCTCCCCTTGTCCTTTTTTTTCGCAACAATTTTCTTTGCTTTATTCCTTAGCCAAAGTATTTTTTGTTTTATTTATTAGCGCCAATTTTGCCCTCTTTTTTTCTTAGCTCACGCACACACACACACACACACCCACCCACCCACCACGTCCAGATTATGAAGTTTGGCCAGCAGCTCCGCGAGGCCCTGGTCCCAGAATGGAGGCCCAACTACGTCGACTACGCCGGACTGAAGAGGTTTCTGTACGAGCGGGCTGACAAGGGCTACACCGCCGACGACGAGGCAGAGTTCGTCAAGCTGCTTGACGTCGAACTCGAAAAAGTGAACAACTTCCAGCAGGCGAAAAGTAGCGAGATGAAGCATCGCATAGAGCACTGCGAGCACGAGGTCTCGCTCATAACCGAAAACGAGGCCTCCGAGGACTCAAGGCGTGAGCAGTTGGACCTCATCGAGCAGGAGATCGACTCTGTCATCACCGGGGTGTACGAGCTGGCAAAGTTCACGCGCCTCAACTTTACGGCGTTCATCAAGATTGTCAAGAAGCACGACAAGAATGCCCCCTTTGTGCTCAAGCCCATGTTCACCGTGCGTCTCAATAGCCGCCCGTTCTTCAGAGAGAACTTTGATGGTCTCTTGATCGAGCTCTCGCGCCTGTACAACATTGTGCGCAACGGCGGCGTCGACGTAGACCAGGGCAAGGACCCGCAGGCCGGAAACGGTCAGAATTTTGTCCGCCAGACAACAAAGTACTGGGTGCACCCAGACAACGTCGTCGAACTGAAACTCTATATTTTAAAGTACCTTCCTGTGCTGATCTACCGCACCAAGGGCTCGACCAAGCCGCCAAACCCGGCGGTAACCAGCATATACTTTGACAACGAGAACCTTGATCTTTACCAGGGCCGCATCGAGAAGAGCGAGGGCGCCGAGGCCATTCGCCTGCGCTGGTACGGCGACATGGAGAGCACCGAGATTTTTATTGAGCGCAAGACGCATCACGAGGATTGGACCGGCGAGAGCAGCGTCAAGGAGCGCTTTTCGCTCAAAGAAAAGTACGTCAATGAGTACTTGGCCGGCACATACACACTCGACTCGAAGATCCAGAAGCTGCGCGAAGAGGGAAAGAAGAGCGAGGAGGACCTCCACGACATGGAGGTCCTGGGGCGCGAGGTCCAAAAAAGCGTGCGGGAAAAGCACCTTGTGCCAGGTAAAGTAACCAGCCGCATTTGTCGGCTATCACAGCTGCACTGTTGCATGCGCCATTGATTTGATTTGATTTGCTTTGCTTTGCTTTGTCTTTTTGTGTGGCTCTGCCCCGTCCCACGTGCTTGCAAAGTTCTAGAACGCCAATCGAAATCAATGCCCGCTAAAGCTCGCCACTGCCCACTAAAACTCGCTACTGCGTAAAATACTCGAACTTTTTTATTGAATTGATAGCCATCAGATCGTTTTACAATCGCACGGCGTTCCAACTGCCCGGCGACGCCCGGGTGCGCATATCGCTTGACACGGAGTTGACCATGGTGCGCGAGGACTCTTTTGACGGCAAGCCGCGCGCCGCCGGAAACTGGCGCCGCACAGACATTGGAATCGACTACCCGTTCCCGCAGCTGCCCGAGAAGGACGTGTGCAGGTTCCCCTACGCGATCCTCGAGGTCAAGCTACAGACGCTGTCGGGTGTCCAGCCCCCGCAGTGGGTGTTGGATCTCATCAACAGTCACCTTGTTGAGGCCGTGCCGAAATTCAGCAAGTTCATCCACGGCGCCTCGGTGCTTCTCGAGGACCGCGTCGACGTCTACCCCTTCTGGTTCTCACAGATGGACCGCGACATTCGCAAGCCCGTGACAAAGCCCATTGGCGTGTCGCGCGGCCCCAGTCCACGAAACAGCATGGTCGACATCAACAACAGCATGCGGCGCCGTAACGCCGGCAGCAGCGGCAGCAACTCGCAAAGCAGTCTGAATGGCCACGGCAACATCGAGGTCATTGTCGAGGAGGAGCCTGGGGAGAACCTGAGCCAAAACGATGGCAACACCTCCCAGCACACGCACACATGTGATGACGACGGCGACCATGCCACGATCAACGAAGGGACGTCGCTGCTCGGGCGGAAGAAGGGCCAGCAAAAGAGCACAACTGCGTCCTGGCTGCAGCTCCTCAATCCATTTGGCCGCTCGTCTACGGGCAGAAGCGCTAGCAGCAATGGGCAGCAGGCATTCCCTCGGGACGCGCCCTTTGTCGCGCGCCAGGACATCGGCGATGGCACCGGAGAGCGGCGCATTGCGGTGCCCATCCGCGTCGAGCCCAAGGTGTTCTTCGCTAACGAGCGCACATTCCTGGCATGGCTTAACTTTTCCATTTTGCTGGGATCTCTTGCCCTTGGCCTATTGAACTTTGGCGACCGCACTGGACGGGTTGCTGGCGCAGCCTTCACCATGATCTCCATGTTTGTCATGGTTTACGCCCTGATGCTGTTCCAGTGGAGAGCTGAGCGTATCCGCAGACGCGAATCAGGTCCGTACGATGACCGCGTTGGCCCGACCATTGTAGTTGTCGTGCTTATTGCAGCTGTGGTTATGAATTTTTACATGAAAATTACCTCGACTGGTTAAAGACTTCCGGGCTGGCGTTTATCTATACCCTCACCATTCGCATTTATTTATTTCCTTCTTTCTTTCCTTTTTGTCTTAATTTTTAAAAAAAAATTGTATTGTTTCTTGAGCAGCTCTGGCCACGGAATGTTTACACAAATGAAAATTGGAAAATGAAGAAAAAGAGCACAAGAAACACTAAAATACAGATAAGAGATTCGACGGGCTGTTTCTGCGCGACATAATGGCACCAGCCACGCGCGCCTCTTCCTCAGCTTTCTTCCCAACCTCATCGGAAAAACAAGGGGTTTTACAAATCGGGCACTCGTGGAATTTATACCGTGTCCGACGCAGAATCCAATGAGAAATGCATGCGTCATGGTAGATATGTCCGCAGGGAAGCACCCTTACGGTGTCGCCTACGGCATATTCCTCCAGGCAAATGATACAGCCGGGGTCTGTGTCAGACATGACAGAAGCTGTTTCAGCCCATCTCTCCTCCTCTTCAATGGCGTCTGATGTGGATTTGAACGTGTATATGCCCTTGCCGCTTGGGTCGCGGTTCAATAGTGACCTGTCGTGGGGTTGTGGCGATGAGGATAGGTGTACGGGTGCTGGGGATTTAAGAGGATACATATATGTGGTGGATTTTGACTTGACTAGGTGGCGGCGTTGCGTGGGTGGGCGTCGAATATCAGCAATATACTCGTCTGTGAGCTTGAATTTGGGCAGCACGTCTAGACGGGATTCTGGCAGTTGCTTAGGGCTTTTTTTGTCCCTCCGGCGTTGGCGATACAGTCTATTTAAATATTTGCCTATGAATTTTAGTGTCATGATAAAATAATAAAAATATGTAGTTTTAAATAAATGCGAAAAAAATAGAAGAAAAAATAAAAGGTATTTATATATACATGACTAAATGTGGAACACCAGAAAAAAGAGGAGGGGGGGGTACACATATGCCGAATGCGGAATGTATTTGACATTTTTTCCCTGGCTTCTGGCGGAAATGGTATATCAATAGTGATTCGTAAATGGAATAATCATTTTTTCTCATTCCAAAAATATAAAATGCGGGTAATTCTCAATAGGCAAAATCAAAAAAATGGAAATTCGCGCATTTTCGTTGCATCATCGATAACCGTTAAAAGTTTTTTTGGAGCAAAAGAAAGAATATGAAAATGAGAGGGGGGGGCGAGATTTACATGCCAATATTTGCCCGAATAAGACGAATGATGAACAACACAAAATATCACATGGCAGCCGGTTTTTTATTTTAAAAATCGTAAAGAGGGCGTGCTGCTTAATAAACGATATACACTTACCATGAAAGTAATATCCTAGGGTTAAGAGCAGCACAGCGAGCGAGAGATATCCGATAACATCCCAGCCTTTTGCTTTCACTTTGCTCAATTGAGAGCTATCATTCTCTATATCCGAAGAAAACAAAGTGTCCCTGCCTTTAAACAGGGCTTTTCGAGTGGCGCTAAGTGGCCATGTGGGGGCTGGAGCAACATACGTGCGTAGATGTAAGCGCATAGTTCAATTTAGTCAATTTAAGCGAAATGAAATAAATAATAGTAAAATAATGTGTATAGCAAGAAAAAAATGAAAATATAAGTATAATTTTTTGGTTTGTCTTTTTATTCTTTTTTTGCTGGGTGCTTGCTGTTGGCAGCCATTGTGCGAGACAATGTTCCAAGGCAAGAAGCAACAACAATAGGATACGGATGTATATGATGCATATCTTATGCATTTGTCGGACATATGATTTGAAATGAAACAAAGTACATTAGAGTACATTTAATCTGGAACAAGAGATGCGGGAAAAACAAGATCAATTTATAAAATAAGATAATTATAGTGTGGGAACTTTTTGTTGTGCATTTATCAAAGTACATGTCTCTCCTTTAATGGTGTGATATTTGTAAAGCAACGTGTCTGCACAAATTAATTAGCTCCGATTCTAGTATTTGCATTTTTTTTAAAAAAAAAAAGCCAAGGCGCTTGAGGCTGGGCCACAAAATCAATCAGGTTTAATTAATGAAATATGCGATTGTCCGCGCTTTGACTTATTTCTTCTTAGAATTGCAATTCTAGTGCATTACTTTTATTTTTATTTCTACTCATTTTGTTTTGTTTTGTTTTGTCTTATTGCATTTTGAATTTTGAATTTTAAATCCTTTTTCCGTTTTCCGTTTTCCATTCCATAACTTGCATAGTCGTCACTGTTCGACCGCACATGCTGGCACAGCAAACGCGAAAAGTCACAGCAAACCAGCACAGCACCAAATGAGACAACCAGTGGCTCGCAGCCTGCAAGAGGCAGTGGACTACAGAGACATCGATGCCGAGAACACATGCGACGAGGAGACAGAACTCAACCGCATGATCTCAACCATCGGGTTCGGGCGGTACCACCGGCGGGTGTTGGCGCTCTGCGGGCTCGGATGGATGGCCGACAACATGTGGATGCAGTGCGTGGCATGCATCCTTCCGCGCGTCCAGCGGCACTTTGACATCAGCAACGCGGGTATTGGAATAATGTCTTCGAGTATGTTTCTGGGACTGATGTGTGGTGCGCTGGTCTGGGGGCCCGTTTCAGACCGATTCGGGCGCGTCGTTGCCTATCGATGGACGCTCGTTTTGTCTGCCGTTTTTGGCGCATTGGCGAGCGTGGCACCGACCTTTCCGTTGCTATGTGTGTGCCTTTTTGGGCTAGGGTCTGGGGTTGGCGGAAACATGCCGGTGGATGGCGCCATTTTTCTTGAATTTGTGCCGCGTGAAAAGCGGCATCTGCTGACGATGCTCAGCGTCTTCTTTTCTATTGGCTCGGCGCTGGCCGCAGCAGCAGCACTGGCAATCCTGCCCGCGTTCAGCTGCCCTGAAGGCAGTAAGGGGGATTGCGATGTGGGAAAAGAGAACAACGGGTGGCGCTATCTTCTCGTCACCATGGCAGTCGCCACCGCCGCAATGGTGGTACTACGCAACGGGTGTTTTCGGCTGTACGAGAGTCCAAAGTTTTTACTACAGAACAAGCGCCGCGCAGACGTCATTGTTGTGCTTCGCAAGATTGTGAACTTTAATGGCGGTACTGCTCGCCCCACATCGCCGCTCAACACTGCCGAGACCGGCGTGCTTAGACAGCCGAGCGAGGAATCGGGCAGCGACGCCAGCTCGTGGCTCGAATGGCCCGAGGCCGAGGATGTGGTCGAGCCGCCGCCGCACGTTCGGTCGACTAAACCGTGGCTGCACAGGTGGGGCCAGACGCTGCGAGCAGCACTGGATGTGCGCGCACATGCTCGTATGGTCCGGCCACTGTTTGCACCGTCTTTGCGGCGCACCACAGCGCTAGTGTGGGCCATCTGGGCGGTGGTTGCACTGGGATTCACAATGTTCAACGTATTTCTGCCCAAGCTGCTCGAGACTAACGCGCCCGCCGAAGATAGTGGTCGCAAAGTGCAAGTGCGCGTGTATCGCGATTCGCTGATCTACGCTGTCAGTGGCATCCCCGGGTCGCTCATTGGTGCCTGGCTTGTCGGCACGCGTCTCGGGCGCATCTACTCTATGGCGCTCTCAACCTTGGTTTCTGCCCTTGCCCTTATTGCCTTTGCGATGGCCGCAAAGTCGGCCAATTCTGCGCTCACTGTGCTTTCGTCGTCCGTATTCGGACTCATGAGCACAATGATGTTTGCCGTCATATATGCGTACACGCCTGAGGTCTTCCACCCGTCGCTTCGCGGAACCGCTTGTGGCATGGCGTCGGCGCTGGGACGTGTTGCTGGCATTGTTGCGCCGCTGGTTACTGGCTTGTTGCTAGAGATTAGTACTACTGTGCCGCTTTATGTCAGCGTGTGCCTTTTGATGGTTGCGACTACTTGTATGGTAGCCTTGCCCATTGAGACCCGCGACATTGCCACATAGTATCATTTAATAAGTTAGTTATTTTTCATGTAAACTAAATTGAGAGCTAAATTGAGAGGATCCAAGTGTCAGTGCTATTAGTTATTATTTTTTTATAAATGTGTTGGGTAACATTGCATCTTTAATCTGTAGTCGATAATTAATCATGATGGGCAAGATGGCGTGGTAGACAAACAGTCTTATTCATCAACTTTATTTGTTGTTATTTACTTGTTTTATATATTGCTTGGAAAGAGCCAAGCCCAAGTGGTAGACAGCTTCGCCCATATTTACGTTGTCCTCATAAGGAAATTTTAATAAAGCAACTTGAAAAAAGGGTTTCATAATTTGCATCTGTATTGCTATAGATTGTCGTTAACCCTCCCTCGTTTACTTTACTATCATGTTTTTTTAAAAATGCAATCGTCAGAGACAGGAAATAAATTTATAGGCAGCATCCAGGCGCTCCAACAACAACCCGACACATCCATAGCGAGACAACTACTTTACCGCCTTTCAGCGCAAGTGCGTCCACTAATGCAAACACGCAACTGGCACGTCCACTGTCTCAAAGAATTCCTCCCGACTAACCCCTCGCTCCTCGGTCTCAATATCAATCGTGGGCAAGAAATCCGCATCCGCTTGCGTCCACAATCACATAGGGATCAGTTTTTGGAGTACGAAGAGTTGTTAGGTACTTTGTTGCACGAATTGGTGCATATAGTACATGGGCCCCATGATAACATGTTTTACAGGCTGTTGGACGAGCTCAAGACAGAGATGGAGCTGTTGATGGCAAAAGGGTATACAGGAGATGGGTTTTGGTCCAAAGGCGAGAAGGTGGGCGGCAAAGTTTTGAGCAAGGCAGAGGCTAGAGAAAGGGCGGCGGTGGCTGCGGAAATGAGAATTAAGAGGGGAGGGAGGGGGCCCAGAGTACTCGGTGGAAGAGCGTTTGGAGGCAAAGTGGGTCTGACGCCAGCGCAGATGGCTGGGAGGGCGGCGGAGCGCCGCTTGCACGATGATCGGTGCTGTGAGGTTGTTGGTGATATGCCATTGTTGCTGTCGGTAACGGTGTCGCCGGTGCCTGGTGATGGCAATGAGGTAATTGTGATCTCGGACAGTGAGTCCGATCAGGAACCAGCTTCCTCTTTTTCTTCAGCTACAAGCGTCGTTGAAATTGAATGAGAGCTTTGAATGCATTTAATATACCTTTTCTATTTTCTTATAGATTTATATCTTAAACTTTTAATGTGGCAGAATCTGTTAATGTAGTGGCCTCAGGAAAGGCTGTTTTTGAGGACACACTGCACCAGCCCCAAAACATAGGACAGACATGAGCAGGAGCAGGAGTAGTATCTATGTAATTGTTGCGCGGTTCTGTCAGCCTGCGAGGCGACTCTTGGACATTGACCCCACAATGGACTGTGATGCCTCCATGAACAGGATAGTTGAGAACGGCACCATGGCGGTCACTGCTTTCTCTGCCAAGTAATCACAATCCAACACACCACTTTTAGCACATCTTTGGGTTAGCCGCATTCAGCTGGATATTTTTCTTGCACGGCGCACCATGCACTGAGCATGTGGTGGCAGAAATAATTTAGGTACGTGGATTTGGGGATGGTGTCGCTGATTTCCCGCAGCGTGGGAGCTGTACCAAAGACTGAGGATTGCCCAAGCGCTAGTGGCCAATAAGTGCTACGCCAATGCAGCAAAGATAAAACAGTTTGTGAGGTAGCAGAGGCAGAGGCAGAAGTATGCGCTGTTATGCAATATTCCTCCAAAATCACTTTTTGTGTGCTTTATTGAGCCCGCGTTGCGCCAAACAGTGCGCTTGTTGATGTTTAAAGTAACAAAAAACGCGGTATTACTTGTTGATGCATTTATCTGCCAAATCTTACTTAATGTAGATGTGGGGGATGGCCACCTGTCCTGGAACACCAATTTCCCATTGGCTTCAGAGACTCAGTTGAAGGACAAGCTTACGCGCAGCCGGTGTTTTCTGCTTGCTGCCGCACAAAGCCTGGCTGATATGCGTGCAGTGCTGAGCAGTGCGTAGAGGTATGCGCAGTTGTGATGGAATCAATTGCTCAATGCCCAGGCAATGGCCAAGTTTTCAGATGCCGTAGATTATTTAGTGTGATAAAGGTTGCAGTCATGCCAACATACTTGTCTCAGCAGCAGAATATATGAATGCGTCGTTGCTGAGCGCAGCTTGAAAGTGTACCTGGCTGTGCTGGTGTTGAGGTTGGTGGCCCGATGACTTGTGGTGGGGGCACTATGCGAGGGTGTGCAATTGGCACCTGGCGTTTGTCGAGCACTTGTTAGGCAAAAAAATACGTACTTCCGGTTTTTGAGCAAGTGTAAGACTATGCTGAGATTTTGGTTGAATTCTGTAACCAGAGATACAGTTGTTGCCTTGTAATCCAGCCGGCTTGTGCTCCTGGAAAAATAATGTTGACAATGCGGCACTGTGTGGAGAGAGCTGCTTGTCAGCTACAATGTGGCAATATTGGCGGTTGAGCTTGAAAAGATACGGATGCATGTCATTCGGCAGCCATGCGGGGCTCCATTTGGCTTGAACCTTAACTCAAACAAAAAATGTGTGCTGGTAGGTGCAGCCGGCCTGGGCGAAAAAGGCTGGATACCTGTGCTTTAAAATACAGGTACAGTTTTGCAAATCAATAGAAAACTATGTTTACTAATCAGCCAAGCATCCAATCACGACTTTGTGCCCAAATGATTGCCAGGACAGTGTTGAATTTCCCACCAATCGAACAGAAACACAAAAAGCCCTGTTCATCGTGCCCTTTTTTGGGACCAAGAAAAATCGTGGCGTTGACAAGAAATAAAAATCAATACAAACATAACACCATATGACATGATATGACATAAAAGGCGGCTGGCGGTCAGCGCGGCATTTTTTCTCTTTCTTTCCCTTTTTCATTGAGTATTTTCTTTTTATTTTATATAGCTTTGCAGTGAAGGTGAGGTTTGCATGTATTTGTGCCGTTTAAAATCCATTTGTTTGTTCTAACTATAAACTAGTTCGCACTCGAAATTATCGTTTTATTCGAAAATAATAGTTATTCAGCTATTTTGTCATCTCTTTCTTTTTTGACTTTCTTTTTCTCGTCAGCATTTACTCGTCGTTAAAAATGACTATCAGATTCGCAAACACGATCCGCAACCTGCGCACCGCTCTGCACTCTGTCACCAGACACACGCCTACCCGCAGCGCTAGTCCACGCAGGCTGATGCGCCGCCTGCGTACTTCCCGAGCCAAGGCTGAGGAGTCCAACTCGTCCAGCTCCGAGTCTGCACACACCAGGGTTGCATCCATACAGGACGACGCTAGGTCCTCACACTCCAGAGTTGAAATTGATTGCTACCATGGTGAGATCACAGCTGCGCAGGATGCAGCCGGGCACACCCGTGCTGAGATTTATCTTGTACAGACCAAGCCTGCAACCGAGGAGACTGAGGATATTCTTTTGCGCGCCGAGTTGGCTGATGCTAGGGAGAAACTGAGGGCCAGAGAATTGGATATTGAGCGCCTAGAGCTCCGGCTTGAGCAAAAGACCAGCGAGGCAGCAGACATCAGCCGCAAACTAAGCATAACCAACCACACGCTTGCAGAATTAGCTTTGAAGAATGGACGTCTTGAGACCAAGGTGGAAGCGGCAGCAACATGGCACATTGAAGTTCACGATCTTCTTAGCAAGTCTCGCCTTCAAGAAAGCGAGCTCGCTTACAGAAACAAGATGCTTACTGAAAGCAACAACATGCTTACCAATATTAACAAGGAGCTCGCCAAACAGCTAATCATCGAGGAAAGGAATGTTGAGGTTCTGCGTTTTGATTTGGTCAATCTCGACCGTGAGCTGGAGAATACTGACCGTAAGCTGGAAGCCACTGAGCAGAAACTTGAGGAGGCCAAGCAGAATCAGGACATTGCTGAGGAGTTCTGGGGAGAAACCGAGATGCTGCGCCAGGAGGCCGAGCAAAAGCTCAACGAGTCCGAGAAAAAGCGTGAGGCTGCTGAGCAGCATGCACAGACTATTGGGTTTCAGAAGGAGGAGTTGATGTACATTGCACAGCAGGATTTTGACGAGCTCTACGACGAACTGGAGCATATCAAGTACGTTGTGAGTTCGACGTGTCCGGTGGAAGTTGCTCATCAGCTCCTTGGCCAGCCTGCCGGAAAGCTCGATACTATTAACGAGAGCGATGCCAATGGCCGGTACTTTGACAACGATCGCTACGTCCAACCAATCGACGCGATTGATGCTATCTATGCAGTTGATTATGATTCTGATGACCAGCAGCAGCTGTCTGCACCAGGCGTGATTTGCTTGCGCAAGCACAGGCACACTATTTAACTGGTGTGGGACGCTGCTTGGTTTGCTGCAGACATACCACTGTAACTACTGTATATTATTCGGCAACCACACCCTACTCCCGTTTATCTTTTTTAAACAGCTCTAGCTTTCAGCCTCCCTGATTGAATCGCATCCTGCATTTTTCTTTCCCTTTCTTTTCTTTTTCCTTTTCTCATTTTCCCTTTTCTATATTAACGACAACATAATAAATTTTATCAACCACACATGATTGTGCATAATTTATAAATTGGCATAATGTTTTTTAGTATCAACTGCAAGTACAGCCAAAGAATTTAAAACCACCGCATATCTGGACATTTGCACCCCTTTTACAGTCAAAGGAGAACTATTTAAGGAATATTCGGACTGCCGCAAGCAGTCATATACTGCTCTTCTGTCACTTGCGCAATATTGGAGTCCAAGAGCCAGGCTACATCATGCAACACAAACCCGTTTGGATTGCTGAGCTGATCAACGACGTGGTCCAAACTGTGTTTCAGTTCACCACCATGATAAACCAGCACAATCAGCACCACCGAGGCATCAGCGAATCCGCACTCCTCAGCAGACACGCACAGAAACACGGCCTCTGCAAATTTGGCAGCCAGCGCATGTTAAAACGACTCTAACCTCCTTGAGGTGCTCCTGGTATTGACCTAGATAACTACGACGCAGTTCCCAGACTGTGTCCGCTTGTCAACATTTTTTACGTACTTGTCAGGCGTTGTATCCCTCAGCGTGCTCATGCCATTTTTCTCGGCGGCATGTGTTAACGTGTGTATTTCATAAGTATCTAAATTTGTATTCAGTAAAAGCTAGGAAAAGAGAAGAGAGAGAATTAATAAATATTGTTTTTTTGCCCTTTTTATGGCTGTGAGTCTTTGTACTCACAAGGAAAAGGGCAACTGATGGGCATTGCCTATAAAGGAAATCTGTGCCCAACAGCATGGGTGATCTTACATATGCGTTTGTTCTGGTACTCGGCAATACATTTGTTTTTGTCGTTTTCAGTGCTGGATAACAGAACTGTGCCGCTGGCAGGCTGCTCATCCTGTTGTGTCCAGATAGTGTGGTTGCTGACATTAATAATATTGCGCTGGGTGGCACTCGTACGCGGATTTTGTCGCAATTTAATTTTTGTCCGATCATTTTTGCTTCTCTGCTGTGCAGCACGTGCGCGTTCCTTTTTCTCCTCGCCCAATAAAAAAATCAGTCTTCATTTTGGGAATTATTGCCATGAAATTCTGGCTCCAGCCTACTCGTGCAATGTGGCCACAGATATAATTAGTTTGTAAAATATGCGTATCAAAAGGTCATTTTAATAATATTTAAAATAAGCCAAAAAACAAGGGTAAAACTAGGGGGATAGAAATGGTAAAAAATGAGTGGAAAAAAGATGAATGTAAATGCGCATTAAGATTTCCTCAGGCTGAATGCTTTCAGCCATCCAGCCAGCCAAAGACAGTTTAGATTTTCTCGTCGTGCTGTGTGCACAGCTTGCAGTTAGTGCGCCAAAACCGGGTTGTTCCTGCTGCTGTGGCCCATGCGGCCCACATTCAAAGAAACGTCTGCATCACGCCCATGGTAAGACCTGTAATTAATGCTGGTAACTGTGCTCATAGGCGAATCAGAATTTATCCAAATTAGCGGTGTGTTCCCCATCACAGGGCCAGGCGGACGCCTTGCAAACGACTGTGTCAAAGAATTGGCCCAACTTTCATAGACTGCGTCAGAGTGTTCCATGGATTCGGTCAGGCACCTGTTGAAAGCCTTCGTCTGTGCCATATACTAGGCCTCAGTGTGCTTGCTGCGCTGCATTGTGCCCCGGTACTTCAGCTCGCGAGTGGCCCAGTCAACAAGAGCATGTGTCCGCTCATCCAATCGCTGTGCAATAATGTTGTGGTTCCTCATACCCCTATTGCACATATCATTGCTGTGCAGCTGCTGGTTGGCCTTGGACAGCATGCGTTTTAGAGACATAACGATAATTGTGGAGCTGCGGTCCCTCTCATTATGCGCAGCCAGTATTCCGCCAATATTGCTGCTGAAATCGGCAAGCTCAGCCTTCAAATCTTTGTTGACCTTTGCCGCCCTCAAAATTCAGCGCTCAAGTTATGAGATGTGCGTCTAGCTATGGTTGAGCAAAGCATTTACATCTTGCAATTCAGCGCGCAAATTCGCATTCTCATTATCCACGCACTTTTTGTCTGCCTGGGCCTCGGCCAACTGGGCTTTGATGCCAGCCAGTTCCTTGCACTCGATGTGAAAGTCCTTGAGCTGTTTGCAAAGCGTCTCATTCTCTCGGCAAATCTGCATCAGCCAGTCGTCAGATGCAGCGTTGACGGCAGTAGCGCCTCCAGCAGCAGTGGTTGCAGTTGGCAGCTGGTTGCGGAATGCATTATGCCCAGGTTCCTGCTGGCAGGGGTTTTTCATCTCGTGCGATGCCTTGTACAAATTGTCTATCAGCACACCTACCTCATCATTTAAAAATGATTGACTTTAATTGCACTTGCGGTGGTTGCTGGCAGCATCAGTCTCCATGCATCAGATATTAGCGTCTATCTTCAGTACATTGTTGACCTTTATGCGCAGTTATGAGTCCAACTCACCAATAATATCTTTTGGTTCCATGCAGGATGAGCAGGCAACATTAAAGATAGGCAGGTTCGGGGAGAAACTGCTTATGCTGGCAAAGGAGGAATCGAAGAGAGAGAGAGAGAGGAAAGGAAGGAGCTGTAGGAGTAAGAGTGGTTGTAGCTCATTTTTATACAAGCTAAATGAATAGAATATGTGGTGAATTTCAAATTGCAAGGTAAACTGCGATAACCAGGTTGTGTTTGTGCTAATGAATGAGCAGTACCGTATAATACAAATAAATATTAATACGATGGTAATAATGAGAACTAATTGCGAAAGTGAGTATCGAAAGTAAATTCTAAAAAACTTGAAAGAAAAGAGTTAAAGTAAACAAAGCTGAACGACTGCCGCCTTATTTATTTTATTTTTAAAGGAGCGATGCCACTAATTCTCTTGGGCCAAAAAAATACACGCGCAAGTGCCTATTTGGCTTGAGTCGCTTGATTTGCAAAATCCTTTGATCGCCCAATTTATTTCCTATTTGGACTAGCTTGTTTTGGCTTAGCTTTTTTATTCGCAATGATTATCAAGACCTGCATGCTTATAATTATATTTTTCTAATACTTACATGTAGTCCTTTTGAGCTCAGATCACTTGTCTTTGTAAGTAGCCATTTATTGGCGCTTAAATCTGGAAATGCCCTGCATAACCACCAAATAGCATAGGCCTGTACATTGTCAGGCTTATCCATGAATGGTACACAATTGAATTGGACAAGCAGATGTACTCTTATTTCAACGCTGAATTTTCCGTAGAAGCGGTTGCTTCCGCGTATAAGCATTGCCAAAGAAACAATTCAGAAAACGTGACAATAGCCAGGACGCCGTCTCGGATTAATAACCCAGAGCTTTTGTTGCATCGCAATATGATGCTGTGCCATCTGGTTTAGTTATGACTCATAAAGTAATACAAAGAGATATCATCTTATTTGAATGCTTAAAACTCGCAATATTAGTCAGTCCCAGTCAAATCCTCAATAGCCGATGGGTGCACTGACAATCAAATAAAGAAAATGCGGCCTTTATGCCTGAATAACAATCATGTTTAAATAGGTAATTAGATAAAATAAATACCAAAATAGCCAAATAACTATTGGTTGATGGCGATCAACTGATTAACCAGTCTTGGCTGTTTAGCCACACAAACAATAAGTCACACAGTGACCAAAGTAATGTTTTCTACTCTTTACCTTTCACAGTGCATAGCACTTCTAGTTATTAAATATACTTTATAGCATTATAGTTTATCTACACGTTCATAGAACGTTCCTATATTCCAACAATAAACTCAAATAAACATATATTATTGATAACAGTTTTGCTGAAGTATCCAAGCGACAAACAAGCGGGAAAGTAAAGACAGTAAAAATTCCCCACAAGGACATTAACAGCCACTTATTTTGTACCAGGGTCATTCACATTTGTCACCCACAAATGGGGATCAAAAACAGGGATTCTGTAGTATCGCACCATAGATAAATTATAAATTAGATATAAAAATTATTTACATGTAATTGTGTTGAGCACTATGAGAATAGTGTTAAATGATATGTATGAGTTTTGTAATAATTTTTTTGTTGCACAGATTAAAGACATGGAAGTGGATGTCGAGGTTGGGAACCGTGAAACAAGTTTACAGCTGCATTCCAGTTGATAGGGTACTAATTGGATTATGCAGGCGTAAGGTAGGGAGGCATAATAATGATGCCCGGACATGCTCCCCATTTTGCAATGCACACGCGTGAGTGTACACACACTAAAACCACAACATTGACTTACCAAGATACCGGTCTGCTCACAGAAGAACCAGTTCTCGCCAACGGAGTGCACAACTGGCAAAGTGCACAACAAAGGCAACAAGATATATATAAGATGAGACCGGCCCTAATTTCACTTTTGCATCTATTGATAATAAAAACCTTCATAAACTAACACCTCATCTTTAACACTACATCATAGTGCTCCACATATTCCCTCTTATTATAACACCCTCATGGCCGCTATGCACACTTCTGTTATTGCTGGCTGAAATCAAGGAATACCACTATGTTTACAGCACTGCCCACATGGCGCTGCCCCCTTTTAAGTTTTCCAAGTAAGCTTCTGATACTTGAATAGAATAATTTAGATCCACATTTTTATAGAGCATAACAATATTCATATTGACTTTCTGAGAAATCAAATCATACTTCTGTTACTGGAATCGGTCACTATATCCAGTTATTACAATGCCACCACAGCTCATTTTGAAGCATGGAAACAAACGTATAGACAGACAGTTGATTTTAAAATGTAAGCATGGTGCTTCGGGACAAAAATAATGATATTGCAAAAATAGTGCTCTAATTATCAGTTTTATTCAAACGGTTTATGAGAACAGTGTAATGGAATATACAATAGTTAGAAAAAGTACCAATATTAACGAAACATTATTGTGTTGGATCTAATTCTCTATTTTTTCTTACATCTCTCTTTATATTGCTGCGGCTCCAGATTCTGACTAGCTTGCGATATGCCTTTCTGAGCTCTGATTTCTGCCCCCACATGGTCAGTGACCACTTGTGCG